TATGGTCTTCCACGTCTTGCTTCACGGAGAGATGCGGGCCGGAGGGAAGGGTTTTCTTTTCGGCTTCTTCGTTGGCGCCGAGAATCTCGCCGAGTTCTTTGGTGAAGTTGCCGACGGTGCGGACGTGGATGGAGAGGTGGTCTTCTTCGGGGGCCGAGGTGATGGTGAAGGGGTGGTATTGCCATGCGCTGACGGCAGGGACGTTCAGGAAGATGTATTGGCCGGGTTTGAGTTTGGTTTTCTCTTTGAACATTTGGATCTCGACGACGTTGGCTGGGTGTTGGATGACTTTCGAGATGAAGGTCTTGTGGCGGCCGCGGACTTCACGGGCGATGCGCTCGGCAAGATACAGGACTGCGCCGAAGACCCAGTACTTGTAGAAAGATCCGGTGCTGGCGCATTCGCCGGTGTCTTTCTTGAGGATGCAGAAGCAGCCATGTATGGAAAAGAGGACGAAGAAAAGCGTGAAGAGATGGTGAGTGTACCAGAACCGTTCGTAGTTGGCGTTGCGGGAACGATCGATGGCGGTCAGCAGCATGATGAGGAGTATCAGAATCATGAGATAGCCCGACCATCCTGGACCAGTAAGGAAGTTGAGCTGCAACCATTCTTTGAAGCCACCGTCATAGAACCTGGCGTATTTCAACAAGTTGTTCCAGTGGGCAGCGACGTGCACGATAGAGAACAGGACGAGCGAGTACCCCACGAGCTTGTGAAAGGTGACGTTCTTGTCGAATGGGATAATTCCGTTGAGCGGGCTTTCACGTAGGTAAGAGAGGATCGTTCTGCACATTGGAAGTAGGATGAGTGCGACATCGAAGGACAGCACCTCAGCGGACGCTCGTGCAAGCTGAAACGTGAGACCGAACAGTTGTCGATTGTTGTTGTAGTAGTCCTTTTTGTGGTAGTGCAGAAACGCCAAGGAGAAAAGCAAAGCGTGCACAACGGCGAAGATGCCAACAACAACGTGTGCGGCACCTTGGTTGACCGTCCATACTCGGAACTTTTCAAGAGCGCCAAGCTGACGTGGTCTGATGCCCCCGAGTTGTCCTGAATCCAGCAGGCGGTCTAGCGACGTTCTCCGGAACCGCGATGTCGGAATCTTTGGTTCGCGAAAGTCTGGAGTGCCGAGCAACGTTGCCGGCGTGCTGAGTGCAGACGATCCGAGAGGTGTCGGTGTACTCGACGCTGACGAGAAATTCGACGTGGACTTTGATGATGATATGAATGGGATGTAGTGCATCGGCAGATTATCGGATGTTGTGGCATTTGTGCGGATTGCTGGTGGCGGTGCTTGTCGAAAGAATGACTTTGGGCGTAGAAACGATGCTCTGAAGGACTTTGGTGGTAGCGACAGTCGGTCTGTCATAGTTGCGGCCCCTTGTCGTTGTCGAGGTCGTCGGTTGTGGTCTTATCGATGGCAATCCGGAGCGATTGTCGATCGTCTTTGGCCAAGGCAGGAGCTATGACAATCGTTGATGGTGTTGAAATGAGTGGACAGCGCTGAAAGCGCAACTATAGCTGTGCTAGTAGTGATTAGACAATTATGAGGACAACATAACGAGTGTGGGAGGGAATGAACTGTTGTCTGCCAACCTCTCGAAAGTCAAACATCACCTCATCGCAAGAAATCGAGGGTTGATAGCTCTCCCTTGGCATCATACCACAACATCCAGGGGGTCGGGTGGTAAGACAAGTGGACAAGGTGGGAGCGGCGGCGGAGCCGGATAATACATCCTTGTTCAGTCAGATTCGTCAACCCTTCGCTTCGATCGTGGGATTGGTTCGTCAGCATACAGGATGGGATTGTCCATCACACCCAATCCATCGTCGAAAGCGCCCTCGTAAACTTGCACGTTATCGTAAGCTGGTACCTGCATGAACAAGTCTGTTGTTTGGTGAAGGACTCGATGTTACATGCGCGTCATTCCAGCAAGGGGCAGGGTGGATTTTCATCTTCGCTTAAACTCCACTATTTGTTGATCACAGATTGTCTTGTTTGAGATTTCTCGACGTACCACAAACAACAGTGGCAGATATAAGCCAGCTTGACGAACCTCTTGCTCGCTGTGCAGCTCGTTGTGGCTGAAGCGAGTTCTTTGTGCATGTAAGACGTCTGTATCGCGCCTGCCACGCCGCTTGCGAGCTCGAAGCGCGCGGAAGCTACTTACTTGTGTCGTCAGGGGTCGTATGACGGTTCATGGTCGCAAGCACATCGTGCAATGCGAATAGAGCACGACCATTGCCGACAATGCTATGAACGCAGAGCTCGCGAACCTTCGATGATCACGATGTCGTCGATGATTTAGACTTTGACAGCGGCATGATGTCGGCATCTGCCGCCACATTCCGGAATGGTCGTTGGGGCTGCTCTTATGGGCGGAAATTGCGCGCTCACGACCGGAAAATTAGGCGATGCCTCGCCCACAAAACTTGACGACTCTCATGCAGGCACCTGACTTATCGAGTTGTCATCGTGTGCCGTCCTAGCGTCGCGTCTCTGGAGCTCTGCGACTGCGAAGTAAAGCCCAGGCCTCACCACGGCCTTCGTCTGCTTGCAATGCTCGAGCTACAGCAGCCTAGCAGTCATCGCCCCCACGACGTCCCGCACATCCCGCAGTATTTGGTGAGGGGAAGCCGAAGCTCGCTGAGAACGACGCACACGCGTGACAACGATTCAGTCGCCGACAGTACTCGGTCCTAGGCCACATCCCGACAGGTAGGTCAGTATGACACTGTGAAATATTCTAGTTTGGCAAATGCGTGACACATCAACCCACTGAAGTCATTGGATCAGTGAACTCGCTCCATCAAGGAGCCCAATTAGCCACCCTTTCCCGAAAGCAATGGCGCCTTTAGCAACTCTCGAATACTTCCGCCTACCGCCACGCTGGCTCTTCGTCAAGCTCACAGACAGCGAAGGCAACGTCGGCTGGGGTGAGGCATCACTCGAGGGTCATTCAGAGGCTGTGGAAGGATGCCTCGATGCGTTCCGCGAGCGATTCGTCGGCATGGACGCTGACCGAATCGAGCATATTTGGCAGCATGGATATCGGATGGGATTCTACCGCGGCGGCCCAGTCATCATGAGTGCTTTGGCTGGCGTGGACATAGCGCTATGGGATATGAAAGCACGAAAACTCAATGTCCCAATCTACGAGCTCCTCGGCGGCAAAGTACGCGACAAACTCAAAGTCTACGCCTGGATCGGCGGCGACCGGCCCTCCGACGTCGAAGTCGCCGCCAAATCCCGCCTCGCCCAAGGCTTCACTGCCATCAAGATGAACGCCACCGAAGACGTCGGCTGGCTCGACTCGCCCTCCATCCTCGACTCCGCCGCCAAACGCCTCGAAACCGTCAAAGCCTTGGGTCTAGACGCCGGCGTCGACTTCCACGGCCGCATCCACAAACCCATGGCCGCCCAACTCGCCAAGCGGCTGGAGCCATACCATCCACTATTCATCGAGGAGCCCTTGCTGAGCGAGAACCCCGAAGCAATCGCGGACCTTGCAAAGCAAACATCCATCCCCATCGCGCTCGGCGAACGCCTGCACAGCCGATGGGACATGAAGCCCTTCCTGACCTCCGTCGCCATCTTCCAGCCCGACATGTCCCACGTAGGCGGCATCTCCGAGCTGCGCCGCATGGCGGTGCTAGCAGAAACCTACGACGCCGCACTGGCACCGCATTGTCCGCTCGGACCGCTGACGCTGGCGGCGGAGATGCAGGTCGATGCGGTGAGTGCGAATTTCGCGATTCAGGAAATGAGTTTGGGGATTCATTATAATGTTGGGACTGAGGCGGATTTGACGAGTTATGTCAAGAATCCGGAGGTGTTTGATGTGAAGGAAGGGCATGTGGCGGTGCCGGAGGGGCCAGGGTTGGGGGTCGAGATTGACGAAGCGTGGGTGAGGAGGGCGAGTGTTGGAGTGGATGGGAAGGGGTCCAAGGCGTGGCGGAGTCCGGCTTTTGTGGGGGCGAATGGGGAGTGGAGGGAGTGGTGAGTTGGGAGGGTGTCTTTTGCGGCGAAACTGGGTCAGAACAAAATCAGGTGCATGCTCAGCGTCCTTGGTACAAGCAGTTATTTCGCGACGGCACTCAATTTCCCGGCGGCCTCGCCTTTCCCATGAGCGCATCCTCCCACCGACCACAGGTCTCATTGAAGCCCACCCAGTCTGTCTGGCCGTTGTTGAATGTCCATGCCCCGGCCAATGCTGGCATATCTTTGGGAAGTTCATCGTCCCATGACAGTGTGTTCCGCTTCGATTCGAGCATCTTCTCAATGTATGGGTAGAACCAATTCCTCGGCCACCATAGATGTCTATAGCCTTTCTTACCATTGATGTGAATCACCGGCGGCACTGTGCGTGATGCCGTATTCGTTGCGAGCGGCAGATTGCGCCAGTCCGCGAGCGCTGGGTCGACGGCATCACTCAGCGGCTCGGGTCCGTTGCCGATGAGATCGGTGGGCAGGGAGAAGTGGTGGTGGTAGTTTCCTTCTTTTGCAGTCTCCTGCACGTAGAGCGACGTGCTGTTATGCCGGATCCAGGTGAGGTAGTCGGCATAAAAGCCGGCTGTCTGGAAGATGTCGGATGACCAGTCCAGTCCGATGTGGTACTCTGTTCTTTCTCCTTTGATTTTTGGTATGTCCTTCTTTTTGGCATCGACATCAGCAGGCAGCAGGAACTCTTGGTCAGCGGCCACGTCACAGCCTCTGGCGCGGTCGTCCTCGAATTTATGGACACGACGGGCATACGACTGCAGACCGAAGACATGGCTGAAATAGAACTGGTCCGAATCGGTGACGTGACGGTGCTTATTCTGCTCAAGCGCACGCTCGAAGACGTCTTTCAGCTCCCTTGCCGGTCCCATGACAGTGCCCGAGTTCAACCAGCGAGGCCTGTTATGCATTGCTCGGCCATGATCGGTATCTGGTCCGAAAGATAGTGGTTCCATCCACGATTCTGGGATCGCCCAGCAGGAACTGTGATCATTGCCAGCAGGAGCACAAGATTTGTCCGGACCGAAGATGACGGTGTTGCGGATGTTGTGTTTCTTGACGAGGGCTTCGCCGAACGTGGAGATGTGGCGTTGATGGGATCTCTTGACTACATCGTAATATCGCTTGACGATATATGAGTGTGGCAGCTGGAACCAAATGTCGAATCCGTCCAGCATGAACACCAAATCATCCTGTTGAGACGCTGGAAGTGAGTCAAGATACTGGATGGCGCCTTCGATCTTGGCCAGATGCTGTTTCATCTCGTCTTTGTCTTCGTCGGCGCCATAGTTGAGCAGTATGGGCGCTGGGTAGCCCAGCAGGCCAGCCGAGAGTTGAAGCTGACATAGATGGTAGTTGCTGCTTGTTGCGAAGACAGCGATGTGCAGGTTCTTCGTTGATGATGAAGGGTTGTAGTTATAATCAGAGTTGAACGAAAGCGGCGCGTACAGCTGAAGGATCAAAAAGGTGGCTATGAAGAAAACGGCCGCTAGCAGCCCGTAGCGAGTGGCTTGTCGCCTGGAAAAGGCAGACACCGCTATCGACATCGTGTCATGTCGCGTGTGTTGATGTTCAATGTCATGCCGTCAAGAGCATCGTTGGACGTTGGAAAGTGCCGTCGATTAGTCCTTGCTTCGTACTGCTCACCAACAGTCGAATAATGTGACTTCGTGATGTCGTTGAGCCGTGGTGATATCTGCTGAAAGTAGCGACTACGTGCGCACTTTAGGCTTCACGTCGCCTGAAATTAGATGTGCGGGTGGGTTTAGCCGCGGCCTCGCAGTTGAGAGGTACGGGCGTGTTTTCAACTGGACCGCCTACGACGGCCCCTGGCTTTTAGCGTGTTTCGAAGTTCCGATCTGCCGGGCATGGCGGCTGTTTGCGAAGCTTGGATTCTCCTCTTGCTCACGAACTTGTTTCTTTCCATCCTAGAACTTGCACGAGACGCGTCACATCGCCGAACGATTCGCACTGCTTGAGATTCACTAAGGTTAGGGGACTGTCTTGACGTTCGCTGTCAGGACCGCCGAGCGTTCATTTGCCATGTAGAGAGATTACCGACTTTGCCGCCCTCGGCATGCCACAGACCGCGACCAGGATTTCCCACCCAACTTGTCAGATCCGTTTTCGTGTCTTCGTTCATGGACAATATTGCGAGCCATGACAAAAGACTGCCTGTATAGAGGACCGCCGCAGACGCGTGGCTTCTGAATTCATTGGCACCAGACTCAATCCGTGCCTGTGAGAAATGAAGTACCTCGACCCAGACCAAAATAGCGCCTCCTGAGCACAGCATGATCTGACTGGTAATTCTGATTTCGCATCCGCAACTTCGATCTGCTCCTACCCTGTTCGTTGTCGCTGACTTGGCTGATGTGCTAACACTGAACGGAGCGAAGGTGTTGCGTGCTCTGATTTGAGGCAGGCATCATCTGGTGGGTTCTTTTGAGGGTCTTGTCGCTCTCCACGGTTCCAAATCTGTTCCACAACGCGTACTCACTAACGGGTACCTGACTATCAACGCCGCTGATGTCGTGCAACCTTCTGGTTGACGGACCGCCTCCTACATCTGAGAACAGCATTCTTTCTTCGATGTGCGCGATTGATTCTGATGGCACGCGATGACCGGATCATGGATGCAGAGGGTACTTGAGACTGTGCGGCCAAGAGGTGGACGCTACACTCTACTCACCGACGACACATCGTCGTCCGAGCAACAAAAGTCATTGCGATACCGACGGCTAGCTCGTATCGCCATCTTCATTGTTCCGATATGGCTCATCCTGCTCTTCATCAACTACCATCATCCTCTGCGCAGACCAGCAACTCAGACCCAATCATCTGGTCCTGAGGCATCTTTCGTCCACTTCCTTCTATCCGCCACCGCCGGCACGACCTCGTTCTGTCGGACGCTGTACTCCGCCGGAGCACTCAACTATCCGACACCGCGCATCATCAACTGGGATGCGACCTTCAAAGATCGCCATCGACCAGACAAGGGCGAGTCACTTGGCAAGATCGATGCTGTCCTCGATTTCCTGAAGAAACTCGACGGTGCGCACGATGATGAACTTGTCCTCATCGCCGACGGTTACGACACCTGGTTCCAGCTCCGACCAGAAGTCCTCCTTGAGCGGTACCATGCCATCAACGAGCGAGCCCGCCAGCGCATATGGCCTCGGTACGGCCTCAAATATTATCAATCCATCGTCTTCTCCGCCCAGCGACATTGCGAAGATGCTGATGACGACTCATGTGCCTGCTCACTCGCGCCGCCCTCTCCACTCTCCGACTCCGTCTACGGCGATCTGACCGACCAGCCAACAGACGATATTATGAACCAGCACGTCTACATGCGACCGCGATATCTGAACACCGGGATGACCATCGGTCCAGCAGGGAAGGTGCGAAATCTGTACGAATACGCCCACCAGAAGATGGAGGATAATGCTACACACTACATCACTGACCGCCAGGTCTTCTCTGAGATCTTTGGCGAGCAAGAATACTTCCGCGAAATGGTCATGGCCAACAGCAGCCGCGTTCCAGAAGGCGAACTGGCGAATGACCCGCGGAATGGACACATCAGCGGCGACAAGATTGAGCTGGACTGCGACCAATGCCAGTTCGAGATCGGACTAGACTATCTCGGCGAACTATCGATGCCGACCATCTACTCCGAAGCACATATCGTCCAAATCAATCCCAACTCGACCTCGACCCTCAAGCTGCCTGAGGACATCCGAACCTCAACCCCGCCGTACTGGACGCCTGACTACAGCGGCACACGACCTCCACTGCCGTTCACTCCCTGGTCAGACCTCCCTTTACGGACAGACCGCTCGACGCACACCATTCCCGCCGCCATCCACTACCACCGCGAAGCCCCAACGAACGACACCGCATCCGCCTGGTCCAAACAATGGTACCACAGCGACCTCCGCCCCCTACTCGACGGCCACGCCAAGTCCTTTCGCATGCCCTTCGCCGTCCTCCACGACCAGCCCAAAATCGGCGTCACGCATGAGTACTGGGGCCCGCTCGACGGCTACGGTGGCGTGCGAATACACCACGAGGGAGATTTGGGCGGGGAGTGGCGGCAGTGGGATGAGTTGTGCGGAAGTGATGAGATTGGGAGGGAAGTGTTTGGTGATGGCAAGGACAGGTATGAGAATCCCGTGTACTTCTTGTATTGGGATGCGGAGAAGCAGAATTCGCAATTGGATCGGTGGATTGAGCGGGTTGAAGGAGAGAGAACCGCAGGGGTCTTATAGAGAATAGAGGATGATTGCGAGGCTTGATGAGTACATGAACATTACACTAAGCAGACGTTGTTGATACAATACAGCTGCAACTGCTGAGTATTCGAAGATGTGGAACTACATCTTCGATCTTGTGACCAGCAGTTACACAAAGCCGTCAACCGGCTTCGTCTTACTCCAAACCGGATGACAAGACTTCGTGGAGAAAGTTATTGTCCTTCTCCGCAACACCAAGTGCCTCGGTATCTTGCCGCTGACCTCGCTTCATGCATACCTACTGTAGTAGAAAGAGCTGCATGGCCACAGGTGGCGGGACTTGAAGCATTCTCTACTGATCAAACAGACTGCACTCGAGTCGAAGTGGATACAAAGTGAGCTTTTGGGTCAAAAACTGGTGCTGCCTAACCAAGTGCCTCAGTGTATCTTGGACAAATATATTTGTGTCTGACCACAGGCGTGGCACAACCACAGACAGACTCGAAAGCATCAAACCCTTCGTCAACTGGTCTCACAACATCCTATACAAGCCCAGAATGGCACCGTCACCTAACACCGCCCCCTCAACCATCCCCTTCGCCGAGCCCTCCTACCTTCACCTCCCCTCCCCCTACTTCAAACCCACCCACCTCGCCTTCCAACAACGCTGCCGCGCCTGGATGGAGGAACACTTCCTCCCCCACGTCCTCGAATGGGAGAACCTAGAAACCGTCCCGGAGTACGTCTTCGACCTCTACAACAAACACAACATGCTCCTCCCCAACCTCAAATCCCCTCTCCCGGTCAAATGGCTGCACAAACTCGGCCTCAACGACATCTTGGGCGTGCCCGTGGAGGAGTGGGACTACCTGCACACGGCGATCTGGGTCGACGAGCGCTCCCGTGCGGGCATCTCGGGCCCGAGTTCGAGTCTGAGTCCCGGGTTTGCGTATGGGATTCCGCCGATATTGAGCTTTGGGAGTGAGGCGCTGCAGGAGAAGTTCTTGCCGGATGCGCTGAGGGGGAGGAAGAGGTTTTGTATTGCGATTACGGAGCCGCATGCCGGGTCGGATGTGGCGAATATTAAGACGACGGCGTTGAAGTCGAAGGATGGGAGGTTCTATGTCGTGAATGGGGAGAAGAAGTGGATCACGAACGGCATCTGGAGTGATTATGCGACGATGGCGGTGCGGACTGGTGGGGCTGGGCCGGGTGGTATCTCAGTTCTTGTTGTCCCGCTCAAAGGGCACGAAGGTGTCAACATGCGGCGGCTACAAGTCATGGGCCAGAGAGCTGGTGGGACCACGTACATCGAGCTGGACGACGTCAAGGTGCCCGTCGAGAACCTCTTGGGCGAAGAGGGCCAAGGCATGAAGTACATCATGCAGAACTTCAACCACGAGAGACTGCTGATATCGATGGGCGTCACGCGCCAGGCTCGCGTCGCGCTGTCCACGGCGGTCGGGTATGCGATGAAGAGAGAGGCTTTCGGGAAGACCCTGATGGACCAGCCCGTCGTGAGACACAGGATCGCGAAAGCAGCGGCGGATCTGGAGACGCTGCAGGCGTATGTGTATGAGTTTGTCTATCAGCTGAATAACATGAGCAAGGAGGAGGCGGATGAGAAGCTTGGTGGACCGACTGCGTTGCTCAAGGCGAAGGCTGGGATGGTGTTTGGGCAGTGCGCGGAGACGGCGGTGTTGATCTTTGGAGGAAATGGATACACGAGAACGGGGCAGGGGGAGTTGGTGGAGAAGTTGTATCGCGATACCATGGGGTCGAGGATTCCGGGAGGGAGTGAGGATGTCATGTTGGATTTGGCGGTGAGACAGTTGGTGAAGAATTATCAGAAGGGGCTGAAGAAGCCTGCTTCGAAGCTGTGAGTGCCGGTATCGTGGATGAAAGCTGGCTGGCAGGCCAGGCCGGATCGTGGATGGAGTCACGATGATCAACAGAGGTCTCTGCGTGTCAGTTCCTGATCAGATTGGGCTGGTGCCAGCACGAGGGACATCTGATATGTTATGAGCTGTATTTGGCTATCTGTAGTCAGCTGAGTCTCAAGTCTGCCGTGCTCTGATAATATCTCAGCAACATCCACTACTTCTCCTGTGCGCTGCCTCTAGTCATCATGGCCGCAAGTTCCAAGGTGCAGGTGCTTCTCGCCTGGGATCTGAGACCATGGGAACAGCTCAGCGGAAGTGATGCCGGCGCCACGCTTGGCAAGTCGAGTTACGTTGGATGGCGCCTTCGGGATCAGATCTTGGCCTTTCATCGCTAGTGTCGTGAGAACATTCGCCACAGCCTGAGATGAACAGTCAGTAAGAGAAGTTGAGGGCAGGGAGGGCAACGCGCGACTGCTTACCTTTGCATTGATGGCCAAGACCGTGCTGTTGGCGTTCTCGTATGTGTCACATTCCTGGTGATAGCATGGGTCTTGAGCGACCCCAGTCCCGGTATGGAGCCCACCCACAGGCTTCTCCAGTGTGCTCATGAACGTCGCGTAGTCAGAGCCGCCCGTAGAAGCAGCGGCTGTGACGTTGATTCCTCTCCCCTCAAGGTGATCCACAAAGAGCTGCTCGATCACTTCGCTACCAGGCGCGCCAGTCACGTTGTGAGTGCTTCCATCTCCATCAAACACGCCAAAATAGCCTCGGGAAACCATATCGAAGTTGAGGTATACCAAGATCGAGTCAGCCTCTTCTGGCGTGACGTTGTCGGTATAGTACGTGCTGCCCACAAGGCCGTTCTCCTCTGCACCCCACCATGCAAATCGGATCCTGTTGGTAAAGGTGTATGGTTGAATTGCGTGGAAGAGAGAAAGCAATAGCGCACTCCCAGACCCGTCATCGTTGATACCAGGTCCAGCTTGCACAGAGTCGAGGTGGGCTCCGAGGATGATTAGATTATCGGAATCGCCGCATCCGCTTTCGACGAAGACGTTTTGAGTGATGCGCTCCTCAATCAATTGCACCAGCTCGAGATGCGCTTCAATTGTCTCACCGGCTTCAAGTCTCTCCACGAGAGGTAGGCCGTCTGCACGATTGATATAGCCTGCAGGTACAAATTCGTCCGGGTCCGGAGCAGATAGTGTGCCCGCGGTCACCTTCGTGTCAATGTCGCTGTAGATGACCACACCCTTGGCTCCCGCTGCGGCTGCTGGCCGTACTCGCCCAGCCAGAGTTCCCCCTGTAGGACAGCGAAAGCGCTCGACGAGCACGATCTTGTCCGTCACATCGAGATCGGCATATCCGGAGGCATTGCAACCAGCTGCACCGGACGGGCCGAGAACTAGCTCAGCGGTGAATCCGCCTTCCTCGGTGGATGGTGAGTAGGTCAGGCCATAGATGTAGTAGCTCGTGTCGTCGACGGTGAAGTCGATGGCGGTGGTTTCGGCATACAGAGCTGGAAAGTCTTGGACTGAGCTGATCCAGGACTTGGATTTGTCGAGCTCAGAGAGGATGAAGTCTACAGAGGCGGCGTAACCGGGCTGGCCGAAAGCGCGATTGCCACCATTCTCGTCGGCGATGGTCTGAAGGGAAGCTAGAGTTGACATCAGGCTGGCATCGTTAGTCGAGGTGCTGCTGAGATCGGAGAGACCAGCTGCCCAGTGGCCTACCTTTCTGTGGTGACGGCCTCTTCAAAGGCTGCTGCATTTAGTGGTTTGGGACGCTCTGCGACAGCCGTCGTCAGGCCACAAGCGCAGACGGCCGCAGCGACGAAGATGTTAGTGGTGCGTGTCATGCTGGCAGTCGATTCACTCACACCTTGCTCGCAGAAGTCACAGTCCCACGGAACTCACACTGAGCAGGTTGTATTCTTCCTTATGCATTGGACCTACCTGGAGCCAAGAGAGTACGTGAGCATTGATGTAACGTCTGTGGGAAGGCTTGAATTCCAGCAGGTTTCCAGCGCTGTGATAAGACCATATCCCGGGCGCTGGTGACTGTAAGTCTCCTCGCTACCACAGTGACCTTCCCGCTGCGTCGTAGTGCTCATCTTGGCTGGTCTTGATACCAAGAAATGATCGTCGCGGAAACGATGGAGTATTTTCGAGACCTTCACAAGCAGGTCGTCGGCTTTCGTAACGATGGTGGCGAGAGCAGGTGATCAGTCTGCCGCTCGAGACGGTTCGTGCTAGACTTGGATGTGACAAAAGTTGAAGGCTATTTGAGCAGCGCTGGTTCGACGAAGCTTGATGCATGACGTCAGAAACGCGAAACAAATCAGAACGCGCGCCGAAGTCATCTCAAGCTCTTCGCGTCGTTACTATCACGCTCATTATTATCCTTAGCGCCCTTCCACCTTGACTTGCTTCTGTCACGCATGCCCATTCAAAGACTCGTTCTTCTTCCTGTTTGTAATTGCCGCCGTCTCACCCTGAAGCTCCGAGTATGCGTTTAGAGCTAGCTGCCCTCCCAGGTGAGCGTAGAGCACGTTACTACCGTCCGCAAACTCTCCATTCCTGACCATGTCCATCAAACCCGCGAGACTCTTGCCTTCATACACCGGATCCGTGATGAAGGCCTCTGTCCTTGCACCGAAGTTGATCGCATCAATGGTGCGCTGGTCAGCAACACCATAAATGCCTCCATGGTAGCGTTCATCAAGGATTACATCTGATTCTGTGATGTCGTCCTCTGACAGCCCTATCCGACCGGCAGTCTGGCGCGCGATCCGAAGGACCTGGTCGAACGTCTCTTTTGGCTTTGCTGAGGCATCGATGCCGATAACTTTCCGCTTAGGACTGGCTCCCGTCTTCTCGAGCAGCTTGAAGCCTGCGATCATGCCCGCGAATGTGCTACCTGTGACAGCACAAACGATGATGGTGTCGAAGAAGACGTTCTGCTGAAGTTCTTGCTGGCGGACTTCGAAGGCCCATCGCGCGAAGCCCAGACCACCGCAGGGGTGGTCGGATGCCCCAGCTGGAATATAGTAAGGTTTGCCACCGGTGCTAATGACCTCTTCCTTCAAGTTCGCTAGCGTCGGCTTGTGCTCAATACCGAAGCCGGAAGAGTCCAGCCTCACATCAGCGTTCATAAGACGAGAAAGCTGGATGTTGCCGATCTTATCGTACCCAACGTTCGAGGAATGATCGGACACCCAATTCTCCTGGACCAGTTTGCATTTCAGCCCAGCTTTCGCAGCAGCCGCTGCGACTTGGCGAGTGTGATTCGATTGAAGACCGCCAATGGAGATGAGTGTGTCGCATCCCTGAGCGATGGCTTCTGGCAGGAGGTATTCTAGCTTCCGCGTTTTGTTGCCTTGTCGGCGAAATTAGCAAGAGCTCGGTGAGGAGGGAAAGATGGTACATACCACCATACGCGAGAGGTGAGTTGCAGTCGTCGCGCTTTGCCCAAATGTTCACCTTGCCGCCCAACGCTTTCGAGATTCGTGGAAGGGAATGAATTGGCGATGGACCAAATGTAAGTTCATACCGCGGAATGGACGCAAACGGCTCTGGAAGAGGAAGTTGTCCTTGCGACATGATCGGTGACAGAGTTTCTGGCTGCGGATGCTCGGGATATGGTCGATCGCTCCACGGCGGCTCGTTTCGATACACGGGCTCGCCCTGTTGATCCTGATCGGAATCTTATAGTCGTGACTGGGGGATAAGGCTTTCTGGATTGAGCGTTGACCGTCGGGCACGCCTGACGCTCATTGGTTCGAAAGTCAAACTGGATCACCTATCCATTGGCAAAGGGCGGACATTGACGGCGACTATCGGGAGTGACGCACTTCTACCGTCCCTCGGAGCAGCGACCTTGGTCCATGCACGATGCAAAAGTCGTCTATCTGGATTCGAAGTCCAGGTGTCCCAGTTGAGAAGATGGCTTGACCCGTGCGTAGGGGCCCGGACGATCCCACCGAGGCACCACATGCCCATGCGGGGAATCATTGGGGAACTGACAACTCCGCCAGTCGAGGCAATAGGATGTGAATGCACTACGCAATTGCACATGCAGAAGAACCACTGCGAGAATTTCGATACGCGGCAGGGCATACATTGAGGTGTCAGTCGCTATCGATCTCGTGCAGCAATGGGCAGCATGTCACACTACTCGGTCCCGTCCGAAGCAGCCAAGGTCCTCCAAAATGGCATCGTCAGTCACTCACAGCACAGCTCCTTACCGACAGAAGCTAAAGCGCTAGCATCTCGCATACATTTCACCGGCCAGGAGAAGCCTCGTCTCGCCGTCTCCTGGCGTTTCGCCGAGTCTACTTCTGCTCTCCTTGGCCTTGAAGCAATTCTCATCAACGTCCTCCTTGGCAGAAGATACAACCTGGAGGCACAAGACGTCACCATTGACACCGACCATGCCTCGCTCTTCATCATGTCGCCCTATCTCGTCGAGTTGGAACCGGACGCTGATGCCGACATTGTGCCGACGAGTCTGTTCGAATCCCAGGCGAAATTTGCAAAGTATTTTCCGAATCGCGATATTCATGGAATGGCTTCAACGCCGCTACGTCGTGGTGTTTCGAACATCTATCGAGCGGGCGATGGAAGGTATGTGCACACGCACGCTAGTCTTGATCCGACGCCGAGCCTCAATGCGATGGGCTTGCCGGCGGATGATCCGAGGGTAACGAACCAAGAGGAGTGCTGGGCGGTGCTGAAGGACACGGTCGCCTCGAAGACGGCAGACGAGTGGGATGGCGTGCTGGGTGAGGATGCTAAACAAGCTTGCACCATCTGTCTCGATGCGGAGCAGTACAAGGCTAGTGCACAGGGCAAGGCTAACGCAGGCGTTGGTCTCTACCGAATCCATCACCAGGCAAGTGACTCGCTACCCAAGGGGTGGTGGCCGGCGACTGCGCTGACTAGTCCAACACGGCCCCTTGCAGGACTCAAGGTCCTTGACCTGACGCGTGTGATCGCCTCGCCGACGATGACAAGAGGGCTGGCAGAGCTGGGTGCGAGCGTGATGCGTGTGACGGCGCCGCATTTACCGGACTATTCTGGCTTGCTGCCGGATCTGAATTGGGGAAAGTGGAATTGCAGTTTGGATCTCAGGAAAGCCGAAGACTTGGCCAAGCTGCAGAATCTGCTGAAAGAGGCAGACGTTGTCGTCAATGGCTACCGACCTGGTGTGCTGGACAAGTATGGTTTGAGCCACGAGAAGGTCTTTGAGCTTGGGAAGAGGCGGGGCCGCGGCTTCATCTACGTGCGCGAGAACTGCTTCGGCTGGGAAGGCGGGCCACTGGACCACCGCAGCGGTTGGCAGCCGATCTCTGACGCTCATAGCGGCGTGTCGTTTGGGTACGGTCGGTCGATGGGGCTAGACGAGCCCGTTACTCCTATCTTTCCACACAGCGACTTCGCCACAGGAATTGCCGGGACATGTGCGGTGTTACAAGCGCTGATCGAGCGAGGAGAGAAAGGAGGGAACTTTCTGATCGACACGGCGTTAAACTACGCAAACCAGTGGTTGGTGAAGCACGTAGGCGAGTATCCAAAAGAGGTCTGGGAGGATGTGTGGGCGGCAAACGGGAAGCCGGTGTTTCGACATTGGCATAACACGGGCGTCATTCTGCCTGCGCATCTCAAGCTCTGCGCGCAGCAGGGTCTGTTTGAGAAGAGGCACTTCGAGGTCAGAAAATCGGGCGCGCTGGGCGGGCTGCCGATGAGGATGGTAAAGCCTGTTCTGCAGTACCTGGACGGCCACGTCGAATTGGGCTTCAATGTTGGCACAAGAGGGAACGGTGTCGATGCTGCCAGGTGGCCGGAGGACTTACTGAACGAGGTCGTCGAATAGTGAGCATCGTGTCTGTGACGTGAATGTCATTCTCGCAGCAGGCTCACTGCGCTGATTGCGGGTTTTCTGTGGCACAACAGCGCGATGGCTCGACCTGAGGCGCCGTCGGACGGCCGTGAAACAATTCATGGCGTCCTTGATTCCAAGACAACTCTTTGCGGTGACAATTGGGAAATCATGCGCATCATGCGCATCGAGCGCTTCCAGCGAGCCATAACTCGCCATCGTGGTCAAGATCTATATGTGTAGGACCACGGCGTGCACATTATGACCGTCACGCAGTCTCGACGTCGAGAAGCAAACATCTTAGGCACGCATGTCGTAGAAGAAGCGCAAGATTGACCTTGGACGAATCGAGATAGCAATGCGAATTCATGGGGCGAAATTGTTAGTTCGGTCCTTACTTAAGCAAGCTGTCGATCAGGGCTGTGCCTGTGCCAGCAGACAAAGTTAGCTAAGTCGCCTGTACAATTCGCGCGGCAAGCGAAAACTCGTCGAACGAGTTATCGGCACGAGAGACTGCTCATCAAGCCATCTGCAGCTGATGGCGTCAAGAATTCGAGGGCAACATGACCCAAGCAAATCAGAACACTCTCGGGCCCGGAACATCATGTCGCCGCCCGAGTCTTGGAAGCCGAGACCGTGTGGACCTCCTTTTTTCTGCACCTTCATCACTTCAGCAGCTTCGTATTTCGCAACCTTAACAGGCCTCCCTCCCAAAATAATAATCTTTGTGCAAGCCAAAACGCCACGCATGTCGTGCAATTGTCTGCGCTGGGTGCGCAGTCTTCGGTACCCTGCTTCATCGTGTAAACAAGCTCTCGCTCCTCGCAAGGCTAGCCCCTGTGCGGATGGCAGACCCTTATTCCCACGTGTTGACCTGGCAGATCCGCCCCATTTGCGACAGTATGAAGCTACGTGCTGCCATGATCAACTTCGAGGCCCACCTTGGGATGTTGCCATTGTGCAGGAGCACAACTCCTGGTACTCATTTCGGCAGGAGCGGCCATGAAACACGACTGCCCCAGCTGCTATACATACTCGCTCTGTTGCCTCTCTCATCCCGTGGCGAACACAACATTAGCTAATATTCATCCTCACTCTCAGAATAGTCGCAGCATTCGATCAATATCTTTCCTTCCTATATTATGAGCCCTGCGATTATTTGACTGACTAAGCAGGCCTACACCCAGCCATGGCGGACCAGGCAAAGGCCAGCAGACAGGTTTCTCAACAGGCCGAAAGTGTTTCTACATCAGACAACGACTCAGTCGAGCTTCAGAGGATAACGACGAAGTCTGCAGGTGACATACTGTCGCTTTCGCCTCGAACACCAGCTTCAGCAGAGTACGATGTGGATCCCACCACCGCCGCCGAGCTCGCCGCAACAGTCACACAAGCTATTTCTCCCCATCGAACTGTCACAGCTTCCGGATTGAATCTCTCGTCGGATGTACTTGATCCAAAGAGTCCCTCGTTCAACTTCCGCCTGTGGGCTAAGTACCTCGTCTATCAGCTTGAGAGCACTGGTATTCGAAGGCCACGAGTCAGCACAACGTTTCGGAATCTCACCGTGACAGGCACCGGCGATGAGATCATGCTGCACAAGACTGTTGGCTCTCTCCTCACGGCACCCTTTGGGTTCGCCAAAGTTCACAAGAGACGACACAACGCAAAGCGGACCATTCTGAATGGCTTCAACGGCTCCATCAACACCGGAGAGATGTGTATCGTTCTTGGACGGCCTGGCAGTGGATGCAGTACGTTCCTCAAAGCCCTCTCTGGACACCTGGAGGGCGCCAAGATCAGTAAAGAATCGAGCATCAGATACAGCGGTGTAGCACAGGAAGACTTCGGGTTGCACGGCGAGATCCTATACAACAAGGAGAACGAATCACACTTCCCTCACCTTACGGTCGGACAGACACTGCACTTTGCCGCTGCTACTCGCTCGCCCGCGGAGAATGTTCTCCAAATGCCTCGGAAGGACTTCTTGAACTACATCGTCGACATCGCTCTCAACGTCTACGGCTTGACTCATGCTCGACATACACGTGTCGGCAACGACTTCATTCGCGGCGTGAGTGGTGGCGAGAGAAAGCGCGTTAGTATAGCCGAGATGGCATTGACCGGTGCAATGGTTGGCGCATGGGACAATGCGACACGTGGTCTTGATTCCGCCACTGCACTCGAATTCGCCCGTGGTCTCAGAACGTCGGCCGATGTCTGGGGATCGAGCCATATTGTGGCCATTTATCAAGCCAGTCAGTCTACATTCGACCTCTTCGACAAAGCAATAGTTCTGTATGCGGGACGCCAGATCTACTTCGGGTCGGCCAGCAATGCTGGTGCCTACTTCGAGGCAATGGGATGGCAGCGGCCACCACGAATGACGACTGGAGATTTCCTCACCAGTGTAACGAATCCGACTGAACGCGCGGCTCGACCAGGATTCGAAGCACGTATTCCCAGAACTCCAGAGGAGTTCGAGAATCGATGGCTGCAGTCCGAAGAGTACAAACAATGTCTGGCCGATATCCAGGAGACCTTGCATGCTGCCGGAGATGGCAACGAGGCTCTACATCAATTCCAAGCACATCATCACATGGTCCAGTCGAAGCACTCTCGACAAAAGTCACCTTTTCGAATCAGCGTACTCATGCAAATCCAATTGTGTATCCACCGGTATTACCAAAGAATATGGAACGACAAACCTTCTACTATCTCCAAAGTCGTGGCTCAGATCGTTCAGGGTCTGATAGTCGGTAGCATCTTCTATGGTACACCCGACAGCACAACGGCTTTCTTCAGCAAAGGATCTGTGTTATTCACGGTCGTTTTGGTCAATACACTGATGTCAGTCGCCGAGATCCCAACCCTCTACAATCAACGCCCTATTGTCGAGAAGCATGCTCAGTATGCGCTATACCATCCGGCTGCAGAGGCTCTGGCAAGCGTCATTGCGGACTTGCCTATCAAGCTCTTCATAAGCACGTGTTTTGGCGTCATCATCTACTTCTTGGCTGGTCTCAAGCAGGAAGTGGGCGCATTCTTCGTCTTCTACCTCTTCACGACAGTCACGATGCTCACCATGAGCGCCTGCTTTCGATGCATCGCGGCGGCCGCCAAGACAGTACAGTCCGCAATGGCGTTCGCTGGCCTTGGCATTATAGCCATTGTCATCTATACAGGCTTCACGATCCAGCGTCCCCTCATGCAAAATTGGCTGCAGTGGATTAGCTGGGCAAATCCTGTTGCATATGTATTCGAAGCTCTACTCACCAACGAGGTGCATGGCGTCGTGTTCGCTTGCACTGCAACGTCCCTGGTCCCTCCGTACGGCGAGGGAGACGCGTTTCAATGCGCCATGCCCGGTGCCGTCGCTGGACAGAAAGGTGTTCTGGGCGACGACTGGGTCTCTTCGGCGTACGAATACAGCTACGATCATCTATGGCGCAACTTCGGCATCGTGATAGCGTATATGCTCGCTTTCTATGCACTGTATCTGGTCTTGTCCGAACTCAATTACAAAGTGCCATCGAAAGGCGAGGTGCTGGTGTTTCGACGCGGTCACCAGCCAAAGAGCCTGCAATCTATGCCAGCTGATGTGGAATCCAAGGATGGCAGATTCACGAGAAGGACAGTGTGCCATCCGAGCCTGGAGCTTTGAGCCTCATGCCCCAACCAACAGAAGTGTTCACCTGGCGCGACGTCTGTTATGACGTGCCTGTCAAAGGCGGCACTCGTCGGCTCCTCGACACGTGTCTGGCTTTGTCAAACCTGGCACTCTGACCGCATTGATGGGCACAAGCGGCGCAGGCAAAACAACCCTTCTTGATGTGCTTGCAAATCGAACGAATGTCGGCGTTGTTACTGGAGCCATGCTAGTGAATGGCAAGCCCGTCGATTCGTCCTTCCAGCGCAAGTCTGGTTACTGTCAGCAGCAAGACGTTCATCTCGAGACCGCCACCGTTCGAGAGGCTCTTCAGTTCTCGGCCATGCTCCGACAACCGAAGTCCGTGTCCAAGCAGGAAAAGTTCGATTATGTGGAACAAGTCATTATTATGTTGGGCATGCAGGACTTCGCCGAAGCTATTGTCGGCGCCCCTGGTGAAGGCTTGAACATCGAGCAGCGCAAGCTTCTCACTATCGGCGTTGAACTTGCTGCGAAGCCGGCGTTGCTGATCTACCTCGATGAGCCAACCTCAGGTCTCGACTCGCAGTCATCTTGGTCCATCATCTGTCTCCTCAGACGCCTTGCCGACTCAGGGCAGGCTATTTTGACCACCATTCATCAGCCGTCGGCCATCCTCTTTCAGCAGTTCGACCGGCTGCTCTTCCTTCAGAAGGGCGGCAAGACAGTCTATTTCGGCAACATCGGCCCTAATTCGAGGACGCTGGTCGATTACTTTGCAGCTAGTGGCGCACGTCCTTGCGGCGACGAGGAGAACCCGGCCGAGTACATCCTGGAGGTTGTTGCCGGTCCACAGGCCCCCAAAGATATTGATTGGCACACGAACTGGAAAGCAAGCACTGAGTCGCAGACCGTTCTCTCTCAAATCGATGAGCTCCACGAGCAGTACGGCACGAAGACTGCGACAACTGAAAGTTTCACTGACGTCGCGGCCATCGACACCCAGTACGCCATGCCGACCTTGACTCAGTATCTGTACGTAACCAGACGTGCCTTCCAGCAGTATTGGCGTACTCCGTCATACATCATCGGAAAGCTCGGACTCTGCACTGCCTGTGCCTTGTTCGTCGGGTTCTCCTTCTGGCAGCCCGATAGCTCCCAAGCCGGAATGCAGAATGTCATCTTCTCGATCTTCATGATCTTTACGATCTTCACACCACTGGTACAGCAGGTAAGTCTTCCACCGTCGACCGCTTGCAGGTCCACTAACGTGAACGCCAGATCATGCCGCGCTTCACAACCTCCCGCGCACTGTACGAGGTTCGGGAACGGCCCTCACGCATGTATAGCTGGTCCGTCTTCATGACATCCAACATCGTCGTTGAAGTCCCCTGGCAGGCTCTGTCCGCGGTGCTGGTCTTCGTATCCTGGTATTTCTCCGTCTTCGGAACCGACAACCCGGTCAAAACCGATTTCACGGCTCTCGCATTCTGCTTGACCTTCTACATATACGTCAGCAGCTTCGCGTTCATGATCATCGCGGCTCTGCCCGACGCGCCAACTGCTGGACCGATCAGTGCTCTGCTATTCAGCTTGATGATTACCTTCTCTGGTGTGCTGCAGAAGCCAGATCAGCTGCCCAATTTCTGGCAATTCATGTGGAGAGTCTCGCCCTTCACATACATGCTTGGCGGATGGGCTGGCGCTGGACTGCAAGGAAGGGAGATCAACTGTGCGGCAAACGAGTTTGCAATCTTCAACCCACCTAGCAACATGACTTGTGCGGAGTACTTAACGCCATACTTTCAGGAAGGTGCTCTTGGGCGTTTGCTCGTGCCCGACGCCACGAGCGACTGTCAATATTGCCCGCTGCAAAATGCGGACCAGTACTTGGCGATGAGCGATATTTATTCTTCCGACGTTTATCGCAACCTGGGGATCTCGTACGGCTATATTGTCTTCAACATAGCTGCGGCCGTCTTATTCTACTACCTCTTTCGAGTAAGGAGGATTTCGTTGTTGCGGAGTTTGATCCAGGGAATCGTGCGGCTTATCAGGACTGTCAAGCCGCACAAGGCTACGGAATGAGATTGATATTCGTAAGAAGAGCTGTAGCAGATAGAGAAACACGAGTGCATCCTTATCAGACACACAGATGAATTGAAACGCGTTACTTGACTGTCGAGAATGTCTTCTGGCCGAGACGGCGAACCGCTAAGAGTCGTGCCGGAAAGCCAGTGGAGATTGGCGGTTGCCCCGCAAGCGATGGGGCCGACAGGGCTCATCTTTTTTGACGCGTCGCAAAAGCGCGTTACAGTATGTCATCATTATGGTCAAGAAACTACACGGACCTCCTGAACTACATATCAACGGACGATTTCCACCGCCGAACTCGACGGAAGCTTCAATGGCACCCAGCATGACCATTTGTCCCGTTCGAGCCGTTCACGCCGTTTGCGGCGGTCGATCCGTTCGTCAACACAGAGGCACTATTCACATTCGAGGGAACGTCGATGGACGGATTCGCCGTGAAGAAGTCGGCCGGACGGAGATTGATTTGGTGGACTTCTGCCGGCCTGTCGAGCTGTTAGCAAGTTGTTTAGTCCCAGTTGATGGCGGGAGACTTACATGACAGGCCAGTCCTCCACTCTCGGATTGTGCGTTAAGCCGAACACACTCCAAACCACGACATCGCTGTTGGCCACCTCGTCATTCCGCTTGACCGCGTCGCTCAGACCTCCCTTCTCAACCTTGGATGATAGAGGGTAGCGACCTGCGGCGTACAGCTCGCGATCGGCATACTTGGTCACCCAGACGTGATGCTGCGCAAATTGTGCGCGTTGGGCTTGTCCCGATTCCGGCTGCGCCAACAGTAGCTGTGTATCGACTGGCGTGAACTTGTAGCTGACGTTGCGGCCACTGATTGGGTTCTTCTTGTCCTGATTCACCATCTTGATCACTCGGTTATGACGAGCTGCGGCATCGATCCATTGTGACTTCTCGACTGGAGTCTTCCGGACCTCGTACAGATTTCCAGCAGGGTTCTTGGGTCCCACGGCCACAGGGTGTGACTCCTCGACCACGACGGTGTTCTCGTATCCGTCGACTGCGGGGTCAAGCCGGACGCAGAAGATGTGCTGATGATTTTGTGCTAGCGCGCCTGGCGAAACGACATTGCCGTAAGCGGACGTCTTACCGGGATCGATGTTCACCACTGAAACAATGCCCGTGGCGCGTGTCTCGACAGTAATGCCGCCCGCGAGGTCGAACTTGTACGCAAAGACGTACTCATAATTGGCAAGCGTGATGATGAACTGCACCACCAACTCCCGATTGCGTGTCACGACAGCACGGTTCGTCCGCCAGTTGGTATGCTTCCAGCCGATACCATTGTCTTGCTCGTGCAGACAGACAACGTTCGGTGCAACTTCTGCGGTGTTGTTGGCAGCCATGATGACACCGTCGAAGTACTTGATCACACCGAGGCAGTCACAGCCGAGCTTGAGGTTGTTGGTGGCGGAGCCAATGCCGCCATCGCCAAAGTCGAATGCTTGCTTTCGCGGGAACGGCGATCGGGGATCTGCGTACGGCACGGACATTTCGCTGATGCTTAGCCGATACATGACGCTGCGACCTTGGAAGTGGACATCGTGGATTGTGGCACCCTCTCTTGGGTTGAAGCCTACGCGGAATCGCCAGTGCTCCCATTCGATCAGGCCTCCGTTGACGCTGAAGGAGGGCCCGTCTGGTTGCGACACGTTCAGTGCTTTCAAAGTTGTGCGCGGGCCATTTGGCAGGAGTTCGGGTACGTAGTCTGCACCTACGCAATGGTCGAGCACGTTGGGTTTGTGCGTCTCGTCCTGTAGGCCGTCCTGGTCGCCACCGGTAGGTAGTCGGTCCACCCGAACGATCTCCTTCGTCTTGGCGTTCATGACTGGTATCAAGGGCAGAGGGTAAGCATAGAAGTTGGAGTCTGGGTTGTTCTGTCGGGTATCCCGGCCGAAGCAGAGGCCTTGGAAATACCGGTTGTTCTCCTCGTCAGCACCGAGTCCATCATATGGCCAGGGCTCAACGACGACTTCGAAGCCTTCTGGTAGCTTCAACTCTGCGACAGCATCGGCGAAAAGCTTGCTTTCAGCTACTGCATTCACGAGATATCGAAATTCAGGGCTGTCACCTGTCAGTATGAGGCCACGTCCTGAGCGACAACGGCTTACATGCTCAGACTCGCATGATGCTCCTCCGGCACAATGATATGCTCCACTCGCTTTCCGGTGTCGATGTCAACGATCGATTCCTGTGACTGTACGCCACCTTTGCCGTCCAGCACATCATACTGGCAAAGTGCTTGGCGGGGTATTGATGGCAGAGGCTGGCCACTGTGTTCTGCGGTGAGGTACTTCCGGAGCAGTGCCTTCTTGGGCTCGTCTAGGTAGATTTCCCGGAAGAAGACGTTGTGCTCGGAGTGTAGCCCGCACACTATATCTCTGGCCTTGTGAGTCTCCTCCAGTGAGAGGCCATCAAGCGGGTGCGGCGCCATTCTGTTTACTCCTGTACTGCTGTTGTTCAAAGATTCCTTCGTAGGGACCTGCCCGTGATACAAGTGTACTATATCGAAGATGACAGAAGCTGAAATATAGAAAGATGTTGATGGTTCTGGCTGTCCTGATATCGTTCTTGAAAGGTGAGCCAGACCACGAGTGCTTCGGCTGCACCTGCTCAAAAGGCGTTAATGCATGTTGGACTTGGCGAAGCAGTCGCAAAATTCCGCTCTCAGGAACACCTGTTCCGTCTTTCTTACCTTATCAAACAGCCCGCAACGATCGGATCCGATTGGGATGTCCGTAGGCTTCTGGTCCTGGTATGAGCGTGCGCTTCGTTTGTAAATGCTCGACGGCCTTGATTGAACGATGCAGAGCCGCGGCGCAATTGTCTGTCATTGGTTGCATTCGTGCGGCATTGCGTATGGATCCCAAGGTCTTACAGACGAACAGCCACCAGGATTTTGCATCCGTGCGTGTCTCCTCTTCGTTCTTGTCAAGCAAGCTATGCTAAGCTGTCGATTTCACACTATGCTACGACCGTCCATTCGTTGGCAGCGTAGTTGTTCGCTCGCAGTCGCGTCAGCAAACAATGGCAGCAGCAATCTGAACCGGGAGAAATCTTATAGGCTCGGTCATGTCCGCCGGCATCATTGCAAGCGCTCACTGCGGGGTTGGAGCTCTTCCTTCCGCCGGATAGCTCTCGGGGGAAATTCATTGCGAGCAATTGTTGTCTCCCTAGATAAGTGTTGATTCTCGTTCCCTGTCGGGGTTTAGATTTGGTCAGACGAATAGCTGGCCCGATATCCGCACTTTCGCAGTCAGGCCGGGGGCATTCGCCCTTTGACGGTGCCTGAACCTCGGAGGAGTGTTCCCCAAGCTCTTTCCAAAAGACACTGTCCGGTAACGAACTCTCTACAAAGCAGTGGTGAAGGTCCCGTCGTCCGCCACGGGCGGCGCTATACTTCGCATCGGTGCGCCGTGCAGCCCCAGGGGCATGGCATGTCAGATTTTATGCCAGCTGTGTGTTCCGATCCATAGATGTCACGCCTTCTGTTTCGCAACTGGTCGTCTATCATACTTATGGCGCCTTCCCGTTGCCGGTAAGGAAGACAGATTCGTCTGCTTATGTAAAGAACAGCCGTGCCAAGCCCAACATGCACGTACGATACATATTTAGGCACACTACATTGGTGGTGCACCTCCTACTACAATGAGCGGCCAGTCATGCTGGACTATACACAAAGCAATAACGATTATTCATTAGTGACAATGCGGGTTGTGACTATGCTGCGTTGCCTCCCGCCGACTTGCCGCCGCGGGCCGCGCATTGACATTGATCCGCTTGTCGTCGATGAGGCAGCATATGTCAAGTGAACAAGGTCACGGTGACCCGCTAGAGCTCTTATCAGCAACACTCGAGATAACATGATAGGTAGTAGGGTGCCGGTGTTGCAACCTCAAGTACCCCGCAATTGTTCCGCATTGCAAAGCATTGGCCAAGCTGTCCAAGCTTTTGCTTGAAGAGCCACGCTAGGAACACCCGGAGCACGTCCACCTGTCACGTCAGTGCCTTTTCGTCGACCGCACCTGCCTTTTGGATCGCTAACGCAAGGCACCATGCAGGTTTGCCTTCGGTCCTGGTGCGCCTGACGTGGGAAGCTGCGCGCTTCTGGAGCTTCGCAAGCTTGATGATCGATCTTTTTGGACGCGAATGCGACGTTGGGTATGATGCAATACTTCGCGAGCTGTGACAGCTCCCACCAGAGCATACAAATGTCTCTGCAATGGCGTCGCGCTCGCGTTGCACTTGACACCCTGCGGAACAGTCCTCAAGATGCTGTCCATTGTCGCTTCTTGGGCGCTCGCTCTGGTTGCCGTGAATGCGATCCCTTCGCCTGTGGATTTGCGCGCATCACGCGTTGAGCGCGACCTCGTTCGTCGAGACAGCCGTCCAACAAGCTACCCGGCGAACAACTTCACGCAATTGGTATTTATGTTCCGTCTGAGCTCGTCAGTGTTCTAAGCTCGGCAGATTGATCACTTCCCACAGAGCTCCCGTTATGAGCCTCACACCAACGGCACATTCACGCAGCGGTACTTCTTCGATTCAACCTACTACAAGGATGGCGGCCCCGTTTTCTTGTACATCGGCGGGGAGACCTCTGGCGAGAGCAGGTTCTCAAACCTTGAGACCGGCATCATCCAAATCTTGATGCAGGAGTTCAATGGATTGGGAGTCATTCTCGAGAACCGCTATTATGGCGAGAGCTATCCATTCGAAACCACAACAACAGACGAGCTTGCCTATCTTACGAATGAGCAGAGTAGGTCCTACACCGCGGGTGTTGGGGAGTCTATTGACTTTCAGCAGCGATCGCCGATAACGCCTATTTTGCGCAACGGGCTACCTTTCCAAACGTGACCGGTAATCTCACCGCACCCAACACACCGTGGATCTTGTACGGAGGCAGCTTGGCTGGCGCTGAGACTGCGTTCTCGATTGTCGAGTATGGCGGCTCCGGCGAGAAGATCTTGTACGGGGGCATAGCTTCCAGTGCCGTAGTCCACGCGGTCCATGCGTACCCGCAATGGTTTGTTCGGCTTTCGAAGTCCGTGATGAAGTTGAGCTGACGCTCCAGGTACGATCCAATCCAGAAGCTCGGTCCTCAAGACTGCATCGGGCGCATCAACGATATTGTTGACAGCTATGACGCGCTTGTTGAAGCAAACAATACTGCCGCGATCCAGCAGCTGTGAGTGCCCAGTAACCTGTTCTTCCCTTGCACGTGCCAAGTGCAGGCCATGGCATAATCTTCGGCGCTTCTTAATTGGTGACGATACTGATTGCATTGTAGAAAAGAGCTCTTCGGACTCCAGGATCTCGAATCTGATCTCGACTTCGCTTACACGATTGCTCTTCCGATCGGAGGTCCTGATAACTATCCACTGGGGACATGGCAAGAGTTGAACTGGAACAAGTCGGTTTCGGATCCGCAGTGGTGGTACTTCTGCGGTAACGTGACCGACGACAATGCCCCAGCTAATGTCACGGCGGGTGATAGTTTGCTGGCCAACTATACCGATGGCAAGACGCTGCCGGGACTCGGTGCGTACGCCGCATACTTCCAGCAGGTGTATCTTCCTCTGTGCGAGAGCGGGCGATACGGGAGCACGGATCCTGGCTGCTTCGGGACACAGAATGGTGAGCCGCTTCTCTCGGATGATTTTGAAGGAAGGCACTGACTCCCACGAAGAATCATACTGGAATGACACAACGCCCAGCACGTCGCGTTCATACACATATTCCAGTACGTGAAGGCCTCCTCAGGGCTTTTCACTTGCTAACATCTGGTAGCATGCACTGAGTTGGGTGCTTACCAACAGGGACAACCCGAAGGCAAGCCATCGCTCCTGTCTCGCAGCATCACAACATCGTTCACACAACAATGGGTATGTACCCCTACATACTCAGATCGGGCGGGCAATCAGTCTCCTGGTCCTGCTTCTTCCGGTATATGTTCACTCTGACAGGCGCGATAGTGTAATTGGGCCTTTCCCCCGGGAAAGTACAACTCGATACCGACCGATGGACCAATCTCACCCACTACAACAAATACGGCGACTTGAACATCACCGGAGAGCGACTAGCCTTCATCGATGGAAGCTCCGATGTCTGGCTCGATGTCTGCTACCACTCAACCTTGACCAACACGTCAGCAAACCGCGTCGCGAACCCAAATAGTAATGCCACAGCAGCTAGCGAGGTCGAAGCGTATCTGATCAATGGAGGCGGACACCATTGGGACAGCTATGGGATCTTGGATGTTGACGCGGAACCAGACTTCATCATGCAGGCGCATTTGTGGGAGATTAAGGTGGTGAAGAAGTGGCTAGACGCCTTCACGGTGAGTACTTTGGTCCTGAAATGATCAAGGGGCCGATACTGACATATACACAGAGTGATTGGTATAAGCAGTGATCGGTGTGAAAGTGTGGAGATCGCCGTACCGGAAGGACTCCGTGGTACCTGAGTGGTGTTCTCCGGCTATAGTTGGCTCAATAGCCCCAACTCAAGTGGTCGCTGCCGATTCGAGTCCTTGAGCACTCTACAGCACCGAGTGACATGAGTGCGTTTCAAAGCTCGTACGAGTCGATGCCTGTGTCTCGAATCTTGGCAGCAATGTTGGCCGCATTCCTAAATCTCGAGCAAGTCTGGGTTGTTCTGCCATGCCCGCGGGTCGATGTCGAAAGGGCCAACCTCTCGCTCGCAAACGGTTCCTGGCGTAGGCAACTCGCCAGTGACAAAGTATCGGCGGACAGCCCGACCGACGCACATATTCGGGTGTGCTCCTAGGCCATGCTTCAAATACTAGGTCAGAATCGCTCGTCAGGACAGAGAACAAAGAGAGCTTACCCCATAGCCATCATGTAGCAGCACTCCGCTGCCCTCAAATCCCGTGCTAGCATTCCGCGCAGATGCGACCGGTGCAGCGGGATCATACAGGCCGTTGACGAACAATATCGGATGCTTTGTCTTCGCCCTGAAGTTGCCATCATACCGCTCAGCTGGCTCAATGCCCCAAGCAGCACAGACCAACGAAGTGGCAGTATTCACGTCGGCGAAACTGCTGACTTGTGCTTGCTGCAGGATCAATTCGGCCAGATCATTGGGTGACTGCGCGCGGAGTAATGAGTCGGCGCATCGTGTTCCGAACACCGCCGCGCTGCCCTTGTTGTACTCGAACTCCGTCTCTGTAGAGCTTGTGCCGTCTCCAGGATCCGACTCGGTTTCGGCGGTCGCCGGAGTGAAGTCTGCGTTGATGAATTGCAACTTGCGGCCCAGCTCTGCCCAGCCTGTCGGCCAGTATAGTCCTCGGTAAATGACATCGTTCTTGAGCTCACGATACAGTTCCGGACCTTTCTCACCCGCAGCCATTTCGCGCAGCACATCGTTGAGGGTATCGATCAAGTCGGCGGCGTTGTCTCCCGGGTCTGAGAGCGGACATTCGCTGGAAGCCATACATTCGAGGATGAAGGCGTAAAAGGTCTTGTCTGCATCCAGCAGCATTTCAAGCGAGGTACCAGCCATGTACTCATGGGGGTTAACGGTTGCGTCCAGCATCATGCGGTCGACGCGGTCTGGAAACATTGCTGCAAAGGTCATCCCAAGGACGGTGCCATACGAGCTTCCTAGTGAGGTCAGCTGGGCTCGCCGTGCGTTTCCATCAGGGCATACCCCAGAAGCGAAGCAAGCCGTCCTCGCCGAGCCGCTCGATGATTTGAAGCATGTCCCGTGCATGGAATGCTGTGCTCATGTATCGACTTGCGGGCCTCGACCTCCAGACAATCATTCGCGGCATTTTGGTACATCGCCCATTTCTCATCGAGCACGTTCTCGAGACGCCGCTGATACAGCTTGGGCATGTCTGACAATGGCGGCACTGCAGGCATTGGCCGTGCACAAGAGAATGCGGCAGTGTTACCGGTGCCTCTGCAATCGCTTGAGTCTCGGCTTGCTAGCATGGTTGTGGTGTGCTCACCTTGGGTCGAAGCTCACTAGGTCATAGCTGCCGCCAAGAATCCTACCATAGTCAGCACGGAGCCTTGATGCGGCGCTGGTCCGGGCCTACGCGTGAAATCTGCTCGCTCGGAGTGCAAGGTAATCGCAGCCAGACTCGCCTGGGCCGCCAGGATTGATGATGACGCTGCCTCTCGAGGGCTGTTTCGTCGCCTCGATTCGCAGCAACTGCAGCTCAATTGTCAGTGAACTGTCGTGGTCCGTATAGTCCAGAGGTACGTCGATGTTCGCGCATTGTATCGGGTAGAGCAGATCGCTCTGATTCACACCGAAGTCGATGTCTGCGCAAGAGTCCCATCCTATTAGAGGAATTCCTGATCCAGCGCCGTGAGTGAGGACTTCAGGAATGGCCAGCGCGTTCCCTTGCCATATGCCTAGGTGAGACGGGAAAGTGGTCAATAAGGACAGATTCGCAATGAAATTCATCCTCCAGTCTTTCCATCAGCAATACGATCCGTGCACAAGTGCCATATCGGACCGTTGAGAGCCGTAGAGCTCGAGCATCATGGTCTCGAGCTCATCGTTGCAATGCTCTGGCTGACGAAGGCATCTATGTGTGCAACGAACGTGGTTTCTGAGAATCAAAAACAAGCGCTGACGCGTGACGTCACTCGAGATCGCTTGAGTGATCCGTTGCGAGGGCGAGCTTGAACCACGTCGCTTCCTGTCCATCACCGCTGCCGTTACTTTGCAGCAGTATACATGCGTCCGCTATGCATTTGACGCGCTGGGAGCAGAGTATGCCTAGGCGAGTAGCCTTGCTGGCGCAGTGTTCATCAAAGTATGGCACAGTGAGCCGCGACAACATCGCAGCATCGCTCTTGTCCTTGGCCTAAAGTGTCTGTCAGACGTTCCTGTCCTTTGCTCCTGCCTGTTGCAAATTCATTTGGCGCCATCAATTCAACGCTCATCAACGCGTAATCGCACGGTGTTTTGATGTGCTGTGGCAGAGATGGTGCCGATGGTCTTGGCGACCGGAAGAGGTCGAGCGACCTTCGCTAAAAAGAAGCGGAAGCCGCTTCAGTCGCCGAATCTCGCATTTCACCCCAGGAACGAATAGGACCCGCAGATTTCTTGACGCCGTCGTCTCGAACACCCTAGATCTACCCCAGATCGCAAATCTTCCCCACGCTTGGCCTGGCTACAAGCATGTTCTGGACAACCTCCAGACCAGATTTCAGACACGGGGCATCCACTGCACACACTAATTGACTATGTTGCCTCGGTCTTTTGGGAACGGTAGCATTATATGAGCAATGCAACCCTCGAAACGATGGAACTACTCTCAGCACCAGCTTCGTGATCCCAGGTGGCACATCTAAGCCTTCCACTGCCAGCTTCCACCATGACGGACGACCAGAAGACCGCCGGCACCAGTGCCGCTGAGCGCACCGGTACTTTGACAGGTACCACACGCAATGCCACGAATGTCGAAGATATTGAGACTACAGGACCCATGACTGAGCCGGAGAAGGACCTCCGCCTGTGGGAGGCAATCAAGCTGTACCCCAAAGTTACGGGTTGGTGCATGGGCCTCACTAGCGCGATCCTCCTCTGGGGCTACGATAATATCATCGTTGGCCAGATTACCGCCCTGCCCACATTTCAGCGCGACTTCGGCGAGTGGTCGGTTTCCGAGGACGACTATATCTTTCCCGCGTTCTGGCTTGGACTGTGGTCCTCGAGTACAAACATCGGGGCCTTTTTCGGTTCAATCACTGGCGGTTTCATCCAGGACCGGATCGGCAGGAAACTCAGTCTCAATCTGGGAGCTGTTCTTGCGGCTCTCGGTGTCTGCATCATTTTCTCGTCGTACTGGGTTGGTGATCTAGAGTCGAAGCGTGGCGTTTTCTTCGCTGGAAAAGTCTTCGCTGGCTTCGCAACTGGTATCGTCAAAGTCCAGGTCCTGACATACATCTCTGAAATCACACCCACAGCGCTCCGAGGCTCCGCATTAGCACTCGTTCCTACCTTCACCCTTCTCGGCCAACTAGTGGGTGGTCTCATCATCTTTGGCATCAACGAGAGCGAGTCGCCTACGGGATACCTGGTTGTTCTTGGATCTCAGTGGATACTTTCAATTGTGCCCTTGGTGCTATCAATTTTCATGCCGGAGTCGCCCGCATTCTTGATCAGAAAGGGCCGGCATGAAGAGGCTATGACGGCGATCAAGCGCCTTGTCGCTCCCAAAGTTGACCCTGAGAAGGTCTTCCGGCAGACCAAACTGACGATTGAACAAGAAGCTGCGCAGGCCGAAGCTGTCAACTATCGCGACTGTTTCAACCGTGCCCATCTTCGTCGAACCTGGATTGTGCTGTTCGCAAATCAGTTGCAATCTCTGTTCGGGCTGGATTTGCTCAGCACTGCGTCATATTTTCTCCAGGTCATCGGCATGGACTCCGGAACCAGCCTGATCTTTCTCATCTCAGGTATTGCCCTTGGCATGGTCGCGAATGGTGTCAGCATATGGCTTCAATCACGAGTCGGAAGACGTCGGCTCATCATTCCCAGCTTTGTGGCTGCCGGGATTCTCTACACAGGAATGGGCATCGCTGGATGCTTCAAGACCACCGCTGTTCAGTGGTACAGCGCAGTGTCGCTCAACCTTGTCATCGTTGTCTGCGGTCTTGGCGCCTGGCCCGCCGGCTACTCGGTCATGAGTGAGGCATCTGCATTGAGGTTACGCTCCAAAAGCCAGGCTATCGGTGGTGTCAGTCAACAGGCGGCGAGTGTCTTGTTCAAGTTCACGCTGCCGTTCATTTTCAATCCAGACGCGGGCAATCTCAGAGCAAAGACCGGATTCGTGTACACGGGACTATGCCTCATCGGCGGATTTGGGACGTTCTTCTGGGTACCGGAGATGAAGGGCAGGAATGCCCTGGAGATTGACGATATGTTCGAGCTGAAGTTGCCTGCACGCCAGTTCAAGCATTGGAAAAGTGAGCGTGGCGAACACGTTGAGGCGAAGGAGGAGTAGTGTCGCGGGCTGGGAGGCTCCAAAGGACTCCCCATGCAGCTGAAGCTGGTGCGATCTGTAGCTATCTGCCTCCGAGTGGAGTCAGATGCTACGGCTCAAGCACTTGTGAACACACTATGTTCGAGCTTTTCAGTCGCAATTTCTCATCTGCGTGATGCGAGCAGATCCTCCGCATAATCGTATTCTCAGGCCCTCGTCATCATCGCGCGATGAGAGCACGAACTGCGGAGATCGCCCCCTGCCTTTGTGGGGAAGCAATCGCGCTAGACGCGGCATTGCATCACCCGCAAAGCTTCGATCAATCGGTCGTCCTGTGTGCACGCCTTTTGGTTGCAGCTTTTCGAGACGCCAGGCATTCTGCTTTCCGTATAGTCGTTCCAGAACCGCATCTGCAGAATCCAGATCAGTGGTACAACTCCAAGCACAGCTATGGGGTCATGCCGTCCGATGCACATGGCGCCACATGCTCGACAACTGTGATGCGCACGCGGTGACCGGCAAATGTTGAGCTATACTTCTGCGATCGTTTCGTGTCGACCGTGTCGATTGTGTCGTCATTGCTCTTCCTCTGCTCCATGCTTCACAGAGAGCCGCTACCACTAGTGTGGCGATCACAGATGGACACGCTTTATCTATAGATACGCTTGACGGTGCCTCAATTCTTTATCTTTCTCAGTGCGCGAGACCCCGGGACGGACCAGCAAACATGTTCGGAAGCGGCAAGAAGAACTACTTCGGCCTACGTGGCACGCGACTCCAAGTTGCTGTGGGCGTTCTGGCTGGTCTTGACTTCCTCTTATTCGGATATGACCAAGGCGTGACTGGTGGTTTGCTGACGCTGGAGAGCTTCCGTTCGACATTCCCACAGATCGATCAGTACGAGGATGGCATTTCTGCCGCTGAGAAGAGCGCCCGGTCCACATACGAAGGCATCACTGTGGCTAGCTACAATCTAGGATGTTTCATTGGTGAGTAGGCTGAAAATGTCGTGCTGGCGCACAGTTGATCAAGCACAGGTGCTGCGGCATGCATCTTTGTCGGGAATATACTCGGTCGACGCAAGACCATCTTCGTCGGGACGTGTATCATGATTGTGGGAGCAATTCTGCAATGCACGTCCTACGAGCTCCCGCAGTTCATTGTCGGAAGGATCATTACTGGTATCGGCAACGGTCTCAACACCAGTACGGTGCCCACTTGGCAGAGCGAATGCTCGCGATCTCACCGCCGTGGTCAGCTGGTCATGATTGAAGGCGCTCTTATCACGTGCGGAGTGATGATTGCTTACTGGATTGACTTTGGCTTGTATTTCACAGATCCAAACCCAGTAGCATGGAGATTTCCGGTGCGTTCTACCAGTTCTTCCATCTCACAGCATGACTGACCGCGCTCCAGCTCGCTTTCCAGATCTTCTTCTGCATTCCCATCGTCTTACTCGTACTGCAGCTGCCAGAATCACCACGCTGGCTCATTCTCAAAGGGCATGAAGACGTTGCAGTCAATGTTCTTGCTGCGCTCAATGCCAAAGAGCCTGACAGTACATACGTACAGAACGAGTTCTTTGCCATTAAGGACACCGTGCTCGAGGCTTCGAAGGGCTCTTTCAAGGATCTCTTCACAATGGACGAGTACCGCCACTTCCATCGTACCGTACTGGCATATGTGAATCAGATGTTTCAGCAGATCAGGTATGGCCTTCCCCTTTCGGCTGTGGAGTAATGCTGACGCCAGCAGTGGCATCAATCTCATCACTTACTACATTCCGACCGTCCTGCAGAACGAAGTCGGCCTATCCGCGTTCAACGCCAAGCTGATCGCCGCCTGCAACGGCACCGAATACTTCATGGCGTCCTGGATAGCAGTATTCACCATCGAGAAGGTGGGCCGGCGCAAGCTCATGATCTTCGGCGCTGCCGGCATGAGTATCTGCATGATCGTGCTCGCAATCACAGGTTCAATCGGCACCTCCAAGTCCGGCATTGCAGAGACGGTCTTCCTGTTCTTGTTCAATACCTGCTTCGCGATCGGATGGCTCGGGATGACTTGGCTCTACCCTGCGGAGATCGTCCCGCTGAAGATTCGTGCTCCAGCGAACGCGGTCAGCACGACTGCGAACTGGATTTGGAACTTCATGGTTAGTGCTACTCTTTGCTTGCAGTGTCTGTTGCTCACGAATGCTATAGGTCGTAATGATCACCCCCGTCGCCTTCTCCACCATCGGCTACAAAACCTACATCATCTTTGCCGTCATCAACGGCGCCCTCATCCTGCCTGTCACCTACTTCTTCTATCCTGAGACAGCATATCGGTCGCTCGAAGAAATGGATACGATCTTCACGAAGACCAAGAGTGTCTTCAGCGTGGTCAAAATCGCCAAGGAAGAGCCATATCGTTATGACAAGAACGGCGACGTGCTGATCGACTACACGGACACAGCGGAGCACGGGCGGAGGAAGAGTAGTGCGACATATGCGGATGTGCCGAGGAGAATGAGTCGGGCTAGTGAGAAAGAAGGAACTGATCATCGTGTGTGAAGCGGCTTATGGAACGCAATATGTTGTCTCTGAAGGGAAGGGTGCGGCGATCGACTGATTTGGTACGTGGTTTAGGGTACGAGCTCGTCTAGAGAGAATGGCGGCATACTACGAAAATATCCACGAACGCGCGTACTGCTTCACATGTCGCTCCTGGGCGCTTCAGCGCTTTGCTTCTGTTCAGGACACCCAATCCCAGCAAAGACTTCGGCCCCGATCTCCCCGACTTTTTGCGCAAAGAAGCGCGTAACAACCTTTGTCCTCTCCGCCGTGCCCCAGAAGTCATAACCCTGCAGCACAGCCGGTTCCTGGTCGTCCAGATAGACCACCACCGCAATGCCGCCATCTCCCCCACCACCATACAGGAAATCCCAGCTCTGCACCTCGCCCACCCATGGGTCGAGGACTGCGCCGCCAAAACTCGCATTCACGTCCTGCAGATAAGTCGCAGTGATGAGCGGAAATCCCGGGCTGCCCACATAGTCCTCGAAGCAACTCGGTGTACTGTTCATGCTCGGACCAACAATGACTTGAACGTTTGAGACCCCTCCGGAAGAGCTTGTGTTGGTGTAGTCGAAGAAGCTAGTCCCGTAGCCACCGTCATAGGTCTCGTCGATGCGGACTTTTTGGTGGATGGCAGAGTTGTACCAGAATCCGCAGACGATGTGCGAGAGGGTGTTTGAGTATTTGTGCTGGATGAAGATGCCAGAGAGCTCGGTTGCGATGAGGGGAGGGGAGGGTTGGTGGAAGGTGGCGTTGAAGAGGGAGAGGTGTGGGAAGAGGGTTGATGAAAGCGCCATCTGTAGTAGTGAATGGCCCGGCTATGGGCACTTCAACAATTTGAGATCCCATTGCACCATTTATATTCAGGTTATATACAAATTGCAGGGGTTGAAATTGATCGCTGCCTGGCGTATTTTACTGACTTTCGTGGAGGCATATTCACTTACGTCGTCACTGAACACGAACGCTACCAGCGGTCTCGTCTGGGAGAGTGCGTTGAGTTATGGCACAGGAGAGCAGCAGCAGAATTGGAGCAGGAGCCTGGACACACATGCCTCGCGTTCAAGCTTAAGGGGGTTGTTGGTCGCGGACACGAGCTGTGAGACACCAGCCACAGACTACGACGGCTACCGGCTCGTGACATTGGAAACGACATCAATTACTGCCTGACCGTGGGAGAGATTCGCAGTTGTGAGCGGGATGGCATCGCCGCAGCTTGCCCCGAGCCAATGAGAGACGCGGCGGTCTTTGGCTTCACGGTTCCACCACTTCCACCACTGGCGTTGTTTCGTGTCTCTCAGATATGGAAGCGGGACAAAGGGTACGAATTTTCGAGGCGTGGTAGCATGAATCGAAACGCGTCTGCCTGCGCCTACAATCATGGCTGAGCGGTGTTCGATGATCTGCCAGAGCTATAGATTTTGTCGACGTGGACGAGAACGAGACAGGAAGTATTTAAAAGGCCAGCAGGAGAGGGACATTTGGGATGGGCAAAGCGAAAGTGATACTGCAGATGCCTTGCGGAGATCTACCTGATATGACTTCGACCGGCCCTGACCTGCATGACGGTGCCATCCATCCAGGTGATGCGCCCCCTCCGGCGTATGCGTTGCCCGCGACCGCTCCCACCCTCGGCGACGATGCAAAATCCACTTGGACATTTCGCCCGAACTTGAGGATCTGTTGTCGTCCATTTCGATCGAACAACCGTTAAGCAGCAACACCGACCGACGTCAGTCTTCAGCAGAGCGGACTGCCCCCAACAGTGCCCGCCAAGTCCCACGGCTCAACATCCTCATGCTCGTGGTAGGCTCACGCGGCGACGTACAGCCATTCCTTGTGCTTGCACTTGCGCTGAATCGATGTGGACATCGCGTACGACTGGCAACGCACAGCCTCTTCCGTGACTTTGTCCAAGGGCATGGTGTCGAGTTCTTCGATCTTGGAGGCGATCCGATGGAGTTGATGGCATACATGGTTGCAAACCCAGGGTTGATGCCGCGTTTCGAGGCGTGGCGAAAGGGCGAGGTGATTCGTAAGCGGCGCATGATGAGCGAGATCGTTCATGCAAGTTGGCGGGCATGTTTCGAATCGACAAGGCGATCTGCCGAGAAGAAAAAGGCCAAGGAGGGCAAGCTGTGGAACGAGAAACGTCGAGCGGCGGAAACGGAGCTGCAGCCCTTCGTGGCAGACGCGATCATCGCCAACCCGCCATCGTTGGCGCACGTCCACTGTGCTGAGAAGATGGGTGTTCCTCTTCACATCTTCTTCACGTAAGTCTGCCCACTGCTGTATACGATTGGACTCACAGCATTGCAGTATGCCATGGTCACCGACTTCTCAGCTCCCTCATCCACTGGCCACCATCAAGACATCCTCTCAGAAGCCGAGCAGAGTCAATGCGATTTCGTATCTTCTTGTCGAGAGTCTGATCTTGCAGGGTTTGGGAAGCATGATCAACAATTTTCGGACGAAGGTCTTACGCCTGGATCCGATTCATCCAAGCAGAGCGCCAAGCTTGTTGCACAGCGGACGAATACCACACACATATCTGTGGTAGGCAGAGACACGTCTTACCATCGATCGGTGCTGACACAAACAGGTCTGAGAGCGTATTGCCACGACCGAAGGACTGGCCGTCGAATATCGGTGTGACAGGATTCCTCCCGCTAGAAGGCACATTGAAGTACTCGCCGCCAGAGAATTTGCGCAAGTTTCTCGCCTCCGATCCGCCTCCAGTATACGTCGGATTTGGCTCCATCGTGGTCGCAGATCCAGTGGCATTCTTGACTATCGTCGTTGATGCAGTGCGCTCGACTCGGAAACGCTTAATACTGGCAACGGGATGGAGTGGTGGGAAGGGCGCCGGTCTAGACCTCGAAGGCCAGCCAGATATCTTGGTCTTGACTGCAGAGTGTCCGCATGATTGGCTGTTCCCGCAAGTCTCATGTGTCGTACATCATGGCGGCGCAGGAACCACTGCTTCCGGTCTGAGAGCGGGTCGTCCAACAGTGATCGTGCCGTTCTTCGGCGACCAACACTTCTGGGGTGACTGCGTTTGCGAAGCCGGAGCCGGGCCTCCTCCCATCCCGCACAAGCAAATGACGTCGGAAACGCTTGCGGCAGCTGTTTACTTTGCATCTCGTCCGGACGTAGCCAATCGTGCGAACGAGATTGGGTTGCGGATCAGATCGGAGAACAGTGTCGAGAAAGCCGTCGCAAGTTTCCATAATGGTTTGCCTGATCAGGGACTTGCTTGCGATCTATTCCCTGAACGCGCCGGAGTCTGGCAGCTAAAGAAAACCAGCTGATCCTGAGCGCTGTGGCAGCGGCGGTGCTGGCGAGAAAGCAGCTGATCAACATGGACGACCTGGAGCTGCACCGCAAATGTGACCTGGACATCGCACATGGGCCATACGAGCCGGCATCCGGGGCTGCGTGGGCCATAACGGAATTACTGTTCGATAGTCTTCGTGGGATGGGCGAGATACTAGCGGAGGTCGGCAATTGGCCAGTCTTTACGTATCGAGCAGGCCAGAGGATCAGAAGGAGATTCCCAAACGACCGAGCCGTGGCAAAGATGCAATCGTGGCGAGAGCCTCAAGCGAGCAAACTGTGGGGCCTCCCAGCGACACAGCTAAGAAAGCCTTGAAGTTCCCTGGAACATACTTTGTCGATGGCAGTTTGAGAATCGGCAAAGCAGCCGTGCGGGCTCCTGGTGACTTCACCCTAGCAATGGCTTACGGAGCGCATGATCTGCCACGATTGTGGGGCGATAAGACCGTGAGGAGAGCTCCGAAGTCACCGGTGTTGGCAGTGGGCTGGCGGCCGGTTGCGAAGGATTGTTTTGGGGCGTCGCCGACGGTATCTCGGGCCTCTTCGTGCAGCCAGTCGCCGGTCTCGTGAAAGACGGTCCGGTAGGCATGGCGAAAGGAGCAGCTAGTGGGATACTGGGCTTGCCTGTGAAGTTCTTTGCTGGTATGTTGTTAATCTTGTCATTCGAACTTGCAGACTGACAAGACTTCAGCTGCGAACGCAATCGTTGGCTACCCTTTGAAAGGCATAGATCTTGCTGTTTCCGGAGCATTCGCCACTGACGGCGTTGCGGCGATCAAGCTTCAGACCAAGATACAAGGAGAGCGAGAGCTCCGCAGTCTGGCTGAACAGTCAAAGCAATTGATCGTCCATAGATGGCAGGACTTCGTCATTCAACGGGCACAGACTTGAACGAAAGGCGGGCCATGTCTCGGACAGCATTCGCTTTGCCGATAGAGCCAGATCCGATATCACCTAGGGTACGATGTCGAAATCCTCGCTGATCATAGTCCAATATCTTGGGTCGTCAGGATCGCCGTCCGCTACCATTCGATCGACATCATTGCAGAAAGCGAACTCTGCTCGGAAGGACCTCGATGCTGTCCCGTCACTCAGTTGCAAGGTAAACGTTGAGCACCCGTGAATTCTGGCCCGTTCTGGAACAAAGCCGTCGACCACGATCTGCTCTAGCTGCAATGCTCGTCGGGCAACAGCAGTCGATTGCGGGCTCTTCCAAGGTCCCTCGCAGCCTAGCTGTGAGAGAAGTGTAATGGCCCTCTGTCTGATTGGTAGGCTGCGACACTTCATTGCCGTCAGATAGCATGGTTGAAAGATGCCCGGCTCTAGGCTGTACTGGAATGCAGGTCTGACGGACACTTCATTGACCGGGTGTCGGGTCAGTAGCTCGCATGCCTGGACTATGTCGGCGAATTCGGTATTATAAACATCATAGGCCACTTCGTACGGAACAAGGATGGTTGAAAGGTAGATGAATGTGCTGAGACACTGTGCTCGGAGCACAAGATTCTTCTGGATATCGCCGGCACGTTTTGTGTGCATGAGATCACTGGATCGTAAAGAGGCCAGCGCAGATCTGAGAGCCGCTAGGTATCGGCATTGCTCTTCGACAAGGGCCGCCGGTGCGTAAGCTGCACTCATGTATTTGAAGGGCGATACACGGTAGGCGAAGTGGTAGCAGCTGTGCAACAGCTGAAGTATAGCCATCTTGTCTGTAGTTTTACAAGTCCCCATGAGTTGGACAGCACCTGGACAGAAGGTAGGATCGAGATCTGGTGGCTGAGACAATCTAAACCAGGCTGTATGTATGTCCATACTCAATGCAAGTGCGTGTAGATTCTCGCATTCTGAAGCGGGGCTGAAGCTGGACATTGTGCTTGACACTGGCGCCGGACTGGACTGGTGAGAGCTCGTTGCGGGGGCAGCACGGATGCGACCGATGGCTAAAAAAGCACCACGCAGGTGGAGGGCGCCGCCAGCCAAGTCGCCACACAACGCCTCGCTTGCCGCCAGGAGGACGCTGGCGATGAAAACCTGAGCAGCACTGGTCGTTTTTGTCGTACGTAGCTCTTTCTGCAATGCAAGCAATGCCGCATGTCGTCGGCGGAGAATGCTGTGCGCGGAGTTGCACGAGAATGACGCCGAGGCCGACTGAACGACGGCACCAAACAAGACCATACCAGCGCGCACGGCTGCATTGGTGACCGAGAGCTGGACAATTAATCGAAGCCAGGTGGCACCGTCGTCTTTCATACTGCAGAAGCCATGTCGGAGAGTCTCGAAACAAAGACTTGAGAGATTTGCGGCCTCGTGGTCATCAGTTCTTCCGGGCCCTATGAGTCGATGTAAGGCTTCTGAGGCGTAGCCGTGGCATCGCTTCCCTGCAGCATGACACCTCAGGCAAGTCGGCCGCGTTTCGTCGCATTTCTTCTTGCACGCCCTTTAGTAGTCAGCCAGTGCAAGGGACAATGTGTTGGCTATACTGACTTGCAATTGAGACAGCCGTTCTTTGGTTGGATGACATTGCGCCTGGTCCGCTTCGGTAACAGCCATGAAGACAGCATAGGCATGGCGGTGACAGGCTCATACTGCGGTGTCTCATGCATGTAGCAAGGACAAGAGAAAGTGTGGATCGGTTTGCACTGTCAGAATGCACAGGCTGCAGGATTCCGGAGATTTAGTGACGATCCCCGGCATTCCGCATTTGGTGCAGATGGCTTGGCGACAGGGCTTTGCGGTCGTACCGGCGAGCATTGGTCGGTGCAACCGCTTTGAGCGGCGTTGATGAAAAGCCCGGGGAAGTCCTAGACCATGTATGATCTGCTGAAAAGCAGAAAGAAACTCCATTTCACCGCAAAGGGTCGTTCTCAAGCATGACAGTTTCAGAGGCATGGGAGCGGGCCTGGACGACAGCGGCGTTTTGGGCGTAAGCGATGAGGACACGCCTGCAGCATCCCTCATGAGCACGACTGCCATGATTGAGAAGCGTTGATCACAACAGGGAAGTAGCATTGAATCGAAGTGAACGTGAATGTGGTATCATTGAAAGAGCCTCGTAGCCGAGGCATACGCGAGTCGCTAGGGCGGGACGCGTAGTTTATAGAAGCGAGTTCTCCTGCTCGTCCGTGATCTTGTTACCATCTCGTGGATATGCTCGTCGGCATGTATGGGCCGTTGCCATCGTGACTTCTGTATCCGGTTTGGTTTTGATTCACGTGTCTGGGATGAATCTTCTCGCTCCCAGCTCAAGACTCGTCGATCTTGCCTTCGTGGTCTTCTCCGATTGTGTGATGTGTGATCTGATCGATATGCTGAGGATGCGGGTACCTTCACTCGCCAAGTCGGTGTGGGTGAGGGAGATAAAGAGGCAGGTCCGTTCATGCAGCCGGGGTGCTTGTCAATGTGTGCTCGCCAGATGGCTTCTAGTTGGTCAAGCCTCCTCGCCATAGACGTCGCAGACGTTCGTCGGTGGCGTCGAGGATTATCCCACAGCTTCTGAAGGGCACCATCGACTGTCTGTTGTGCTCGGATGCCATCTAGCTTGATGATGGCGTTGTTGATTTGAGTGCCTCGGGCGGCGTCGACGTCGTGGAAGACTTCCATCTTTGTAAGATGTTGAGGTCGAGGGTGGAATGAGGAGTGATTGAATCACTTGAGATCACGAACGGTGCATTCTGGAGGGAGGAACTGCGGATGTTGTTGCTGAGATGATGTTGAAGTCGTGCTTGCAGATGAGAGTGGCAAGAGGGGTCCGTGCGCAGCAAGTCACGTGAGATTACTAGCCCTTCGGAGAAATAGAACACCCGCTCCGCCCCGATCGCTGCCTGATTTCTGGTACTTCGATTTCCCCTCCCTCCCCCTCGAACTTTGGCATGCGCATGATCTCCTGCTCTGCTCCCTTTCACTCACTTGCGCAGAGCCTGCAGTCCGCAGTCCTTCGTGGCTCCTGGCTGCGCATGATGGAGGGTGGTATAAAAGGATCACCTGCGCCCTCGTAGGTTGAGGCTTTCTCTCCCTCTCCATTTCCTCTTCTCGGTTTCGCGCTCCAGTTGCGAGCATGTCGCAGTCCCTTGCTGGCGACACGCAGACGCTGTCCGAGTTCGAAGCCGAGCAGCGGGCTGCAGAAGCTGCATCTTTCGATGAATCCCACACTGCTGGTTTCGACTTCGCTGCCCTCGTGCCCATCAACGACTCTGCGAGGTTCGCTTTCGATCAAGTTGTCCGTCTCAAGCTTGCTGATGCCGGTTGGAACTCACACGCCCGTGAATTTATCCATGTGAATCAAGAGCTAGAAACACTCGATGGTGACGACTCGGACGTTGAAGTTGGCGCAGTCAACAAGACTATCTACACTGGCCACTTCCGCATGAGCTTGAGTCTGCCTCCTGCTCGTCCTCCTCGCGGATGGGTCATCGGCTGCGGTAAACAGGCGCTGTCAGATCCTGATGTCGACTTCCTCGTCACTGTCGATCGAAAAAGGGATCGCGTCGCGTCGCAGCATGCTCAGATCGTGTTCCACCGAGAAACGCGTGTGCTGATGCTCAAGGTGCCGCCCTCGAAGCGCGCTTTTCTCGACGGTGTCCTCGTCGCTGACGGTGTTGCCAAAGTCACCAAGACAACGTCGACAATACTTATTGGCAATCTCGCTTCCAGCTCCGCTTCCACCAAGATCGCAAAGACGATTTCCTGCGAGGTCTTGACCGACTGGCTGAGCTCACTAACCTCTTCGACGGCGATCGTATCGAGACTGTTGACCCGACGCCTTCTGACCAATACTTCGTCCTTCGAGGTTACGAACTACAGACTCCCCAAGCCGCCGGCGCCTATGGTGTTGTGTCTGCGTGTATCAAGATCAACACAGGTGACGTATATGCAGTGAAGAGAGTGAAGAAGGCGAAAGACGACCGTGAATTGAATATACTTGGTCTCCTCAAGTCACATGTAAGTCTCGCCCTGCCCTGTGATGTCGATGACTGAGTCCTGCGAGCCACATATTTGCTCACTAGTTGAGTCCTTTACCCTCGGCGCCTCACGGGTGCAGGAAGTATATATGATCCTCACGCCCTACGCGCCTCAGACCTTGCTGGCGCTCATGCGTCGCCGACCCGACTTTGCGACTGGATTGCATGTTCTCGCTCAGGTTGCTCAAGGCTTGCTACATATACACAACTGTGGCATCATACATCGTGATGTCAAGCCTGACAACATCCTCATCGCCGACTCTCGTGTCGTCGTTACCGACTTCGGTCACTCTACCATCGAAACAAATTCAAAAGACCACTTCAAGGGCACACTACACTATCTCCCACCAGAGATCTACGAGCTGAAGAGAGGCATATCAAATCGCGGCCTGTGGTCTGACAGATCAGATGTCTTCACCTTCGCCGTCGTCGCAGTCGAGCTACTGTACGGCAGCTTCAGGCGTAATGAAGAGAAAATGATCAGTCGACCGGTTCAGATGGACCTCCTGCGGAACTTGGCCAAAATGAAGACAGACGTGAGTAAACTGATGACTACTTTGCTGGCATGGGAACCGCGGAGGAGATTGGCCATGGTCGATGTGGTCCGGTCGAGTATCTGGCCACCGGCCGATCCTTCCTCGCCTTCAAGGAAACGCCTGCGGAGCGAGGCCTCTTGAGGCATGCGTGTTGCTCGCTCGATAAATCTATCTCTACCGAAGTCCTGGCATGCTGTCTTGATCGCGCCAGCTCACCAATGGTTTCTCCAGCAGTGCAGGTTTTCCTCCAGGGCCGCAAGTACGCATCGACAATGATCTGCTCGGTCGTCGCTGCGTAGCTTCGGGTCATACGACAAACTACGAGCGCGATATCGCTCCGGTTTACAGACGCGAAAGGAGAGGTGCTGGGCCTCAATTGATCCGGTCGCCAGTTCGGCACGCTCGTTCCAGCTGACGCGAGTGGCTTCTGCAGAAATATGTCGGCACATACCACCGAATCAGGCACCGGGTGCACACACTCTACGCGATTACATCGGTGCTTCTTGCGTCGTTTGCGAAGTGCGCCTGAGTACAAAGAGTGGATCCTCCTGTTAAGCATTGAAAGAGCGACGGTGGTGCTGTCACTGTTGCATATCGTTCGAGCACCACTCTTGAGAGGCACATTCAGACTTGTCGGCTCCACGCAAGATGTTGAGCGTCGGGGTCGCAGGAGGTGGCATCGGCGGGCTGTCCTGTGCTATTCATCTTGCACGAGCGGCGCATGATGTTACAATTCTGGAGCAAAAGTCATCTTACACAGAGGCCAATTCCGGAGGAGGCATTAACTTGACTCCCAACGCTCTTCGTTGCCTGAGCGTTCTCCTCGGAGAAGATACACTACGCTCTATCGTCGACGAATCGGATACAGGCTATGTAAGACGTCATAGCGATGGTGCAGTCGTCAACACCGTGGCTTCGACACCGCGTGGAATGGCCCACCGCCAGGACATTCTGCTTGCCCTTCTGGAGGCCGCCAAGGCATGTGGTGTGAAGATCTTGTACGGTGTCACCGTCGAAGGATTCTACGAAGACTCAGACTCGGTTCAGCTAGCAGGCAGCTGTACACGAGCCTTTGATCTGCTCATTGGCGGAGATGGGATCAACTCGCGTGTCCGCACGGTAATGTTCTCTCCAAGATCACTTGAAGCTGCTCCGACGGGCGCCCGAACATTTCTTGTCACGGTCCCCGAGCAAGCTATGCTGGCGCACGAAAGCACAGCAGAGCTGTATGAACACGGAAAGCGTCCCTTTGAACACTGGCTAGGTCCGGAGCGAGTCATAATCGCGTGGACTATGACTCGGAGACGGGTGCATCACCTCCAATTCTGCGACTTCAATGCGGACTGGGCGGTTGGTGAGATTGGGCACGACAAGCGATGGTCTCGCCGCGTCGACGATATGACGGCGCTGCGTGAGCGGTGGCAGGACTTTGCAGAGGGGATTCGTCGGATCCTGGACCTGGCCTTTGATTGCGTCGAATGGAGGATTGCGGAAGTGCCAGAACTTCCGACGTGGAGCACTCCCGGCGGCCGCATTGTGCTCATTGGCGACGCCGCCCATGCCATCGCTCCGTTTGCCGGCCAAGGGGCCTGCATGGCTCTGGAAGATGCGACTGTGCTCGGACTCCTACTGGCAAGGAATGTATCGAAGGGAGATGTTGTCCAGACGGTGCGGACATACGAAACACTTCGTCGACCGAGGATTGACACCATGCGGCGGATCGTTCACGCTAACACCCAGGCATATTCGGCGTTGAACGTCGATGGTAGCGTCTTCTTCGGCAGACATGCCCAACCCACCGTTGGTGGTGACGATTCAACCCCCTGGACGACTGAGCGGCAGATGGGATGGATCACGTCGTATGATGCTTTTGCGGAAGTCGCCGGGCTGCAGCAGATCGAAGTACTGCAGAAGACCCGAGTACCTCCCATGGCATAGCCCTGCCCCGGGCCTGCACGATTGCCCATGGCAGCTGAATCAGAGCAAGTAGTCCTGGGACTTATTGCTTGCTGATGGCAGAATCTTAGCTCTCTCGCTTCAGCATCTCTCTCGGAACAAATTGCAGATCCTCCTTGTTATGCTCAATCGTTCTGACCATGATGATGTCTTCTTCCTTGCCGACGAGTCCATCCTCTGGCAAAAATTTGTCCACATACTTCCTGAAGTAGTCCGCCGGCACTCCGCTTTCGACGCCGTCGGCAATCGCCTTCCGCATCCATATGATATACTCCTTCGAAATAACGCCCTCGGTCGTTCGCTTTGTATCTGTGTAGCAAGTCGCTGGTGCTTCCTGGCCACTCTGCCAGCCACTGCCGTCTTTGCTTACCATTCGAACATCTAGAGTTAGCTTCTGGTGCCAGTGCGGCACTTCTTCGGACTTGTCGAGGGCGTCTTCGTGCTGCTGGGTCAGGAAGTATAGGTTGCCGTAGACAATGTCGTCGTCACTGGCTCGAATGATGTTGCCGAAGCCTACCGAGCTGATTATGAACTTCCAGCCGGGGAGGACGGCAAGGCCGACGTACATGGATCCCGGACATCGCTGTTGCAGAGTTCGTGGGGATAGGTTTGAAGCATAGCCGAAGTACAGGCAACTGAAGGCTGGCGTTGTCTCAGCATTCGAGTCCTCCATGTTTGACGGTTAATGCAGAAGCCCTCAGCGGTCTACTTGATGCTTCCTACGACAAGGACATGAATCTGGGGAGTCCAACGGCAAGCAATGTGAACGTGGAGTTCATGCGGGGAAATCGGGAGTCATTTTCGTCAGATCAATGTCGGATGCTATACAAAGTACTGGCAATTATCTGAAGTATCTCAGACAGATAACATTCAATCATTTACGCACTATATACGATCACTGATAAGATCAAAGCCATCTAAGACACCATATACTATTGCTCCGGACTCCGCGCTTACCCAAATAGCACATCTCGTCAGAAAACCGTGTCCGATCATCATTCCCGCAACTTGTACATCTCATTCCTGCTTCGCGGACTCCCGCAGAAGCACTGGCACTCCTTCCAACATCGGCCTTTGTTTAGGGCCGATCTGCAACATAAGGCTCAGCACCTTCCGCATATGCGCTGGACACTCGGTGATAGGCCAAGCCGCATCACTGCTTTTCGATGCACAGGCATATACGTTGAATGCTGGACGGTCCTCCTTCGCAGCGGACCAAGGAAACCTTTGCAAGATCATGCAGACGTATAGAATGGCGAGCGACCAGACATCAGCAGCTTGTGGGGAATAGTGCGACGCTGAAAACAGCTCTGGCGCCATGTAAGGCAACGAGCCGACGTCGGCGGTAGGCATCCACTTCCCTGTGCTGATGGTGCCGAAGTCGATGATCTTGATCTGGCCATCCTTGACCAACACGTTCTCGAGCTTGATGTCCCGATGCGCGAAGCCAGTGCTGTGGATGTATGCGACGCCGGCGACGAGTTGCTGGAAGTAGTTCTCCGCGTCATCGGTCAAAATGCCACTCGCCGACAAATCGAGCAAGTTCTGCGGTGCATATTCCATCACCATACTCAGAGCGCCATCGATCGTGCACAGATTGTACGTTTGGATGATATTAGGGTGCCTAAGGCCGTCCGCGATGTAGAACTCGGCAAGGACGTTGGTCGCGTATGTCTTCTCTTTCTTGCCGGAGAAGTTCTTGAACTGCTTTGCCGCATATACAACACCGGTCTTGCGTCGTCGAAGTAGACCTACTGTGGATGTCTTGCCGTCTCCCACTGCGCCTGCCATTCGCTCGTATTCATCGCACCAGCATCGGATCGGGCTTTCTTTCGATATTTTCGGACATCGACATCGCTGTGCGGGCACTTCCTTGACGGATGGCTTCAGCCAACTCCTCGTCTGCGTCTTGAACATTGTCGCCCACACAGTGCTACAAAATTGCCAGAAGACATCGCAGTAAGGCCAGCGGTGAGCCGCCTTTTCAGCTTTTTGTTAGCATCTCACGCGCTGCCGCATTGCTTACAAAATAGAGTTCAGATCTCACTCGCGTCCGCTGCATGGTGTATCTGCCGCCAATAAGGCATCGGTCAACAGGCGTGAGGCTTGCTGCGGAATTCTTGTCTGCTCGTGTTGAACAAGTCACAGGGCAGTCCACGGTTGTCGTGGGGGCGGTGTTGGTTTCTTGCCGTTGAGGTCGGTTGAAGTTCTGAGTGGGGAACGGGATATTTCGGGACCCCACGACCAGCAAAACAAAGGATATCCGAATCCTCGGTTCTTCTGATTCTACGCGGCAAGGTTGGTGGGATGCACCCATTTACCTGGGCGCGTTGCCGCCTGACGTGCTGAGGAAGCTACAGCATCGCTCAGGTGCGCCGGCTGTCTGTCAGATGCTGAGAAGCGGCATTGTCACGTGGGAGCGTCGCGATGCTGCAAAGCGTTCACCTTGTGGTGGCTCAGCTGCGGTGCTTCATGCTAACACGAGAAGCCATGCGCGCGCAACATACAGGCTAAGAATAGAACGCACGCTCTGTGATATCGTCCAGTCCTTGGACTGTGGGTGCAGACCGCTTCGTGCGCTGTTCGATGCCAGTCTCGCCGCAGCCTTGCCAGCCTGATGTGTGGTAAGATGAGAGACAGGTCGATTTGTTGACTGATTGCGATCTAGTGCGGATCGCCATGTGCGAGATCGCACTCGTGAATATGGCTTCATTCCATGAGTGAGTCTCACGAACATTGCAGATATCAAGCAATCGCACCACGAGCACCACACGTGCTGCACCTCGAAGCACGCCGGTCCCATTTGCGTTGAGGCAGACTCGGCCAGATGTTTGATCCACCACGGGTCTCTGTCTGAAGGGTCACTTCTACGGCCCAGCGACGACGTTGGCTTCCAGACGCAAGTCCGAAGACCTGCGGATGGCAATACGATACCGACCAGCTGGCGTCCTTGACATAGCTTAAGTTTGCCCGAATCTCCACGATTCGGCACAATATTGATCGGCCGTCTCCTCAACCCGGATGCAGGCCAATCACAAATGGTCCGGTAAGGCAACTGGATTATGATCCAGTAAAATCTTTCTCTTGCCATTATGGAATCTTTCGAAGCGCGATTTCCATGTGCAGCTTTTCACATGAGCATGATTGGATGACACCTGCAAAGATTGGTAAGGTGCAGTAACCTGTCACAACTGGCGTGAACGTGTCCCGAATTGGCAGCGATTTATGCCAAGTTGGGGTGCGGTGAAGGTAAAGCCTGACTCCGCAGGCGAGCTTGGGCAAATCAGATATTGAAGCGAGTTGGGAAATGCTTGCTTCATGAGCTTGCGATTCTTGATTCATCGCATTGTCTGCAAGGAGATAGTTCGCGCAGGCCACATGCGTGACAAATGCTGCATTATCAAAGCATGGACGACTGCGTCGCACCAGGTGGGAAGGAAAGGCATGCACCGGGCTGAGAGTTGCAGCATATAAAGAGGCGGTTCGCACTGAGTCTGCTCTCTGTACTTAGATCACACCACCCTCAACTTCGTCCATCAACAGCATTCGACCCAGGTATTCAAAGAAGACACAATGTCCACGTACGTCGTCGTCGGCGCCTCTCGTGGTATCGGCTATGCTCTTTTGAAAAAGTTCTCCTCAGACCCGGCCAACACCGTCGTTGGCATCGTCCGCACACCTGCTCCCACTGAAGAGCAAGTCCGCAAAGATGGCCTGAATGCGACCATCGTCCAAGGTGATATGACCAACTACAGGTCCCTCTTGTCTGCCGCCGAGAAGGTCCACAAACCCGTCGACTACCTCTGGGTCAATGGCGGACATCTTCACGATGACACCGCTGGGAAGTTCTTCACCGACTACACCGTCGACAACTACGACAAGATGACCGACGACCTCCGCAAAGGCTTCGAGACAAACGTCTTGGGCGTCATCAACACCATCAATGCTTTCCTACCACTTGTGCAGAAGTCAGAAATCAAGAAGGTCATCACTCTTACCACTGGACTGGCGGACGACAACCTGACTCGCGACTATGGTATCTGGGAGACCGCAGCGTATAGTGTTGGAAAGGCCGCAACGAACACGGTCATCGCGAAGTATGATGCCAAGTTTCGTAGCGAAGGCATTCTTTTCCTGGGAATCTCGCCCGGAGTGGTTGACGTCGGCAAGCCTTCGAGCGAGACAGGCCAGAACTTGGGTGCTAAGTTCTACAAGTATTCGAAAGGGCTGAAGGTGCTCAAGCCAGAAGAGAGCGTCGAAGCAATGCTCAAGGTTGTGGATGAGTCCAGGGCTGAGGGCGATGGCGGTCAGTTTTACAGTCATTTGGGCCGCCACCAGCGGTGGTTGTGAGTGCAATGGGCGCCCCGGCCGATGAAGAGCAGCTGTAGGAAGCGTCGGGTGCACGGAGTCCCGGCAATTTCATAGTGTGTAAACGACCCAAAGCCTTGGTCGAGCAGTCTCAACTACCTCGTTGTCAACGTTCCTAAATACATAAATATATTGCATGTCGTCAACATCGGTGTCGATAGTGCAAGCAGGCTCTGTAATAGTACCGTTCGCTGGCACGGAAGCAAGTTTAGGACCATTGAGCACACAGGCCTGTATGTCCGTCTGCTGTCCTTAGCAGTGGACAGCGCCGTGGAATTTTCAAGGTATGGAGGTTACCCCATGATGCAAGGACTTTCGGTTCGACCGGTTGACTACCTAGGTAGACTCTCAGCGGCCATTCGATATTCCGTGCCGTGCATATACGCGTTGCTTGGCTTTCTTTGAAACTGCAATGCGTGTCCGCAGTCCCCGTTGGTCTCACCTTCTTCGGCACACCTCGTTGAGGACGCCTGGAGCGCACAAACAATAATCCAGCGACAATGGCAAGGAGTCATGCTTGCTTAGTCGTCAATTCGCCTGCCCTCCGACTTCCAGACGATGCCTCACTCAGGCTCGGTCAACCACGTTGCCCCCAACAAAGAAGCGCTGTCTGATTCCACACAGCGCGAGCAAGAGGATGGCTAAAGGTTTGACGACTGTCGCTGTTTCAGTGTGCAAATAGCCGTTGATAATCCGCATGGCGTGCTGCTTCACCATGAAGAGACACAATGGGCGACGAAGCGATGCACGCCGACAGGTGAGCACACAACGAATTAGGCGGATGATATGCCTGTCATCAGACGCGGCTTCCGTGGACAGCGAGCGGTGAGCACCGTCAGGTAGGCTGAGACATTGCCGGCTCGTGGGAGATCGAGTTGCACGCCGTCGGTGCTCGTTCCACGACGTTCATGCTGCCCAGAGTATCCGGAGCGCTCATGCCAGTCCACCTTCGCTCGATTGCGAAGCACAAGCTCGGCGTGGCGGGACTGGCAACGCATCTGCCCAAGGCCTCCAGTTTGTGTCAAATGAGGCCCATCTTGCATGAATGACTTACTGGATTGACGGCGCAGCTGCAGAACCGATCCATGCGAGAATCGCGCAGCCTAGAAACATCAAACGGTACCATCACGAAGCCTCATTCGATTCCTGTGTAACAAATTTTCCGGCGACCGGAGTGAGCTTCGACACGAGACCGCACGCCGTCGCTGCGCACCCACGTCTTGATCGAAACTGCGACAATCCGGACGTGCTGCACATCTGAGATCCACGGACACTTCACGACAAATCAAGAACATAGTCTTATACATTCCGAGCTCTATCAAACACCGTGACTAGCCGCACTCGCTAACAAAGAGCGCACCAGGAGGCCAGAGACGTTTCACAGATATTGCCGGGGACTCTGACAGCGAATAGAGCCTGGTCTCACTGAACGACCGCGGATGCGTACATGCTGCGAGGCTTGACATAGGGACCGTCGCAAACCGACGAGCATCTTGGTCTGCCACGAATTTTCACAAGCAATAAGGATATACCTGAGCCACGGCTTCGCATCCGATGTGTCGCGGAAGAGATTCCGATGCGCCGAACCCATAGCTCGGAGAAACAGCGCGGCTCGGATTTGGCGACGACGAGGTCGCGCCTAGGCCAGACTTGCGATGTCGACAGCGGGAATCGTGACTGTGATCATCTCATCAACTCAACAAGTCGGAGACCGCGCAAGCGCATTTCCGTTGCCTGACTCGATTTCTGAGGCACGATTTACTTGTATTCTTTCTGCAGGAACACAGCTCTGGATTCGGCTATCTAGATTTGGGTCGAGATCCCCGCTCCGCCAATCCGCTGCCCTCCCGCAATCGCCTGCAGCTTCCAGACCACTATCAAGATAAGACCGCCAAAGCGCAACGTTCTAGAAGGACCAACTACGGGGATTAAGTTCATCACTTCAGGATGTGCTTGAGCCAGCACCTGCAGCAAGCCCGCTCGTCCAGTGCTGTCGTTCAGATTCAGCTCGTTAAGTCGCAGCTAGTCTTGCATTGATTCTGTGCTCGGCAGAAAGACCTCGTTTCGACTCTGGCGTGTGTTCAATGATAAGCTCTCGTACTAAGGCACGGGAAGCTTTCCGGCTTCAGAGGTCGAGGTCCTTGGCAAGTACGCCTGGGGTTATCGAACCGAGTCCTATCAGCGCCACCAGCACATAAAGATCGCGTGCCCAACATGCGAATCCTTTCTCCACCACAATTCGACCTGCAGCATTACCATGGCCGACCTCAAGGACGAAAAGCACACCGACCTCTCGGCACCAGTCGATGTCAACCAGGGCGGCATCAGCGACGAGCTACCAGCGGACAATGCTGATCACCTCCAGCGCCGCCTCGGTAATCGCCAAATCCAGCTCATTGCCATAGGTGGCAGTATCGGCACAGCTGTCTTTGTCTCCATTAATTCTGGGCTTGCGAGGGGAGGGCCAGGATCTCTTCTCCTGGCGTACGCCATCTACTCTTGCTTCCTAGGTCTTATCAACAACTGCATGGCCGAAATGACTGTCATGCATCCTGTTTCAGGCGGCTTCATCCGTATGGCAGGCCACTGGGTCGACGATGCGTTCGGATTCATGGCTGGCTGGAATTTCTACTTGTACGAAGGCCTCATCATTCCCTTTGAGATCACGGCTCTGAATCTGGTACTGTCATTCTGGTCCGACAACATACCGGTCGCCGCTATCTGCGCAGCTTGTACCGTTCTGTATGGCCTCATCAATGTTCTTGCTGTGCGTGCCTATGGCGAGGCCGAGTTCTGGCTGTCTGGCGGCAAGGTCATCTTAATTTTCTTGGTCTTCTTGTAAGTCCCGTTTGTTCGTCGCATGGCTTTTTCTGACAGGAAACAGCTTCACATTCGTCACCATGGTTGGAGGCAACCCTCAGCACGACGCCTACGGCTTCCGATACTGGAACAATCCCGGCGCCTTCGCCGAGTACAGATCTACTGGCACTACGCAGGTGGGAGGGTTTCCTTGCGTGTCTTTGGAGCGCTTCCTTCACCGTCGTTGGACCGGAGTACATCTCCATGGTTGCTGCTGAAGCCAAGAGACCTCGGATCTACATCAAAAACGCCTTCAAGACAGTATACTGGCGTTTCGCTATCTTCTTCATCGGCAGCGCCCTCTGCATCGGCATCGTCATCCCCTACAACGACCCGAAACTCGTGGCCATTCTGTCTGGCGAATCTAGCGGCGGCGGCACAGCATCGGCCTCTCCGTATGTCATCGCCATGTCCAACATGGGCATCAGCGTCTTGCCTCACATCGTCAACGCCTTGTTGTGCACCAGCATCTTCTCGGCTGGCAACACATACACTTACTGTGCGTCACGGACCCTGTACGCAATGGCACTGGAAGGGCGGGCTCCACGATTCCTCCGCAAGTGTACCAGGAAGGGTGTACCCATCTACTGCTTCGCTGTCACCTTACTCTTCCCTCTACTGTCTTTCCTTCAAGTTGGCAACGGCTCGTCAGTCGTGCTGGGCTGGCTCATCAATCTCGTCACCGCCGGAGGTGTCATTGACTATATCGTCATGGGAACCACATACATCTTCTTCTACAAGGCCTGCAAGGCGCAAGGCATCGATCGCCGCCTCTTCCCGTACTACGGCTACTTCCAGCCATGGTCTGGCTATTTGGGCACCGCATGGATGGTAATCATCGTCTTCACGTACGGCTATTCTAGCTTGTCGCCATTTGACGTTGGATCATTCTTCTCTTACTACACGATGCTGATCCTGGCGCCAATCACGTTCACTGGATGGAAGTTGATTAAGAGGACGAAGATCGTCAAGTCAACCGAAGCGGATCTCACATGGGAGGCACCAATCGTGGATGCCTACGAGGACTCGTTCCTGACTCCGCCAATGGGGTTCTGGCGCGAGATGCTGCAACTGGTGGGGATTGGCCTCAAGAAGAAGGATCGAAGGTCCAGCGTTGCACAATACTAGGCCGGCGCCTGCTGTCTCTTCACGACTCGCCGCACCGCACATAGTTGACAGGGAATGAGCACGATTCGCGCGTCGCGTCTGTCAAATCACCCAGTTTCCTCATTGACACTTCCGTCCCATGCCCCAGGCCCTCCATCACGATGTTATGAGGTTCATGGATATGCAAAGCCTTTTGCTAGTTTCCCAGTTAGCCGCTAGTCAGTGTGTTCGGGGCTGTACTAGAACCAGAGTCTGCTGGGAAGGATTCGGAAATGCGATTAGAAGGATTCCATTCTATCATAAGGCCAAAGCCGGACGTTTTTCTTGCTACCCGAAGGTCTCGTATCTCGTTGCGAAACTCATATCTCCTTCAGAAAGCCGACTTCGACAAGCTTGTCTGCCGGGACTTTGAGATTTGCCATCTTGCCACGCGTGTTGTCCCGCACCCACAAGAATATCGACAGCAGGAACCCGCGGACCAACCGAGTGCCCTTTGTGATCTTCATTTGCTCTTTGCCGATGATGTACAAGACCTTGTGCTCGTACGCCCGGTCCAACGTCTCCACAGAAACCGGATCGTGGTCAATGATCGCATGATCGCTGGCGTCTGCCTCGCTGGGAGCATGAGCCGGTAGCGACGCATCTTTCGGATCAGTGCTGTCGATGACCCTGTTTGGAGCCGTCACCTCGATGACTTGATCCTTGTCGGCGGCGTCAGGATTCTGAGCTGTAATGACTTGTTCTGGAGACGACACCTTCTTCAGATCTGCTTCCGATAACAAAAACTGCCTGACTTGGTTATAGATGACGGCTGCGAGGTCAGGCGTGACGATAATGTCGTTGTAACCGTAACGGACAACTACTCGGTAGCAATTCGGGATCGCGAGCCGCGACACAGTGAATCTATCGTCTGGTGAGATTGATGGCGTCTCGAGTGGCCGGAGGTGGAAGAAGATCGAGACTTCTGGTATCGCGGTAAGCTTCAAGACGAATTGACTGAACACCATTGGCGTCGTTTCTCCTGCTTTGTCAAAGAAGATACCAAGACCTTGGAACGAGCTGACTGTTGTGCCGCTGTATCGGTCCGATAGCGACATCGTTCCATCCTTGTTCTGCTTGACGAAATGCGACGTTGGAAATCGATCCTCCGCCTCTGCGAACCACTGTTGCTCTTTGCCGAAACGCCACAGCAGCAGAAAGCTTGCCAATACGGCCGATAGGGTAATGGTGAACCATGCGCCTTCGGGAACCTTTGTGAGGGCTGACGACAGGAACGCGCCGTCCATCAAAGCGAATACCAAGAAAGGGAACACGACAATGTAGGGCTGATTCGCCAGACGAACATTGCGACAAGGGAAACCATGCAGGTGTCGAAGAAGGTGACGAACATGACGCACGTGCCGTACGCGTTTCCGAGCGAAGTAGTGTTGTTGTATATCGAGGCGACCAACACAGTGCCGATGCACATGACGATGTTAACGATTGGGACATAGAGTTGGCCGTGGAAGGTCTTCGAAGTGTGTACGACGCGGATCTGTGGGAAGAAGGAAAGCTTCATGATTTGGGCGACAAGCTGTGCTTATTAGACTTGCGGATGCTCGCCGACAGGGAACTTACCTGGAACGTTGCAGTAATGATAGCCTGGGAAGCAACAATCGCAGCAAGGATGGCAATCACCAACGAAGGATAGACAGTCCCTGGCGGCGCTGCATTAAAGAAAGGATTGCTGTATGCCTCGGGATTAACAGCAATATATGCCGCTTGGCCGATATATGCAAGTAAGATGCATGGAAAAGTGTACAGAAGCCAGCTTAGCTGAATAGCACGTCGGCTGAAAGCGCCTAGATCGGCAAACAACGCTTCGAGGCCGGTGAAGCAGAGTAGGATGCCTCCGAGCTGCCGCCAGCCTTCCTCCTTGTGATGAATAAGGAACAGGAAAGCCTCACCAGGATTGAAAGCCTTGAACACTCCTGCGTCATACTTAGCAAGATTGTATGCGCCGAAGACCGCGTTGAAAGCGAGCCATATGATAATGATCGGGGAAAACACGAGGCTGATTTTGCTGATTCCAAATGGCTGGATAGCGAAAAGTACGACCAGTATGGCGTCTGTCACTCCGATGATAGTTCCTTTCGAGATATTGGGGGCTACCACTTCGATGCCTTGCACGGCGCCGAGGACAGACTGAGCCGGTGTGAGAAGCCCGTCGGACATGACCATCGTCACGGCTAGCACGCCGATGACTTGGAGGATAATTCGGGCAAATTTGCTTGATTCGAGCCCGTGACGGATTTGTCGTCCCGCGGTTTCAAGATCTCCGGACATATATCGCTTCATTTCGATGAGTGATGCTTCTCGAGGATCACGATTCGTGATGTTGAGCTGTGGCCGTCAGATGCGTCCGCGCTGGACGGGCAAAACTTACATATCGGCTCAGCAGAGAGTACGTGCTGAAGGTGCCGCCTTCGCCGTTGTTGTCGGCGCGTAGGATGATGATCACATATTTGAGGGTGACCATCATTATGAGCGACCAGATGATCAGCGACAGGGCGCCAATAACGTCCTCCCTGCTTGGAGGCGCGGAGAAGGTGGATGAGAAGACATAGAGAGGACTGGCTATGTTCTTCGTTAGTTTGAATCGGGACGTGAGTGAGGAGTCAATGATTGATTTAGAGGCGAACACGAGATGGGAGTAGGAGACAAAGGCATCAGAAATGTCTCCGAGACCTCCAGTTTCCACTCCGCTCCCGTCCCGAGTCTGGGAAATAACTCACTGCCAATATCGCCATATATCACGCCGATCGACTGGTATGCGAGTAGCGCGAGGACTTTGCCGCTGTACACCTGCTCCGGTCAGTACCATGGCGCGTATTCGTCCGAGACCGTACCTTCGCGTGAACGTAGTCTGATTCCCTCCGAAGGCCTGGGTCATCGTCCTGGGTTGTGCCTTGCCGGCTGAACTGTCGGCTGAGTTGGTGCGTTGACGATCGCGACCGAATGTTGTATATTCCATCCTCGCCTTCGCCTATTGACGAATTTGTGCCGCGACGTCGCGCGGTGTATGCACTTTGGGTTGTAGCAGCACGTGGTGTTCGAAATGTTGTCCCTGGCTCGCCTTCAACCCGAACATCGTCAGCGATCTGTATGGTCGGCATCTGAGGTCTTCAGTGGTACTGCTGTGACAACCATGCAGAAATGAGAGCGGTGAAAATTAGCAAGAGCTGCTGGATGAAGTTGAGTTTGTGGATACTGGGGTTCGGCGAGACGGAGTTGCTGATCTTGGCGAAGCATTGCGTGGACAAGGGACCTAGACCGGCGGCTGAATTGCAGCCACAAGGGCAAATCGCGTTCGGAGCTTCGCGCGGGATTTGCGTCGGAGCCGCATGGCCAATCTGAAGTGCGCGATAAGCCAAACACGTGCTGGGACTTGCGTGAATTGAAAGGCTTACTGCGGATGAGGAACGATGAAAGATCTTTGCACTTCGCCTACCTCAGCCCGTAACCTTGGCTCTCATAGGGCCATAACACACATGAACGGCACCTCTCGCGATTCATCGTACTAGTACCTTCACGTTGGTAGGAAATGTCTATGCGCGGTAGCATTAGAGACGCGAAAACGGCTTGGTCGTGTTTGAGAAGGAGTTGGTAATGCTTCTCCTAAATTTAGCACTGACGGCCAAGCTTCTTCGCCTGTGCCTTGGCGCTCTCACAAGCCTTTCTCTAGCTGCGTCATGAGTAAGCACGAGAAAAGCTGCAAGCGACGCACTCTGGAATCCCTACCGCGACACTCAATTCCTGAAGATGCTCAGACACAATCGATGTTAACATACGCTATTGCGCCACCTGTCGAACTCATAAAGCTGTGTCGATAAGCTAAGCGGATGAGGTCCAGGCTCCCTCTCTCCTTCCTGCGACACCGCGCGCCAGCTTTGCACGATGCCATCGATCGTTCGAGACATGAATAATACACAACTTGCCGGTCGGGCAGCCACTCACTGGGCGTTCTCGCCTTCGTGTTGTCTTTCATATGCGTCGTAACTGCGCTCCGTCGCCCACCTGCGGAGGCTTTTCAGGTCCCGACATGTGTGCACTCTGTCGAACCCGGTATACTCCCTCCCAGTCCCCTCGTCGAACAGCTTCGGAAGAGGTGTCATGTCACCATGACATGTAAGAACCTGTCGCAATAAGTTGATACAGTGATCCCGATGGGCGATGTGCGACGCCGCTGGGTGGTGCAAGTCCGCAGTGTAATACTCAAAATCGAACGACTTCCGCAGGTAATTCAGACAGTGTAGGTCATGCAACCATTCCACTTCGATCTGGTACACACCAGTATCGAACAGATGCATATCAGCATCGATCTCTTCTGCTTCGGTAGGGGTGATGTACAGGTCGAGGCCTCTGGTCAGCTCAAACCAGGCTCTGTCTATTGATGGGTGCGGGTCGCCGACGTATGCTTTCGAGTCTGGATTTGTCCGAACAAGGGTGCCGTTCTCGTCATGTCGGATGCCACCAGTGAACTGGACGGGGCCGACGGAGAGAATGTTCTTCGCGGGAGCGAACTCGGCGGGTTTGATGTCGGTCGAAGTGCACGAGGCGGTCACCGGCACGTTCGGTGTCCCCGGCCAGTATCGCTCATTCGTCAGCAGAAGCCAAATGTTCAGTGCACAGGAGACGATTGCCAGCGCCCATGGAACCAGACGATAGGAGTCAAAAGCCTTGTCTCGCTCCCACATCTCCAAGGGTAGGTTTCTGATGTGGTGTACCTGATATTAAGTCGGCTTCGAGTTGCGGAGAAAGACTGCTCTCAAACAGCTTATAGCGACGGAACGTTTCCGGACACCTTTGCACAAGCGGTCCGCATGTTTTGGAGTGCTCGGTCGCGCTTCTGTGTCCAGGTCGATGGCAGACCTGCGATAGAGAGCCTCCGCAAGGCATCGAACGATCTACGGGACTCAACAGCATGCATGGAGCCACAACCGAATCCGAAACGCCTGGCTCAGCGCTTCTCGCACTTGCTACAATGATTCCAGCATCAAAAGGGCACGAGTCATGCTGGAGTCACAGACGCAGACCAAGTCGCTTAGAAATGGGCTAACGGTATTGGTCAAGTCGTGCGAGAAACATGAATCATGATGCGAAGACATCTCTAGCCTCGGATTTCAGGCAACGAAGACTACCAGGATGCATCTGGGGCCAGACCAGGACGAAGGAAGCGCCGCGTCAGACCTAGTTCACACATTCAAGTCGAAGACTATATTCAAGCACTGCGGCTTCACAACTTGGTCGATTTACATACACTTTCACGCTGTTCATCGAAGATTATCTCGTGTCGCCAAAGCAACGACTCCCCAAAATGAAGTTCACCTCAGTCATGGCTGTCGCCAGCCTTCTCTTCGCTGGCCTGGGCCTGGCCGCGCCTGCTGCTGCACCCGCTCCAGCGATCATCGATGACATCGCCGTGCGTGCGGAGAACGGCAAACGTGGAGGTGGCCACGTGATCCACGTCGCTCCCGGTGACGGATCAGACGACGCCGGTACGTCCATGGTGTTCAGCATGCATTGTGTACTTTCGAAGGCTGACACAGGCTCTTTCATCCAGACGAATGAGCACGACGCTGCTGTTGTGAAAGATGTCGAGACACGGGAAGGGGGAGGGTATCTCGACGGAAGTGAAGGCTGGCGGCGACACACATTTACACTCTTTTGGACCGACAACGAAGCTACGGTCTGAGCGCCCTAGTTCATGCGACAGTCGGTGGACGAGTTTAAAGAGGAATGCGGAAGATTACTTGGCGACAAGAAAGGACGACCGCTCGGGATCCCATTCCTGCCGGGACACTGCTTGCGGAAATGCCAAATACTTCCTTGTTTGATTCTGCTACGTTGTTCTCGCTTGCACGTGTGCAGTCCAAGTAAAGTGACCAGCCCATCAGCACCTTACTGCCCCCGGCATATGGATCAGATCTGCTGTGTCGCTTGCATGCTACCGAGCGACGGTATTACGCTATCAGGTGCTGACAAAACGACGTGCACGGAATTCAGCGGTTCGATCCACTCGATATGATATCCAACTTAGATCCACAAGTGCTGTGCATGGGGTCAGGCGTTCACAACGACTTGCATGAAGTAGCCTGTACGCGAATCACTTGGCAGGAGCCGATCATATGGGGCCGGAACACATTCTCCACAGTCTTCAGACCAGGAGATCTAGCGTACAACCATTCGACGATTAATTCAACGGCGTGGCCACGGGAGCTTCCCATGCGTCCAGTCCGGCACATGGGCAAACGCAGCGACCGGCAGATTAGCATGCCCTGTCCGTCTGTACAGGTCATCGCTGTTGACGTACTGATGATCTTGCATCGTGCTACCGAAAAGCTCGTCGAATCTCCTGGAAAGTACGGGCAAAGCCGGCAAACAGTCGTGGCTGGACTTCATCTCCGAGTATGAGTCGAAGCAATGACCACAAGCTTGATTATCGCCGCTACTGGAGTCACAGCGATGACAACCACTTCGTTACTATACATGCGCCACCGACCGAGTTGGAGCTGCAGCAGACTCTTTTGCTAGCAAGAGGAGCAAATCGCTCACAGGCTGGCATGAAGGACATACCGGAAAGGAGACTATCTGTGTGCTTAGCGATAGTATTGAATGTCACTGCACTCAGCATTCTTACTCTGGTCACGCTGGGTTCGCTCACTATCCCGGGCCACCATTCTGGCAATGTCCGGAACAACGACTTTGAGAGCGCATCATCCACGGTCAGGACCCTTTCCAGCATAGGACTTCTCAACCAACTAGGACCTATCCCACAAACGTTCGCTCGCGACATCAGCTTCCACAAGATTTCGACCTGGAAGAGGTCCTATCCTACAACAAAAGGGTACGTGGCGATTCGCAACCCAACAGCTTATGGTCTCTCGATGGGATGGCCGTTGAACAATACTCTGAGCAGCACCGATCCAGAGTATTCAGAAGCATATGGGATTGCCATGTATCATCAGCTGCATTGTCTCAAGGAACTTAAGAGAGGGATGGCGGCGCTGCTGAAGGGAAGAGATGTACCTGAGGAACGTGTGGTCTATGATGATTGCTTTGATTACCTGAGACAGGTATGCTATTGCCTTGTTTGTTGCTGTTCGCAAAACACTTTAACCTCGCCATGTGCATGCTGACCGATGCGTGCGTTGTTTAGTCCATACTCTGTCAAGCAGACACGACCATCGAGCCGTTTGCTGTGGTACACAATATGCTCGTCGAAGGGGTGGATGGTTGGGGTAGTGTGCACTCCTGCAAGGAGTTGAAGTCTTTGGAAGACTATCTGGACACGAATAGTGCATATTGAGATGCGCCGGCGTTTTCGCGCGTATCCCGCATTCAATCCACGTCTTCCATGAATGGCATCTTTTCATTGCGCTCATCTTGCCACTTTCTGATCTGCTCGAAATCACGACACGTATGTAGCTGTCCCGTGGCAATCGTGAGGTCAAGGCCCCGCCATTCATAGAATGGCGCTGGACTGAGGTCGCCGAAGCACTGAATGCTCTGACGTATATGGTCAAGACAGTGCTCAAGATGAACTTTTGGCCAGGATGGCGGAATCCGAATCATTGGATCGTCGACGTGGGTAGGATGTTGTTCGTAGTAGTCGGCATGGAGGTTCTTGCGGATGTAGTTGAGGCAATGCAGAGAGTGAAAGACGTCTAGCTGCATGTAGGTCTGCTTTGCGATTGGATTGCGGTATAGGCCTTTGAAGTTTGCATCCTCGCTATGCGAAGCGGTACCGGCCATCTGCGATACTGGATAGCCCGACGAGAACAGCAATGCTTCATCATCTGTCAAGGCCGGATACTGGCCGTACAGAAGGTGCTGCCATGCCTCATCGATCTCTGGAGAGGGTTTTCCGAAGTACTGCATGGAAGTACCATCGAGGACCCGGTATACATCTTTAGTGGTGTGATTGTATGAAATCCAGCCTGTGAATAAGCTCTTCTTCGTGTTGATTGCGGATCGGGCACTTGCTGCGGCGCAAAGGTCGCATCAGATCTCCAACGGCGTAACAAGGAAGTTCACAAAGATACTCACCTAAATCTGTGGTGAAGCCACTGTCGAACGATCCATCTAGCGGGCATCTCGCATGGACGTGTTGGTAAGCGGCCTGGAGACCACTTACAAGTGCAAATATTAGAGTCAAGGACTGCCAGACTCTTAGGCCACTCCACACTCGAGTTGCAGATGACTGATGGAAGGCTGTGTCGTTGTCGTCGTCGTCGCTTGCGACCTGACCCAGCGGCGAGTAATGTGCTGGCATACTTAGGCGGTAACAGCACAGTCCAGGTCGTTCTCGAGCCGATGCAGTCAAGTTAGGCCGAGGCTCTGTGACATTGCATGGTGTGGCTTGCGCGACGGCCCACGAGCCAGAGCCCAAAAAGCCCACGTCAGATACCGAACGGATGCTGACAAGACTTGGCGACCACTCAAGCACAGCACGATATTAGCAAAGGCAGTTTGTGCGTCAGGAAATCCATCGATTGACAAGTAATGCACCAAACAGGCTCTTGTTCGGGATGGCGCATGTTTTCGCTCGGGGCACACAGCGCAGTGGTTGTATCAGAGCCGCAGAAGACAGCGCTACGCGGCTTGACTGCAGCCTAGCCGCGCCCAACCGACCTACCTTTTCCTGAAAGATCAAGTGACTGTTGCACCGCTGACTTAGCGCCTCATCCCCATGTCTTGATTGTGCGAACAATCCTGCATGTGGAAAGAAGCTTTCCATACCGTTGCGGTGGATCTTGCCAAGACGATTGCCTTGATAGTGACGACACAAGATTTTCTGTATCAGCACGGATTCAGTATGTTGTGCGGCTTGCAAGGACATTTCTGATAGGTTCGGACTCTCGCATTTCCGCTGTCTACAATGGAGAGGCAGCCAGGTTCCTCTCGCCCCATCCGCCTTCTCCTTTCGAGCACAATTACCGCGCAGCCCCCAAGTTTAGTTGCACCACAACCCCGCAGCACATGTAAGCCAATGTCTCCAACAACTCACACAATCTGGGGCCGTCGCTCGTCTTGGCCAGAGCTGCTACGCTAGCGCGAGATATCTTGTGGATTGTGCGGTGTATCAGTTCTGTCCATTCCGGACCGATGGTCTCTTGGATGTAAGACCTGGCACTCTGATCAAGGGGCATAGCCAAGACCACCCGCCGATCCCAGGCTTGAAGCTCACCATTGCACATTCAAGTCTTACTGCAGATCAGCGCTCCGACGAAGCACTCCATCGCGCAACTAGCCGAAAGTCGCTACGGTAGCGAGGTTGTAGCATGGACGGTGCGGAAGCCTGGCTCCCACCATTCAGAACTCGACGGCATATAGCCTGAAAGCTACGTTGTACCAACGAGGTGTCGCTGACATGTCTCGGGACAATACACGAGTCATGAACGTTGACCGTGGTATCGCGCATACAAGTGTCGTCAGCGAACACAAGGAAAGACGAGCATGCACCGCTAGGGCCTTCTGCTCAGGCGTACTCGTCGAAGTGGATCGGTAGAGCTACGAGCATATGACGCCGGCCTACCATCAACTCCGGCACTGCAAGATGCGTGCCCAGTGTTCTTTGTACGCCTACCTTCAATCTACTTGCTTCGGAAAGGTACCGCTCTTGCTAGAGACGTCTCTTTGCCTCCTGCTGGGGTGGCTCGGTCCGTGATCAGGACCAGACTGCCGCATCCTAGACGACTATATCGATTACCTGGGCTGCATCCAAAGCACGCGACTGCTCGATAGCCAGCTCTGGTACTGTCCGATACACGAGGATCTGCAATGGTAAGTCTGGGGTTGTACGTGTGGCAATCACTTCATGCTCGGGGAGTTGACAAAGCGTAGCTCAAGTCTGCGGTCTTGGTTGTGGCATGCACCGTGTCGCTCTGTGTCGGCTCAATATGGCCTGACATGGTGCAGAAAGCTCTGAATGTGAAAGAGCTTGTGCAGCAGTCGTGGCAGCCAGCTACGCTCGAGAATATATGCAATGATCATCAGTACACGGTCGAGATCATGTCTCTTGATCCGCTCATCATCTACATCAACGGGTTCTTGTCTCAAGGCGAGACAGAATACCTCGTGAAGAGCAGGTAAGGCTTCAGCGCTTTGCAACGCTAGATCTGACAAAACAGCACGGAGTACACCGGACGGCGCTCGAATGGCGATGGGCAAACCAGCAACGCGCCGAAGTCATATAAGGTATCCAAGAACGATAGTATCATGCTCTGCGTTGGACAACGAGCACTGGACTTCCTGGGTTTCCTCGAGCATGATGACTTTGAGGAGCCTTGGTTTGTGAGGTACGAGCCGGGACAGAAGTTTGGACTTCATGTTGAAAGCGCCGAGGCGCCGTATACGGACGAAGATGGCAGCCTCTACAACAAGCTGGCCACCTTCTTCGTGTATCTCGAGGCGGATTGCTCAGGCGGCGAGACCTACTTTCCTTTTCTGCCGTCTGTTCCTTCTGACGCAAATGGGAACAAGTTCTCGAGGACTGCAAGCGGGAAGGGATTGGTGTTCCGGCCGATACGTGGAAATGCGGTCTTCTGGCTGAACAATCATCCTAATGGTACTGTGCATGAGTCGACGGCGCATATGGGCTTACCCATCACGGAAGGCAAGAAAATTGGGATGAATATCTTTACAAAGCAGAGGTGGGTTGCCCAATAGCTCGAGCCAGACGAATCAGCGTGATCAGTTGACTGGACGTGCTGTTCCAAACGCACTCATCGAGAAAGTACAGTTCCTCGTAGCGTAGATGTGAAGCAGCGGTTGAAGAATGGATAGGCACCCATGAGCAAGGCATAAATTAAGAAGTGCCTTGAGGTCTCAGATTCCACAACCGTTGTTCAGAGACGCAGAAGACAACGATAGTACTCGATAGAACACTTCGGCGGTAGTGGGCACGTGGCCGGGATCGGCCTGATGAGAATTGGCCCGTAGCTTGAGCTCGAGCCGCGGTTGAGTATGATTCGCATGTTTCGGGCTGCCGAAAACCAAAACCGAAAGGTTGTGCTAACCAGGCTGTACGGCAGCCTTACCATGAGGGGATGCCACTCGAAGATGTGCAATCACGTGCCAAGTTTCAGCTTGGCACTTGGTAGCTTGGCGAGACGCGTGAGCTCAAGCCTTGTTCAGCCTCAGCTGACTTGGCGAAATTGAAAGCGCAACCCTCTCTTTTCTGTACATGCGTTGGCCTTCAGCTCTTGCACGTGGCTCAAGCCGTGGTCCGCTTCGAGAAGGACGCGTGGAAGGTGTATCGCTCGAAGCTGTGGGTAATGACAGGCACGTCAATCGCGTGGCCGTCACTTGGCAGACCGTCCGTGGACCTCACATACTCTGTACGGGACCGAGATGAGCAGGTCGATGTACGAGCGACGCCTTCGTATGTTTCAAGAGCTTCCTCTCGACCTGCCATACCAGGCTGCCTCAGCAGTGGCGGGCGGCAACCCTTTCTCGCGCCTTAGGCGCGAAGGCACGAAAGTCCACACGACAAGCCACAACTTTACGAAAGCTATTCTGATCGCAAAGTCAAATGCCTCAGCACGCGGATTTGTGTACAGCAAGTGTTTCGAGCGTATCTGGTTTATATATAGCGTCAACGCTCCCCTAAACTGACGCGGATGTCCATTAGCCTCCATACTTGGTTTCGTGCTGTGCTTACCACATGATTCACAGACAATAAGTCTAATATATCGTACCCGTATACAGCGCTAGGGCTATGCTATCTTGCATACTACAGCACGAGCTTTGGTAACAAGCTCTTAGCCGGGTCTCCTTCAATGATGAAGACATCACAATCCCTTGGTATACTTGCTCTTTTTGCTCAGGTGAGGACATCTTCCACATCGGCGAGATCAACCGAAGTAATACAGACGCAGAATGCACTCACAGTGTCGAGCAACGTAGGGTCGCCGGACGACTCTTCCAAAAATGCGCTCGTGAACGCACCAGGATGTTCAGGCTTGCTTAGCAGCAACAACAAGCGCATACAGTCAAGCGGCGGGACCGAATTCGCTGTGACATGCAATTCTGACTTGCCCGAAGAAATGGGAAAGATCTGGAGCGGCAACAGTGTATCGCTCGCCGACTGCATCGAGCGTTGCGAGAACACAACGTCATGCACAGCTGCAACGTTCAAGGAACAGGCAAGGACGAACTCGACGAATTGCTTGCTACAGGCAGTCCTTATCGGCCGAGCCATCAATCCTGCGCCACGAAATGGATCTTCACTGGCTTACAAGACAGCAGATACGAAATGCTCAGCACTTCTGGCGCAAGGTGGACGAGTACAGCTACCAGAGCGAAGAGACTACACTTTACAGTGCAAGACCGACGTAATACCTGAGACCGCGCTTCGCTCGACTTACATGGGATCGATGAATGAGTGTCTCATAGCTTGCGACACCGAGGAAGGCTGTGCTGCGATATCATATCGAGAGTTGGATCAGAGGTGTACTCTCGCAAGCGCCGACAAAGCGGTCAGATTTGTGTCAAGCAATGCTACGGACGTAGCCTATCTGACGGCACTGGATATCACCAAGCCTCTTGAGAAGGAGGTCACTGGCAGTTGGGGCCGCACGATCGACTTTCCAGTTATACCAGTCGCCGTTGCGCTTCTACCAAACTCACAGAAGCTATTGGCTTGGTCTGCCGACTACGAGGACGATTACACAATTACGTACAACAACACAGAGCAGATTCACTCATTTCGCCGAGATGGACATCTCTACACAACATGTCACGGTCGAGAAGGTAGCCAATACTCATCACGTAAGTTCTCCTGGTGGCCAGGGCCTCCTCACTTCCTTCCTCCTACTGCTCCTCATTCCGCCACCCGCATACCTGCCCAGTGTCCTTCCTGCGCCTTCTGCTAGGTGCTACGATCAGTGTGCTCGGGGTTAGTGCTCGGACCAGGATATGCTAGGAAAGGTCGGGAAATGTGATTGAGCCCACGGAGAGCCTACTTGAAACGACCTTAGCTGACACGTCCGCAGAACATGTTTTGCCCTGGGATTACCTTGGACGCCATGGGCCGGATGATTGTCTCGGGAGGCTCGACAGATAAGCCAGTCAGTGTTTATGACGCCGACATTGGGAATTGGACAGCTGCATCGCCAATGCACATCGGACGAGGCTATCAATCTAGCGTGCTTACCTCCAACGGCGATGTGTTTGTGCTTGGTGGCAGCTGGAGTGGTCCCAACGTGACCAAGTACGGAGAAATCTACGACACCAGAGCAGATACCTGGACAGAACTTCCTGGCTGTCCAACGGCGCCAATGCAGACACAGGACAAGAAAGGTATCTATCGATCGGACAATCATGCATGGCTCTTCGGCTGGAAGGACGGCTCTATCTTCCAGGCCGGGCCCAGTAAAGCGATGAACTGGTTTTACGCCAACGGATCGGGCAGTTATAGTCCTGCGGGCCTTCGAGGTGACGCCGAGGACAGCATGTGTGGCAATGCGGTCATGTATGACGTTGGGAAGATCTTGACGGCTGGCGGCTCTCCGAGTTACGACAACACTGTTGGCCACTATGCTGCCCATCTCGTCAGCTTGCCCAGCGCAGCCAATGGATCTGTGGATGTCAGTCGGGCGCCAGACATGGTCTATCCACGCGTGCAAGCGAATAGCGTGGTACTTCCGACGGGCGAGGTTTTCGTCACAGGAGGACAAGCTTTCTCAGACATCTTCACCGACTATCAGGCTATCTATTACTCCGAGATGTTCGATCCAAGGACCAAATCATTTCGACTGCTCGATGCTATGCAGCCTATACCGCGGACGTATCACTCGGTCGCGATACTTCTGCCAGATGGAACAGTGTTTACAGGTGGCGGAGGGTTGTGCGGGCCATGTCGCTGGAATCATCTTGACGGAAGTATCTACGAGCCGCCATATCTATTCAAGGGCAATGAGTACGCAAAGCGACCATTTATTACTCGCACAGGCACGGACGAGTCGACGACAGCCCTAAGCTTCACAGCTGGAGCAGAGGTAACGATTACAGTTTCACCTCCCGTCTACTCTCAGGCAGGACATACGTTCGCAATTGTGCGGGCAGGCTCGGCAACGCATAGCACGGACACGGATCAGCGAAGGGTGCCTCTACGGCCGATATCACAAGCACCAAATGGGAGTGACGTCCAGTATACAGTGCAGCTTCCCAGCGACTATGGAACGTTACCAGCAGGATGGTATATGCTGTTTGCATTGGATGATGACGTGCCTAGTCTTGCGACCTGGATCCGGGTAGCCTTGCCGTAGGCGCTCAGCACTGGAGTAGATCTCACAAGGACAGCTATGCTAGGACTATACTCACAAATAGTCAGAACCAGGATCAATTATCCGTTTCTCTAATCACAACCTGAGCACACTAATTCGAGCGATGCAACGATGCCAGCCGTATAGATACACGCCCCAGCACCACCATTACTATCCTCTATCCCTCCGCAATCACTGGATTGATAGGCATAAATCATGCAGGAGGAGCATCCTTGCAGATTGAGGTTGGACAATTCGAAATTGACCGCCTTTTGCTCGTTTCCCGAGAGGTTCAGACATTGACCACTGGAAATGGCGGCATTGGCGAAATTCGAGCTTGCTGGACACGAATTTGCAGCTAAATCATTGTAAAATAAAATCGTGCCGGAAGGGACTGGGCCGGCAGACGTCGTCGTTGCTATAGTGCTAGTCGTCGTCGTCGCCGTCGCGGATGTTGTTGAGGGCGTCGTAGAGGGCGTCGTCGACGTCGTTGTAGAGGATGTTGTCGAAGGCGTCGGCGAGGGCGTTATAGAAGGTGCTGTAGAAGGTGTTGTAGAAGGTGTTGTCGAAGGCGTTGTCGAGAGTGTTGTCGAAGGCGTTGTCGAGGGTGTTGTCGAAGGCGTCGTCAAGGGCGTCGTCAAGGGCGTTGTAGAGGGTGCTGTTGAGAACGTCGTCGAGAGCGTCGTGGAGGGCGATGTCGTGGCAATACTAGTAGCTGTAGTTGCTTTAGTAGTGACTTTGGAAGCGGTGCTCTTCCCCGTCAAAGGGCAAGGCTAATGGCCCGAGTCAGCGTCAATGGCTTATAAATCGGCGTCGCAGATGGACTTACCTGAGGTGTCTCAATACAAGAGCAGACTCTGGAAAGACAAGCAGAGCCTTCTTCTGCGCACTTGATCCATGCCGCAAGTTCTTGTTTGGGACTGACAGGCTTGGAGGCTGGTTGGCAGCCCTGTATCTTGCTCGAAGCGGTAGTCGCAGTAGTCGTGCATGCGATAGGATATGCAAGAGAGCAGAACTCCTGGGCTATAGGATACTGAGCGACCTGACGAGCGACGTCTGCGTACGGCTTTTGACTGCAACAATTCTCACGCTTGTGCAAGGAGTGACTGCCTGCATCCGCAGAGGAGAATTGCCAGACGAGAAGCAGACTGATTAGACTCATTAAGGCCATATTGCCGATATAGAGACGTCAATGGCTCCGTCGGCAGTGCGAAGGTAGTGCGATATTTCGTCTCGAACTCGAGGATCAAGCCGTGATGTCGAGGCTGGGAGGTCACCGCGTCGGGGCGCTGTGCTATTGTTACACTTATTATCCTCACCTGAACGGTGCGAGCAGAGGCACATCGGTCCTTATAAGACATCAGGAGCAAACATCGTTGCCACAGACTCTTCTCGATTTAGAGATTTGATTCGGATCAGATAGTCTTTATCGAAGTTGCTTGCTGCGCTTCAAAAAATGAAGCTTTATTGAATGTGTTCAGATTCGTCGATAATTACAGCCAATCATGCATATTGTGGCCGCCAACAGCAGATGATACCACTCGACATGCCTATCGCCAATCGAATCAACTTCTGAGCCGAAATCTGATGCTGAGAGAAGCAGCATTCCTATCCTGACGCTCACTTTAAGGGTAGTGGCATGTAGTGTAGTGACCCTACCAAAGTGTGTGTGGGTCCCGCCAAAAAGCAGCAAAGCTTGGTCAAAGCTTAGTGTGGGCTTGAGTTGCTCGACTAAATTGACCAATCACGGATGATGTAAATTTGAAGATTCGTCACACCTTCGAGCTGACCTGACAGCGTTTCACGTCGTGCCCTGCGCAAGGAACCATCTTCAGGCACGACCTCGGCTATGCGGCTGTCGTAACGCTATCAGCATACATGTTAAAAGCAATGACGTTTCGCGTACACAGACTATCGCCAGCCTCGAGTCAGAGACTTACCTTGTACTTCCCGAATAATTGCACGGCCTTTGGCGAAAGATCGCTGCGGCCGTAACCCCATCGTCATTCCCAGCTACTCACGGCGCTCTGCTCTACACCCCTCCGGCTCTTCCGTCAGCCAGCCGCTTGTAGCATGCCATGTAGTAGATGAATGGGCGCCAAGTGACCGTGCCTACTTGCCCTTGTGCCTTCTCCCGCACAAGAGTCTCGATGAACAGTCATAACCTGGCAAGAGGGATGGAATTCTGGAAATGGCAGGGGTCTTACAGTCGAACTAAAGACGCCAGGAGGGCTACATGAGGCTTTCATTTGGAATGCGCGCCTTCACTTGGGAGCAACCGCCTCTGTACGCTGTGATCGACAGTGAATTTCGCATAGGAATATCAGCTTCAGCCTCGGACAGTAAGTGTCAACAAGGAGAAAGGGCTTTGTGCGGCCGTTACACTCGAATTTGTCCATGTTCTACACGATATATCTGAAGTCTTCGATCTCTTTTGTGGTCTCGTCGACTCCGTCCAGGTTTGTGTGGTTCCGCGCATCGACAGAACGAGTTGCTTCGGGGTCTAAGTGACAGCCTTGTCGTTGGTCGCGTCTTTTGTTGGCTTTCGTCAGAGACAGGCGCAAAACAACAAGCAATGCGATTGCTGAAGCGTTGCAAATAAGTATTGCTGTATACGCAGTCTGCAAGGTTGAGGCCGCTCGTTAGCAAAGACACGTCGTCCAAAGAGGCTCGCGATGTCGTCAAGGAATAACTCACGCCATACTTTGGAGCTTCTGAAGCGACGAAAACCTGAGGCCCAGCCCAATTACCTCCCGCATAGGCCACCGCTATCATGGCCATTGCGGTCGACTTAGCAGTGAAGCCTGTAACGTTGCTCGAGGCAAGCGAAAGCAGAAGGGGAAATACCGGAGCCACCGCCATGACAAGCCAAAGTCCAGCAAGTCTTGTCAAGTGAGATGGCGCAGGGACCAGCTTTACCATTAAAATTCCAGCCAAACCGATGATCGAAACGGCTGCCATGGTATTTGCGCGAGATCGCCTCACATGAGACGTGACAATCCACGCCGCAAAAATTGCGACTAGTTGAAAGACGGCGCCTGGAATCCCCAACAAAATCGTCCTATCTACGCTGTAGCCGAAGTCGCGAATAATGATAGTCGAGAACTGATGGATAGGTAAGCGATATCCTGAGAGAGCCGTCAATACTCCTACCGATGTCAGTCCACCATTGGGAACGCATATAACGAACGTGAAAACGAAGAACCACCAGACGATCGGGTTGCAGAGTGTAAGTCGCAGTTGTGAAGTACTGTATCTCTTTGTCTGGGTGGTGTGTTGAAAGAGTTTGGGGCGCAAAGCCGCGACTTGACGCTCCCAGGAATTCAGGAACTCTGCGGTGCCAGGTGTGTCGGGCAAGAAGAACCATAGAACAGTGGACCAGCACACTGTCAGAAGACCGAGAAGAACAAAGAGGATCTCAGCAGCATTAGCCGGAGATTGAGACCACTGTGAGATGCGGCAAACTCACCTTCCAATGCGAAAATGTCCCATGATATTGGAGAATGCCATAAACAATCGCCGAGCCGGTGATATTACCTAGCGCATTGCCAGCAAACCATAGAAGATGTCTTGTGTTGTGTTCCTTAGGGATATACCACATGCTCGTTATCAAGGAGAATCCCGCGAGATAGCACTCTCGAGTGCGCCTAAAAAGAAGCGGGCAACCACAAGGCCCGCGAAGCTTGTGATGCTGACGTGCAATGTGAGCACGATACCCCAGGCAAAACTTCCAGGTCAGTGCAAGGCTGTGAGAAGTTGGCACCGAACATACACTAGCATGCTCAAGTATTTGCCAATGGGGAAGCGAACAAATCCTGCACAAACAGGATACGACGCCACCAGATAGCCGGCATAGAATACGCTTGCTGCCCAGCTGTACTCTTGGTCTTTAAGAGACTGGAGACATGGTCAACACTTGACCATGAATGTCCCGCGGGAGGAACGCGAACCAGGTCTGTTCGAAGCCCCATGATGGCGCCATAGGACAATGCAAGCTTGTCGAGGTACTGTAGTCCATATGACACAATAAGAAGTGGCATGAGCCTGTTGAGATTAGCCAGTAAGCCACAAGTTATAGAATGAGAACAACCAACCGGCGGTCGATCTTGCCTACGAGCGTACACTGCTGACTGGGGGTCACCACTGCGTCGGCGCGACATGACTGGATGCACACTGTTTTGTCGGGTTGCATCTCCTTTCCGTAGCCTTTCGCTACTCATCAACGCCCCAATTGGCTGTTCATCGACAGGCAGGAGGAACGATAACTTGCGGCCTCGGTTGCCCTTTATCTCTTGCACCTAAGTCGAAGCAACAAAGAGATGTCAGTCGCGTCTGACTGGGAGGTCTTCTCCGCACGGAGATCCCTCCAACAAGTCTGAGGACTTTTTCGGCATTTCGATTGCGGCAAGTGGCCGAGCTGTTAGACTTTACGATCGACTCGATTGCCGCGGTCTAGATCATTCGGCAATGGCGCGTACGAATGCTAGCTGGCGTTTGGCTCCGACTCAGGACATACGACCAGCGCCACTGCACAAGACTGTGGAAGTGCGTTGAGGCTCAAGATTATGCAACACTATTCACATCCGTTACAGGTGAAGAGCGACCGTACAGTTCCAAGAGATATGCAACCATGACTGTTTCTCTTCACGTCCCTGACCACCCCAAACACGTCCTTGAGAACTGCGTCTGCAAGGGATTCTCGAACCCATTCCGTGTTTGCCACATCATTCGTTTCAACTCCAGCAATAAATAGCGACCATTGAAATCGCTCGAGAAGCTGTACAGATCGTGTCCGGACTGCGAAGCGTGTGCAGGTGAATAGCCCTTTGAGTGCTTCCTGTATGTCCTCCGGAACAGGCGAAGCACCAAAGGGCGACGAACGGCATCGATAGTGGTATATCACTATGGCGTGATAGAACGCCACGGCGACAAGTCTCATGGTCGATGGTTCCGGGACGTCTGAGTGACGGTGTGCCATAAGACCAAACATCCAGCTTTCCCTCTGAAAGGGTCAGTTCGTCACATAGCACGCTGGGACAGTAACATACCACCCTGATTTCGCGAAGTTGGTTCTTAATGCGAGTACTGGCTCGCGAATCGTCCTTCCTCTGTAGACTGTAGCAATTGACTTCGTGATGAATCCAAATAAGCCGATAGTATACTTCAATCACTGCGGCCTCACGACGAGATGCCAGCGGGAAGGCTGCTTGAAATCGAAGCCATATCTTCTGCCAAAGCTCTGCATTCTGCATTGCGACATTGGCAAAGAATCCAGCATATCCGCTAAAAGCTGCAAATCCATCACGGTCGAACAAATAGCAAAGAACTCGTGATACCAAAGCCTTCTCGATCGCGTCTTGTGATGTACAGTCGTCGTCTGCTGCGCCACAGATTTCATCTAGAGAGAAAGCCTTGACATAGAGTAGGACCGACATACTGAGATCCTGCAGCTCCTTGGCAAACCATCGTTCCCGCCTCAGCCAGAACTGAAACAGATACAGATATGTGAGCATCGTCTCTAGGTGATCCCTAGCTGTTGAGAATGTCTTGAGACGAACTCGAAGCAACTCAGACCCTGCCTCGAAGTGCGTGAGTGACTCGGAAGGCGCCTGAAAGCTGACTCTCTGTTCCACGCAGAGCTCGGCGTGGGATACGGCAAGCAAAAAATGCATTGCTATTGGGAGCTTCTTAGCGTATTGGCTGAAGATGAAATGTGCAGACGTCGGGGAGTGTCTCGTAGATTTCAAGCCGGCAAATATCCTCTGGAAATAGACGAACGCTGTAGTGTCGGCCACGTTGCTGAGATAACTGGAGTTGGTTGTGCGATTTGACAAAAACATCATGTGCTGCGTCAACAGGCTGTACGAGACGCTCGTAGGGACATTCTGGAGTCCAGGAGCTGACTCAGTATTCCTCAAGTTGTGGGGTGTTGTTGGCGTAGAGGTGAGTCGCTGCTCTACTAGGATGCCATTGACCATGGACGAGTGGTTTCTTACAGACGACGGCTCTTCATCACAAGTCGACCTGACTGCTGCATCAAGAGGCTTAGGTAAGATCTGGCAAGGGAACCACTCCGCCTGTCGACTTTTTATAGGGCCGAGTCCTCGCCTTCTCTGGGAAATGGGCTCAGCAGTATCCCTCCACTGACATGGGAGCTGTAAGCGAAGGCACCTTCTGCACTGCGGACGTGCCTCGTCGCACTTCACTCTTTTCGTGATACAAGTCTGGCAGCCTGCAGCAGCCAATTAGAGGAGCTTGTTGAGCTTTCAATCAATGTCAAAACATACCATTCCTTGACCGTCTGCCATGTTCTACACGTGGTCGGCGGGTGGAAGGAACCTCTCGGGCGCCGTTGTTCATGCTAAGCGCATCCTTGGCGCAGACTTAAGTGTGAATGCGCCGTTCACGGTGTCATCCATATGTGAGAATAAAGATCTGACTCGGATCACCCGCTAAGATAGTTAGAGACTTGGCTACATATAGTTCGGGATGAGGTCATACGGGTGGACGCGTCACGGGGTATTTCGGAACAGTCTCCGCCTTGTGTGTAGGCGGGGAAACTCAGCAGCAAAGCATACAGCACTTGATTGCCAATACGAACTCAGCGACTCGCGTTTCTCTCGGACCCTACTAAGTATATGGGTAAGATACGATGAGAACCTACTCAGTAGGACATTCTACACAGTGCAGCTTCCTAGCGATCTCGGAACGTGACCAGCAGGATGGTACATGCTGTTTGTGTCAGAATGACAGCCTTGCAGCCTTGCCAAGGCCTACAACTTGATAGTATCGGAGGTCGGTCAGATTCTCCTTACCCATCTGTAAGTAACTATAATATATCAATCAATAGTTCGCATTGGTCGATGATGTGCTCAGTCTGGCGACCTGGATTCAGGTAGTCTTACCATAAGGGCCAACCACTTGCGATGATCTTTACCGATGGACACCACTTGTATGCCGCCGCTTTGCCGCTTCTACTTTCTAGGAAGCGTCCCAAAATCTTGGCTCACTACAGCCGGCACGGAGTGGGGACTCCGACGCCCCATCCGAAAGACTCTTATTACGCTTTTTGATTCCCTCGGACGTTATCGTCCCCACAACGGCCAAGCCAAGTGTTGTGCAACTCTGCTCAGGTGTCGCCACTTGCTCGCTCATAAGAAAAGGAGCTAGCAGTAGCCATGTAACGCCGTGCTACCTAAGTTGAATGCGAGTGTACAGATGGCGTGGCAGCGTTTGATTCGATTCGTGGACGAGTCTGGCATCGTGGGCTTCGGCGACGCTTGTGTGAACAATGGGGACGATCTCCTTGATTCTGTACGAGAGCGAACCCTATATGCTATTAGACTGGCTGGACAGGACCCGTTCACGCTAGTAGCGACTGACGACAAGGTCAAAGTCGTAAGACTCCTCGGTGTACTCGACGAGCAACATGTTGAAGTCTTCAAATGTATTGGTCTCAATTACATGAAGCACAGTGAGTGCATTCTACCCATGACTGAGTCGCTGGACAAGCAGCTAACGGGTTTTAGTTCGAGAAACTGGTCGAAAGGCTCCTGCTTATCCGTCCATGTTCATGAAGCCTTCCTCAGCTGTTGCGGCGTGGGACGCGAACGTCGAAGTTCCGACAGTCGCGCAGGGCAAACAAATCGATTACGAGGGCGAATTGGCGGTCGTGATCGGCAAGACTGGCAAGAACATCTCTCGCGAAGACGCCTTAGAGCACGTTGCGGGCTTCGTGTGCTCTAACGACGTTTCGGCCAGGACCTGGCAGCGAGACCCGGACTTCGCCGGTGGGGTGCCTCAATGGTCGTTTGCGAAGTCCTTTGACACCTTCGCCCCTCTTGGTCCTATGCTCGTTTCGCCCAGTGTGGTCGGTTCTGGGAATAAATTGCATCTTCAGACGTTCGTAAACGGCGAGAAACGTCAGGATTCTAGTACGGAAGATTTGTTATTCGACGTGCAGTCTATTATCAGCTTCCTCAGTCAAGGCTCGACTTTGAGGAAAGGTACAGTCATCATGACTGGGACGCCAGGTGGTGTAGTGTTGGGCCTGCCAGAACCTAAACCCTGGCTACAAGACGGAGACATCGTGGAGGTCAGAATCGAACAACTAGGCAGTTGTGTGAACAGAATTGTCCACGAACCGGCAAGGGCTGTACTTTGAATCTCTGCTACTCCTGCATACTCAGCCACGTCAATGTCGAGCTTCATCTTGACCGGTAACCAGGACTCTGTAAGCGCCTCGCGGCCGAGACAACACGTTATGATACACGGACACCTTAAGCGTCTTGCCCTGCTATCACTGTGATGCAGCATGAAAACGTAATTGCTAAAGAGCGCCGAGCCTTAGCTCCGGCAGTGTATGCGATTTGTGTTTTACGCACCATGGTTTCGTGGGCCGAGGCGAGATGGAGTTTCTCATCGGCAACCCCAGCAAGCCACGTGTGCCGATTTGGGAATGGTGCCTAGTGCACAATTTGAACGCGGCCGAATGCTAGACTACACAGACAGGTACTCTGCTTCGGTTGGACGCATTAAGCCACGAGGTATAGACTGGCTTCGGCGTCAGGCACAGCGCTTAGATCTTTACGAGCAACCTACTAGCCAGTGCCTAGGTCTTTCCAAAGTACTTAGGCATGGAGAAATCAATGTCCAGGTCGACCAACTGGAGGGATTTCATTCCTCCGACAGACTGCAAACGAAGCATCGAGCTCTCTCATGCTGATGCTTATAGATGGGCGGATTTGCGCTGCGAAGATTCATTCATAAAGGAATGGAAAGAGCATTGGATGCGGCTACACCAGCAGCCATACAAGGGAATTACCAACGATGGCGTATTGGTGCGTGATCTTTTCAATCTAGCCAACGAAGGGGACGATCACGGCGCGCCTATCAATGACATGGTCAAGGCTGCCGCCAAAATCCTGTCGCTGACCGGCTCGACAAAGAGCAGTGTGCTAAAGCTTGGTATCGATGCTCAAGAATGGCGTGCTTGGATGAACCCAGAGATCTATTTATCGCGACACGGCATGCGGCTTGAAGAGACTTCCGAGGAGATTATCATTGCTGTACACAGCCTTTTACGCGCCAGTCTGTCCCACGCTGGCTACACAAAAATTCGAGGGTGCATGAATATCAATCATTTCCTTGGCGAGACCGTCAATGGGACAGGTGTCCTTAACGTTAACTCCTATAATTTCACGCTTTTTGGAACGCCTTCTACGTCCGAGCCATGGGGTTGGCAGATATTTGGTCATCATCTGAGCATGAACTGCTTTGTACTCCGAACGCAGATGGTGATCTCACCTGTATTCATGGGTGCGGAACCTAACTGCATAGATAGGGGGCCTAACGCTGGCACTGAGCTCTTCGTGGATCAGGAGCAGACTGCACTAAAGCTTATATCCTCATTCACGGAAGCTGAGCGCTCCCGTGTCTGTGTTTACCAGGAGCTTCAAGGCATTGAATACCCAGGGTGGCGATATCACAAGGCAGATCAGCGTCACCTGGGAGGTGCTTTCCAGGACAATCGTGTCATCCCGTATGAAGGAGAGTTGGTCTCAACGTTTTCATCAACGCAGCAGGACATTATCCGCAAGCTTCTGACACTAAGTCTCGACTATCTTCCTGAAAGGGTACTGGCTATTAAGCTTCGCGACATTGAAAATCACTGGGATGCGACATATTTTGCTTGGATTGGCCACTTTACTCGCGACGAAGGGTTCTACTACAAGATACATTCACCCGTCGTCCTCATCGAGTTCGACCACCACTCTGGTGTGTTCCTGAACAACGCACTACCTCTGCCATTTCATATTCACACCACAGTAAGAACTCCGAATGGGAACGACTACGGCAAAGCGTTGCTAGAGCTGTATAGGATTGCGGGCACGACATCATCCGGGTCCGATATACACGCCTCTCGATGACATAATCTCAAGGTGCCGTTCCGAAACCCGTGATCGGGATTAAACCACGATACCATTACGCGCAACACATGTCGTGCCATGATAGCTGAGATACCGAGCTCCACGAGACTTGCTCTCCTGTCGAAACACAACTTTCACACACCGTGAATTTGCACATAGTAGGCGCCGAGGAGGCGTCTTTGCGTGTACTTGACTTGCTATCCTCAAAGAATTGCGCACCACACAAACGCGATTGTCTCGAACCGTCTTGCAACCAATCAACGCCCCCCAACATAGCACCACGAGCGCTACTACCATGTGACCAGTGTACTCCTCGCTGGCGTTAAAGGGTAGATGTCGATGGACATGCGATAAAGCTTGGCGTCCCACGCCCGGGGAGTTCTATCTCTATAGCTAGACAGCATCGCCCTTCTACCAGCATTCTCAGAGGAAAGGGGCGTAACCCTCCTACCCATATCTGTATCTCAGTATGATTGTGGACATTCACTTCCCGGCAATCACACTTGCCAAAGCATCGATATCAAACGGGCCGATGGGTGGACGATCTGCCACGCTGCTATCTTCGTAATTGCATCTACCACTGCCTTGACACAGGATGTCGTATTCCCGATGCCTAAAGTAGCTTTAAGATGGCTTCTCGCTTGGCGTCTGACCCCCAAGGCGACAATAGCGGCTGCGACAATCAAATGTGACTCATTCTCTTCGAAAACAGTCTCATTGGCCTTTACGATGAGGTGGCCCCAAATCACGGACGTGGACGTCTGAACTGCTTCAAATGAGCTGCTTGCAGCACTGGAATCTGACATGAGCGCTTACACAGATCCGTAAAGTACTGGTCCATTAATCCGAAGATTTCAGAATTACCAACCCCTGCATAGACCTTCTGACGTAGCTGCGCGCCTTTCCTGACGTCTTCCTCTCCCACAGTGGAACCACGTACAGATTTGACGGAGGCGTACTCTTTTCCCTTGCGTTGAGCGACTCCAATCATGCCATAGCACGCCGGTATGCAGGTCGGCATGCCCACGTATGGGAATATGATAGTGATCGCTTCTTTCATCCGAAGGAACACGTGTTCTGACTCCTCAGGCGTAGAGTTCGAGGTCAGACTGTCGAAGAAGCGCCCAACAACATCGGCTCTGTTGACCGCACAACAGGCTGCTGCCTGTCGCCACGAATCAGCCCGATTTCAGAAAATGCGCACATATAGGGACTCACAATTATAGTATATGCCAGGTCTTTCAGCAGAGTTTGGGCAGAGACCAAATCTGAATTTATGCCCAAAAACAACTCCTGATCGTAGGCTCGAGCGGATGGCGAGATATTGGTTGACACATACTCCTTATCCCAAGCGGACATGAACTCGTTGGTCTCCCAATCCACCATGTTGACGTTCCAAAAGCCCCAAGTTGAAGGAGAGAACGGTCTATACCAACAAGTGGTGCGCAGGCACGCCCAACAAGATTTCGCAGGCTTTCAAGATCCAACGACTCAAAAGCTATCGCCGTTCTGGCTGTCTACGGCATGACGGTGACGCAGGCTTGCCGTGAAACTGAAACAGTAACGATGGTCGGAATGACTATCGGACTCTCCCCAATGCTTGGCCCTTAGCACGTTAGCGTACCCCATGCTTTCGGCATTCCAACAATTGGAGTCCGGTTCCGATGGTTGACAGGGGCCGAACCGTGCTCATAGAGACTGACGATGTAGTCAGCATGTCTTGCCTACAGCTTGTGTGACACACGTCGCTTACCATGGCGGAAGGCAATGCTACGCGTGCTTTGTGCGATAATCGAAAACTATTGTCACCCAGAGCAATCTCTCTGAGACCTACGGAGGGACAGTAAAACTGTGTCTGGTCATCAAAAGATAGCTCTAGCGTATAAGAGGCATCTAGCGATATAGTATTGTCTTTCGTCCGCCCACAATGCTCTCAGGCTAGGAGGCCTCGAGCGCTATGCTCAGTAACCGAAACACTCCCCGAAAATGAACAGATCTGCACCCGTTGCGTTTGATAGAGCTTGACGGGAACCGCAGCTCTCTTTCTTGGCAAGGCAGCACGAGCGATGCGACAGTACCATGTCACTGAGCAAACCCTAAAGCAGGCAAGAGGCTATCGCGAAGCTCCCGAGCCGATGGAAAGTCACCCCACACGTGCAGTATGTGCTGATCAGGCCGCAAAAGCACCACTCCCTGCTCTCCAGGGCTCATATGGAAAGCAGATAGCCATTCCAGACTCGCATCGTGCCAAACGAATTCGAAATCCTTTCCCAAGTACACGGTGCGAATTGGTGGCACAGTCTGTGCTGCCTCCGCGAAGTTGTGCTGCAGTATGTCCAAGGTCGTTGTCGCTTTCTGAAAATTTGATGCGGTCGTAATGAGAGTGAATTGCTTAAGGTGGCAAAGATCTAGGGTAGAGTACTGTCGTAAGACCTTGTCCTCTGCTGAGAGTTCATAGACGTGGTCGAGATTAACAGCGGGCACATGGGAAAGTACAGCATCGTTTAATGGTTTAATCCACAGATGAGGCAGCCTCGAGCCAGCTGTAAATTTGGGCTGGAAATCTGAGGACTTCGTAGGGCAGGTCGATGTCCCATACGAATAGCCGAGGTGAAGATTTAGCTAGTTCGCACGTCAGCAGTCAAAATCTCGGGCACTCTGGCATGATTCCAGGCCAGGACGGGACTGAATGAGACGGGTCGGGGGGATCACCGGACTTACGTTGTCAAAGTTGCAAGACAAGGCATCTAGTCGAGCGGAAGCGTCTGCGTCACTGCTTCCACCATGTTCCGCGAAGGTTCGAATCCGCCGGCGAGCCTCATCTGCAGTCCCCAGGTGCAGTTTCAGAGCACGAAGCATCCCATGCAAACGGATACCATTGGTGACGCTTTGCGCCGAGTTTGCGACAGCAACAGGACGGCGCTCCGTTGAATAGCTGCTGAGCAAGTCCCGATGTGCAACTCCATGGTGTATGGCCGCAATCTTGTATGCAAGATTATGTGCGTCTCCGAAACCAGTGTTTAGCCCGATGCCAGCGCTAGGGGGAAGGAATGTGCAGCATCACCCACCAAAAAGCAGTTCCCCTTGCTGTATGTGTATGCGATTCTGCTTTGCAGAGCCCAGGGTCGGAAACTGTCGATCGTGAACGGTACCTTTTGTCCGATTGCGATCTCGACGAGCTTACGACATTGCTCTTCGTCCCACGTGCTGATGGGATGTGTGTTGACATCAAAACCGTGGATGAGAACCTGCTTCTTTGATAAATCGTACCCGATCAGCACCCCGTGTGCTTCAGGGTCCAGGATGTTGTACAATATCCTGCGTCTATGCTTGACGAGGTCTGTGAGATCAGCGCTGATCTCGATGGTCATGAGCATTTGTGGTGTGCTCTGTTCATCACACTCAATGCCTAGCAGCTGCCGCATCTTGCTTCGCGCACCATCACATGCAACCACATGATTTGCCCTCACAATGTACTGTTTGCTGGTTGCACGTTCTTGAATCGTCACGTCCACAACGGCCGGGCTTTGGACGCAGCTCACCAGCTCATGGCCCTTCCTGATCTCGACCTGGCCTCCCAGGTGCTCAAGTAAGTGTTGCTCAGTCATCGGCTGCGCTACGTTGTGCAGTAACTCCGGTGTCACGTCCAAAGCACCCGCGTCGCTCCTCTCGTAGGGATACTGTCGTAGCTCCTGCCCTGCCAGGCTGGTCACAACGCTCACCGTGCGTCCCTCCGATCTCTTTGTACCTCGCTGCCTCAGGCTCGGGATGTCAACTCCAGCCTGTCTCAAGATCTCTAGAGCTCGAGGGCCAAGAGCGTGTGCTTTCGGCGCTGTGAGTCGCTGAGGGTATTTTTCAACTATGAGCGACTTGACTTTTACATATCAGTTCTGCTCCGCACCAGCTTGCCTTCACGCACCTCCTAATTTGTTCAGAAGAACAGCTGACAATAGACCGATCGGTCCGGCGCCTATAATAAGCACAGGAACCACATCATGGAGTGGCATGGGCCCATTGAAAGCGGGCGATGCGACATCACCACTAGGAGAGGAGGCCATGGCCACTGCCGTGAGCATCATACTTGCGAGAGATTCGACTGCCTCAACTGAGACTGTGTTCTGACGCCATGTACTCGAGAGTGCTGCGAGCTTGGTTGAGCGTCGATATGCGAGGGACGGAAACCATTGGTAGCGGGAAGATTTGGGGTCCCGATGCGGACACCCAAGCCCAGAAAGGTTGCGCCGGTACTACTCTTATTTGCCCTCCAGCCGAGCGTGATGATACTTTTTCACATTCGCAGCAGCCGAGGTGCATGGGAGTGGTTTGAGTGGGCTCGAAGCTTGTCCCTTCCGGACTCAAGGAGTTGGGAATTAGAACGCCCGACAATGCCCAGCCGTCGGCCGCGTTGATACCCGAATCACAATGTGCCACTAGCTTGTATATAGCCGACCAGGCATCACTCGCACTGTCTGTATTACTATACTTATACGAGCGCGCTTGCTCAACCAAATGTCACAACAATGAATGCAGAGGATTGTCCAGTCAGCTCATGTCGAGACTGAGTTTGTACAACATGTCGACGAACAATGGACGCTATGACCCAGCGCGTGGCCAAACGTTTCCGTCTCAATTTCGTTGCTGCCGCGTCGTAACAGACACCATGGGACGTGTACCACTTTGCACTGATCGCCCAAGGAGCTAAGAGTTCGTTCTCTCGAGCTTCTCACCTAGGTCCGTGCCAACGTCGGCTGGTCGCCTCGAGCTTCACACGTATTCCTTCTGTGAGTCGCGAGGTCCTCGACCCTCCGTCAAGAGTGTCAGTGCAGGCTTGCTGAACGGAATGCGGGTCTTCGCAGAGTGGCACAAGAAGGCCATTCGTTGAAGTGACGCATGGTATTCCCGTCTTGGTGCAAAGGAATTGCTGCAGAATTGGATCGTCTGGCTCCAACTTGTCGAGGACAACATCCACCTGATTGTTCGCCTGATTCATTGCTGGTTGCGAATTTACCTCTTTGAACATCTTGCCTATACTCAAGCTGTGCAAGACTATAGTGACGCGATAGACAGCGGCGCTCCACCAGACCGGACGTAACTTGACATCTCCACAACGCACCAGTCGCAGTATCTGGCCACAATGAAATACTGCGTGCTCGGCATCTTGTATCCAACCTCTCTGGAGGACGCTTGTGGCTCTGGGCTCCACTGTGCTCTCGCGAATAAATCCTTCGAGGTCGCTGAATGAAACGTATACGTTCAGGCTGATCAGGTGATATGTAATCAAAGCCGCGTCCTTGACAGCCTGTTCTCGCACGCCGCGTGGGTGTACCTCACAATACAATCTGTACCAACGATGAAGAATGCTTTGAACTTCAGTGACCCTTGCAGCCTGCGCTGCTAGAGAATGTGCAATGCTGGAGAAGGTCGCGTGCGAATCTCTTGGGACGAGTCTCAAAGCCTGGCGTGCCTGAGATACTAGGCCGTGGATTGGATACAGGAGGAGCCGTAGATGTAGTGGTTGAAGATCGTTCTCCTTCACATCAATCAGATCCTGTAAGAATAGCGAGAAGAGCTGATCAAGACCGAGCCGCGGCTTTTGCAGATATTGGGCTACAGCTTCGGCATCTCCCGTAGCAGAGGTTGTAAAGCATGCTCTCCATGCTGCCGCACTTGGGGCCAGCCATAGATGCTCTGAGGAGGGAAGCGAAGCCTGTAAATCAGTGACACTCATGCTAAGAGGAGTCTCATAGAAGAGGCTGATTTCCAAATCTGCAATTACCCACAGATAGGCCAGTCTGATGTAGTTCATGTCAGCAGATATGATGCTTTTAGGCTCACACTAACCTAGACACGTTTTCACGATCTATCCACCGCTCCCACACGGTATCAAACTTGTTATGACAATCCTGTGCGACGCTGTTGGCCAACGGCGTCGGGCTGAAAAAGTCTGCCTGCTTTATCATCTGAAGCAGACGGTCAGTATGAACGAGAGACGCCGTGTTGGTGAAGAAATCTGCATGATGACGCGCGGAGGGCGCGAATGGCAACGCTCGAGAGTCATGGTATAGGAAATAGTAACTTGCCCCAATGAACATTGGCCTCTGACACGTCGATAAATCCATGTGCAGCCGACTGCCGCTGAATGCCGCACCAGAGATGTAGACAAGGGCGCAGTGAAGCACAAGGCTGCGTCTGACTGCACCACTTTCTCTTCCAATCCCATCCAGTATCGCATGTTGGCAAATTCCTAGGAGGACGGTGGAGAATGATCTTGCTTTAAGAGCGGGATCTAGCATGGCCCCGAGGGCAACCATCAAAAGCAGAAGCGTCGTCGCGCCCCTCTCATTACTGCTTGTGGCCAGCTTGTTTGGATTGAGTGAAAGTGCCGGGATTGATGGTGTGAATGGCTCAAAGGTAGTGAGGTAGATCTCTAAGTACCTCCGCAGGGACTGGCTCGGAGGCAGCAACATGAAAGTCTTTGCTCGTCGAGCTGTGGGACGTTTCTTCGGTATCAGAGCTGGCACGAACATGTCTGTGTCAAGATCGGTGCCGCAAAGATCTTGACTAAGTCGCAACAAATCCTGGAGAACGACTAACATCCATTCTCTTGTCTCTTCGGTCAGATCAACCTGCACGATGCGCTCGTATTTCTGGAACGTTTGTGTTCTCCATTCTTCGATGGAATCGCTCCACGGCCCCTCGAGCGAGAGCAAGTCCGACGGAGTAAATGCCTCAATCTCGATGTCTTCCGCAAGGGTAAAGTGCTGCACTGGTGTGCACTTGCAAATGCTCCAACGCGGCAACTCGGGGACGATCTCTGGGTGCTTTATGCGCTCTGGCTGGAGATTGTCGGCGCTTCGAGCGTTTAAGCGCGAGTCCATACATATGTCGACAAGGTCGCTGGTATTGCCGATTTCGGGGTTGTCAAACGGTTGCGCCAGATCGAAGACGTCTGTCGATACCATGTAAAGTCCGTACAAAGCTGCTTCAGGCGCCGTGTCCAGCGCGAAGAAGTTTGGTTCCAGATCTGAATTCAGGTTGTCCATGGCCGAGTTGCCTCTGACGAGATTGTTATCCAGGTCCATCACGTAATGGAATTCTGGAAGGTCTTGCCAAGAGAAATCGTCCTTTGTCCCAAGAGTGTCTGGAACAACAGCCACTGCGCTGGTCACCGGATCCCTGCATGCCTCTGATGTGGAGAGCTCATGATCCATTCTATTCAATCGCGGAGTGTTTGTGCTCCCGACGAGGCCCAAGTCTTCGGCGTCGGAAACGCTGGTGGAGGCTCTGGGGTCGACTGCGGGCGTGGACACCGCACCATTAATGAATCGTTCTTGACTATCTGCACCGCCAGATAAGGTGGAGGCCCCGAAAGACCTTGACTGCAAAGGCTGGAGAGGAGAATCAGCCTGTACACTGGTCGGTCGGGGTGCGAGCTGCTGCTGGCCAGCAATGTCGCCATGCACGTCAGGCGGGTGTAGGGATGGAAGTTGCTGTCTTGACACTGTCCGAGGACGAGGCGTGCCGCTGACACATTCCAAGCCTTTCGACCGACACCGCCCACATGGGCGTCCATGATCGCACTTTGTCTTGCTTCTCGCGCATCCCGCGCACGCTATGGTGGTGCGACCTTTGGATCCAACTCTGCTGCCAGGCGTCTCGCTCCGAAAATCTTCACCCGCAGACTCCATGGCGTCTTTAATCTCTTCTTGCGTGTGGCACTGATAGTGTTTCTGTATCACGTCTCTGTTGCGATTAGCATATCAGTCGTCAGACCTGGCCGGCACCGAAAATCTGAACATATAGGCTTACCGCCTCGCGAACGAGATATTACAGACATGGCACTGGAAAGGAAGCACCTTTGTGTCTGCGAGGCTTCAGTATTGCAAACGACGCGAAGATGGGGAGGATGCTACAGACGAGTGAGAATATGGCGCTGAAGGTGCTCATTGCGGCCGAACGCGCGGCCGCAGTACGGGCAGAATCCCATTGCGACCGATGTCAAGCGGCGCAAGGGCACACTTGTGACTCGTCATCGGTGAGCAAAGTATACAGAGGTCAGATCGCCACGCTCTACAGAGATTGCGCAACAATCCGCCGGAATATGTGAAGAGAAATTTCGAGGAAGGAGATTTCGGAATGAAGACAAAGCCGCGATGACCAGGTGCTGCTCAGGGCCTTTACGTAAGCTTGGAAGGCTTAAATCAGAACGAGGGGCGTCAAATTAGCCCGTGCGGGGTCCACACAAGCTGAACCTGGGGGTTGTGGCGGAGCATCTTCTACCCATTTTGCTACCTTCTCAATCCCATACTGCGCTGCATACGCCAGTCCTCCATCCAAGCCTCGTACAACTGCAAGGCTAGACCGGACGCCTTCTACTATGCTGCTCCGAAGACTTTACAGACAGCTCTATTGTACTGCATGCCGGCCGCCCGAGTGGACGAATGCAGCAATCGACAATGGCAAGCTATTCGCACATGACGCTCAGCGCCTGGACATCGGCTCCTATTCTGTACTCCGTGATCGCCGAGGGGCACCACAATGAGCCACGTAGAACCATTCACCGAATAAAATAATCAAATGCAGAGCCTGGCGAGGAAAGCCAAAGGATCGGAGCGTGGCGCTTCAAAGACGTCTTTGGTGGTCTATCGGGGCGATGGCGCTGTTCAGCCTACCGAGTTGAGGCATTACCGGGCTTCCAACCCAGTCAGCAAAATCATGCACGACCGTCGAGAGAACTTCACCGCAAGACTTAGTGTTTGCTGGCCGATTTGTCTTTTCATTTCCTTGACCGCACCAGAATTTGACAGTCATCGACATTTACAAAGAAGCCCTCACTGCGCTGCGGAGGACTTGGTGACGCGCTCTCGAAATCAAAGAGTCGAATGAATGTGGCCAGAGTCTTCACCATTTCATAGGTCGCGAATCTAAACGATGATGAGGTTAGAAATTTTGCCGATAACCATAAGCGGGCATACTCACGCTCGTCCTAGACACACGCGCGGCCCAAGAGAAAAGGGATGAAAATGTGTCATCAATTCTTTGCTGTCAGCACCCAGCCATCGTTCAGGATCAAACTGGTCCGGCTGGTCGAATATACGTGGGTCCTTAAGTGCGCAGCCTAGCGGCGAGCTGATCAAGGTCTAGGCCAGAGTCACATGTCAGTATGGATGGACCAGAGTACAAATTTAGACGATGAAACGTACCCCAGCGGGCAGCCTCTGCCCGCAAATCGTTCTGCCGCCTTCCGGAATAACGCGCTCCAGCCCGATCGAGGATGTTGGGAACATGCGCTGTGACTCGCGGATAGTTGCCATGAGATAAGGAAGCGCAGCTGCAACACCCCGTGGTGCGACCCAGTCCGCCGGTAAGTCACCAGGAAATGCGGCATCAAGCTCTGCTTGGAGTCGCTGACGGACGTTGTGATTCCTCGCAACGGCGTCTACGAACAGCGTCATCGTCACAGCAGTTGAGTGACTACCAGCGGCGATGAATCCGGTAGCCTCTGCGAGGATAACATCGTCATCAATAGTCTCACCCGTATCAGGATCTTTCGAACCTGACAGCAAGCTGACTACGTCCGCCGTTGCGTGGTCAGAATGATCTCGTTGTTTCAAAGACGCCTGTGCAAAGCTCGACAGCTGAGATTTTGCTTGGCCAAGAGACCTGTAGAAGTTATCGATTGGCAGGTAGGCCATAAAGGGTCTCATCCAACGAGGAACCGTCCCAAGAGCATTCCATATCGATGCTCGGCTGGAAATGGTGTGACCAAGATTTAGGTGATCCAGCCCTCTTGCGCAGAATCCGAATCCACCTGGCAATCCGAATGAGAAACTCCCAATTGAATCAAAAGCAAGCAGATTCACTAGTGAATCCCAAAACGCACCCTGAATCAGTATCATTCGAACTTTCGCTTGCCTATGGCATGGATAGACTCACACCAAAGAGCGATATTGATCTGTCCTCCTGACTCAGGTCTCGAGCGCTGTCTCAGCTCTTGCCTCCACTGCAGTAGAATACCGTCCATTCTGGCCTCGAAGCGAGACAAAGAGCTCTCCGAGAAGGCTGGCTGCAGTATCCTCTTCCTTTGGGAATGCTGACGAGAGTCGCGCATATTGAATACGTTCTGCGGACCTTGCAAAAAAGCATCGTAATAAGGCCCCTTGGGGAGACGTGCTTTGTGCGAGTAAATGGCTTCAAGAGCCGTGGGGTTATTTACCGAAATGTGGTTGGCGGCGATGCGCACAAAATCGCCATGTTTGTGGTGAAGCTCCGAGACTCGTTCTGATCGGTTCCCTCGTCGGCTCGCGAGCATCAGCCAGAAAGGTGTCGTTCTTGCCCAGAACGGACCGGGGAATTTGCTCAGAGGGGAGATGAACAATTGGTGGCAGAACCAGTATATCACCTAGTATTTGGCACGCAGGTCAGTGTCAGCTTCTCAGATAGTGCAGATGTATTGTTTCGGAGCATTAATCAGAGCTTACCAGCACACCGATACCTGCGATGATCATGCCTCTCAAATACCAGAGTGGCCACAGCTCAACAAGCCGCGGCAAAGACATCTATATCTTAATGCGCATACTACCAATCATGCGACTAGCCGACACAAAATCTTCGTTGGGCACTTAGGCCCCCTTAAGAGAACAAACTGCGTGTCACTTCAGCGATAGCGACGTTCAGCGAGACGTCGCGGGATGCATAGAGGTCATGCCGGCCGGTTCCCTTGCGTAGATGTGGGGACTCCATCGGCAGTGCTCCGCTTGCGGAGAAGATTACTGCCAACTCACAGGCTCCCACAAATTGCCGGACTCGAGTCGGACTTCCCCAGAGACCGCCCATGGCGATGAGACGGTTTCGGAGCGATATTAGCAGCAGTGAAGTGACACTTCTGGGGACCTGAGACTCGCGCTACTGATGAGGACTCCGAAATCTCTCTCCGTGTCTCTCCGTACAGTTGGGCACGGCTGCGTTCATACGAGCTAGTCTAAATACGGCGACTTCCTCGCGCTGCCATCGTACGGCTTGATGAATTCAACGTTCAGACCTCTTTTTCCACCAGATCTTGTTGCTAAACAACCTGAAGCCGCTTTCCGCACGCGATCACCGAGTCAACTATATCCAGTCGCCTGTCCCGTGCAGTCGAAGCCATGCAGACGGTCAACAACGCGATATACGTTGATCATCAGAATTGCTTAAGCTTGCAAACATGGGATACGCCATATGAGCCAGTCGGAGGTCAAGCACTGGTCGAGGTCGAGTTCTCAGGAGTCAGTCCGGCCGATCTGAAGCACGGTCAGCACTTTGGACTCAATGACAATGTTTGTGGCTACGAACTTTGTGGAAGAATCATCAAAACTGGACCATCTTGTGTGTTCAGCACTGGCGATCTTATCTATGGCTCCAATGCTACCAACAGGCAGAGGCCTCGCTCCCATGGCGCTCATCAGGATTTTGCTATTGCAGAAGAAGACCATATGTGGCATCTGGTCCCCCTCGGAGTGCCCCACGCTCACGCTGCCGTCCTGTCCATTGTTGTAAGGACTGCCGCAGATGTGCTCTTCAACTTGTTTGGACTTCCATTACCAGACTCTGCTAGTTCTGCCACGGCACGTTTAGGGGGTATCCTAGTCTGGGGCGGTGCCAGCTCCGTGGGTATCGCGACGATACAGCTGGCCAAGGCTGTTGGCTTGAGTCCAATCTGGGCGGTTGCGTCAACAAGAAATCACAGCACGCTTCTCGGTCTCGGAGCGGACAAGTGCTTCGATTATAATGATGCCAGTATCGTGGAAGACATCCAGCGGGTAGTGGACTCGGCTGAGCAACCTTTACGATATATCTTTGACACCGTTGTCACCAGAGGTCCTGATTCCTCTACGAGCAGGTGCGAAGCGATATCGTCGACATCCGAGATACAATATGCCAGTGCGCTACCTATTCAAGGCAATCAGAAGTGGAGGATGGCTGCAGCTGCTCGGGGTTTTGACTTTCCTTCTCCTGGTGGCTTCTTGAAGGCTCAACCAGAGAAGGATATTCCTTTGAAAAGGGCGACAGACTGGGTGGCATTGAACTATGGAAAAAGATTCGTGCTTCCAAATATAAGGGTGATTCAAGATTCCTCGGCTGCTCTCGAGGCTATCAAAGCATCTGCAGAAGGCAAGCTCAGCTTTGAGAAGGTAGTCATCCAACATCCGTTGTCGGCATAAATCTTCTACGAACACCTATGCTTTGCGCTGTGGCTCCCCTGTCACAAAGAAGGCTCCTTCACAGATGCGTCTCGCTCAATAGCAAAGTTGTCGCCCCCTTCGGCAGGTTTCTCACACACCTCCTGTTAGGAGCGCCCCGAATAGAACTCACAAGCCTCGAAACGGCCTTACATTGTCCTGAAGTCCATTTCTTGAACGCGCCGGGATGATGAGTGACGACGCTACAAAGCGAATCCTGGACGCGCGGCACCGGTATCCAAGCGAGCGAGATGCTTGAAGTGTACGGATAGTGATCCTGTATGGACATCGATCGTAGTAAGCCAGACTGTGCAGCTTTTAGTCGCTGCCTCGCTTATGCCGCGGCCTTCTTGTTGTAATACATAGTGAAGTCGTGATATAGGGCCATTGGCCACTCGTTCAAGGCGTCCGAGACTACTGAGTCGGTCTCGCTCGCCTTGCACGCTTGAATGAAGGGATCTCTCTTGGCAAGAGTCTCGGGATGACTGTCTATAACCCGCAGGTAATTTTCTCGGCTATACTTGTCCGAGAAATTAGTGAAGATCTCCCGTCTGATCTCGCTGTACTTGTCCAGAATCGTATCATCTGCATTGCCGGACAACACCCCGATGAGGCAATCGCTGACGGCTCCGGCGTCCACAATTCCCGTGGTGAGCCCTAGTCCACCGTAAGGGTTATTCACTGCGACATTAACAATTAGTAAGAATCAAACCAATATCATAGGTATGTAAAACATTAACCTATCAGGCTTGGAATCAGGTAGAGCTGGTCCGGGGTTTGTAGTGTCAAACGTACAGTGCGCCGCATCTCCGGCAAGAAGGAATCGACCAACACGAAGTGAAGGCGCTAGGCGTTGATGTATTCGGTAAGGATTCATTGCCTCTACCGTGTACTGCTCGGGGTCTGGATTGCCAGGTAACAAGGCCTTCAACTTAGGATGAAGACGAGCTTTGTAGTCTTCTAGGGTCAAATCTGGTTGTTCAACGTAAGCTACTCGCCAGAGATCCTTGCCGTTGATTCTAGAACAAAGATGGCCATGTTCTGGGTCGTGTATGAAGTTAGCGTCGTCGTAGTCACCAACATCGAATCGGAATGTCACCTAGCAGCAGTCAGCTAAGTATTGCCCTTAATTGAACCCACAGAAAACATAAAGAGATAGAAGGAGGACCCATTGCGCTCAAGTGAATCGCTCGGGGATTCAGGAGATTGACTTACATTAGTCGCAATTAGTGGCCTGTCCCATGTTATACCAGGGAAGTCGCGTCCGAAGAGGCTTCGGCGAATAGTACTGCGAGCGCCGTCACACCCAACCACGAAATCCGCCTCGTATATTGTATGCGACTTGTCGTGCTCGCCATTTTTCACCCCATGGATGTCGACGTCGAGAATGGCTTTGCCGGACTCTTCTCTTATGCCAGTTACTTCATGGTTGAATTCCACCGTTGCAGTGGCTTCTTTCAGCAGAATTTGGTGCAGAATCGCTGTCAAGTCGCCTACTGGGAGGACTAGTGTCTGATCCTGAGTTCTTTTGGGGTACCTGACATCTAACTTGGCCAGAACTTCACCGTCGCGCTTGCGCCATGATACCCGAGTGGGCGTCTGTCCAGCTGCCCGAAGCTCATCTGCTACGCCTGCTTCATGGAAAACTTTGACAGCGGGTAAGCCGTAAAGAAGAGCTCGCGGGGACTCGTTGGTCGTCGGTGATCGGTCCAGGACTGCCACACTCACGTTTGCCCGAGCAAGCTTCAGGGCTGTGATCAGTCCAACTGGACCTGCACCTACAATAATGACAGAGAATCGTTTTGGCATCGTGTTTTGAACAGATGAGAGAAGGTTCTATAATTTTTATGCCTAAGGACACGGGCTCCTGATCGGGACTTACATTGAATTTAAGTCAGCGTCGGCAGCAATTGATCTCAGTCAAGACTTTGGAGTAATCCGTTTCCGCGATATCCGTTGTCGAACTTGAGTCCATTTCATTGCGCACGGCAACCCCAGAGAACTTTGGCTCCACTAGCCTCAAGTCTCAATGCTATGCTGATTCCGAGATTCCCTAGCTGCAGCTATGTTTCAGTGTTCTGTATCAGCGGGTTCTCTATTATTCCGCCCGGAGACGCCCCGACTTCTCCGTGCCTGCGCGAGCTCATGGTTTCCACAAGGTTGTCCGAGAAAGGAGCAGTTATTGCGTGAAAATATCTCTGAAAATATTTCTGAATATAAATCGATCGCTGACTTTCATGCATAGCACGGTTTCACGCATGAGAGGGACAATTTGAACGCTCGGAACTTGTTGCTACGGCGCAGGCGTCGGTAAGGGACTATGCGAAAGCTTTGGAATCTAAATAGGAACATGAGATCTCGGGATACAGTCCATGCTGGTTTCTCATGGTACTTATGCTTCTTAAAGTAGCTTCAACACCGTATGTCCTTGGTACAGTGATTGTTGGTGTGTATGACAATGGCTCCTCGAAGCTAAAAGTCCTAGTTGTGTCACACGATAAGCATCTCCCTAACAGGAAGAATATCTATGAATGTTCCTCCACTGGTCCGCGGGCTCTGTGAAGATCTTCCACAGGAGCATCCACCTTATAGTTCATCGTTTTGCGGAAATCGGTCAAGAACAGGCTGGCTACGGCCGCCAGTATGCCGAATGGGGCCGTGATTATGTAGACGAGCCTGATCGAGTCGGCGAAGGCTTGTTTGAAAGCCGCGACACCAGCGCCAATGATTGCTGGAGAGGCGCCCGGAATGGTCGCCAAGGTGGACGCTTCTCCCGAGGCTATAGCTGCAATAAAGGCAGGAATGGAAGTCTTCGGTAGCCCAGCCTTTGTAGCTGCCTCGGCCACGTAAGCTGGAAGTTTCTTGCTGAGTCCAGTGGTCAGGGCAGCGTCATAAATGGCGATGAACACCGCTGCTCCAATAGCCCTCACAGATGTGGTGACGCCCGTAGCCGTAGCGATCAGATGAGAAGGAGTGGCCAATTGGACTGCTGTGATAATGAAAATTAATGGCGATGCAGTTCCAATACCTGTGAGTGTGACCATTCCAATTGCAACGGTACCGCTGTCTGGCTGTAGAGTTGCAAGTCCAATCACACCTGCTGCGACTAGCAAGAAACCGGCGCTCAACAACTCGCGGATTGTCCTGAAACGAGTACTAATCCAGCCCCAGACTAAGGCAGAGAGAGCGGCGCCCATGAAATTAGGCTGACCACGGAGTACCACCAGCAACGGATCGCTCTCGTATAGTGTGGCGGTACTGCGAATCTGTCAGATCACCCTGTCCTCGCGTTGGTGAACAGTGGCAGACTTACAGGATCGGGTAGAATACCACCACTGAGAAGAAAAGAACTCCTTCCAGAAACATCAGGAGCAGGCACAAAGCAAAGGATTGTGCCATGGCTCGATTACCACGGAAGAAGTCGTGGTGAAATATGCCCGAGTCAGTCCCTTTCCACTCCCACAAACCAAAGCCGACCAGTAAGACTGCTCCGACAGCTAGAAGAGCGATGACCCGTGCACTACTCCATGGAAATTGATTGCCGCCGAGGACCAGGCCAGTCAACAGGAGTGTCAAGCCAGACGCAAGGAAAGCGCCACCAATAAAGTCAGTGCGCCCTAACTTCTGTGCGAAGCTTAGGTCGCTGTAGCGCGTGTGTCTCTTTGGTGGTCGATAGCCGATGACGATACCGGCGACGGTGACAGCCCAAAGCCCCATTTGTATCCACTGTGCGAAGTCGTGTCAGGTAAAGGCTCCGTGGCTTGTTGCGTAGGAAACGAACACTCGCGATACTTACATAGAACGTCCTCCATCCGTTGAGCCTGCTGGATCGCGTTAGTGCTCCGATAGTGATCGGGGCAACGATGCCGCCGAGGGACCCAGCCACGTTGACTGCTCCTTGGCTTACTGCGTTTCAAGCACATTAGAAATCGCAATGGTATCAAAGGGGAAGGTCTGGGTCGAACATACTCGGTCGCCACCGGCGAGGTAGAATTTCGCTAGGAATGGCAAATCCCAGAGGAGCAGCGGCAAAGCCTACCCCAATCAGGCTTTGTGCCACAATCAGACGATTCAGACTGTTCGAGCCCGGGGCTATACCACAGCCGACGAAAGAGCATAAGCAGGCGACAATTAAAAATTCTTTCCTTGCTTGGAAGGTATCTGAGATCGAAGATATAATTGGACCAAGGACGGCTTGAACAAGTGTCATCGAATTAGTGATCCAAACTTGGTCCTTAGTGTTATGGAGACTGATTCCAATGTATTGTAGCTAGTTCATGCCCATCCAGGTTAGTTTCGCGTAACGGTACAACAGAATTCGCATACAGGGCACGAGACTTACCACTGCTGATGGTCCTTGAAGTGACAGCAATTGCACGAATTGCAGGAGCATCATAGCTGCCAGGGCAATCCAGGTCCTTAGATGCAGCTCAGGTACCTCATCCTCGTCCCAAGCGTTGGACTCGATCTTCTCAATATGGGAGTTCTTCTTCTCAGCCGCAGACGTGACCTTGTCAATGTCGGCCGCTGTTTTGTTAACATCATCGCCGTGTGCAGATTCGCCTGGAGGTGTCATCGTGTCGTGAGCCACTGTATCCATTGGCATACTGGGAAGATACCAAACTTTTTCAAGGCGTAACTTGAGCAGGAGCCTGCGGCAGAGGGAGTCGGCCTAGATCCAGCCAGGGTGCCGCACAGCTTATATGTTGAGATAGGGGTACAACCAGGTGTGTTCCCCCGCAATCCGGAGTCTGGAGGGCGAGCCACACTTCGTTGGGCGCAACTGGACCAAATCAACGACCTTTGCGCGAACCGCAGGGCAGGACCGACCGTGTCGCCGACTCAAATCTGCGTGCCGCAAGATACGGTCACCCCATTCCTGATTTGGCTAACCCACTGCCGCGGCTGATCGACCCCAATAGAGTTCCGGACTCAACCCCGGCAAGACAATGTACCGATCACGGTTAGAGTTGACCAAAGTCTCGGGCGGAATATGGGGAAGTCCGACGAGCTTGTCCGATGGTGACTAGAGCACATAGTAGGCAACCATTACCAATGTGCGACAAACTTATTGAGTCATTGGCAGCGGCTGCATAGCTTCGCAAAATATCACTAGTGTATTTTCTCGAATACGCTGCAGGAGTCTATACAGGCCCAATCATCCCGACTTGCCACCGCAAAACAGCACTCGATCGTTATGCATCATTCCAGAAATCGATCCAAAAGATTAGAAACACAGGTATTAGAAAACAACCATGGCTTACAGGTTTTAAGAGAAAGAGACGTGCAATAATCATACGGACAGCTGCAACAAACAAGTGCAGTGCCCGCCGCAATGCCTTCTCATTCTCAGCTCGAGCTCCAGTTCAAGCCTTTACCGGTAGTCCTAGGCGTAACGCTGCTCATGGTGTCATGCTTGGTCTACCAAGTATGTTCCTGGCACACTATCTTCGTTATGGACTGACTAAATCCGAACTATAGACTGCTCGTGCCTACCTTTTCTCACCGGTTCGCCATGTACCCGGTCCTTTCTGGTCGAAAGTTACCCCGTTCCCTCTGTATATTGCAACATTCAGAACAAGGCGAGCTGCATATGCGCATTCCCTTATCAAGAAGTACGGACCGATCGTCATCATCGCTCCAGACCAAATACACACCACCAACGATGCCGCAATGAAGATCATCTATGATCGAAGTTCGATCAAAAGCTCCTTCTACCATGCTATGGGCTCATATAAGGGTGTGAGGCAGATATTAGGAACCATCGACTACTCGAGCGCTGCAGTGGGGCGTCGAAACCTCCTACAGTGTTTTCAAAGCCAAAATCTAGCTAGTCTCGCGGATGCGATGGAATCACATATTGCGAGCTTCTTGAAATTACTGCATAGCAAGTCGAACCAGGTAGACCCGGTCATCGACGGAGTGCTCTGGTTCAGGCTTTTGACACTCGACACTGTGACCGACATATTATGGGGTCAGGATCACGATCTTCTCGCCGACATGGACATGGACAATACCAAATCAGAGTTGTTGCGCAAGTTGCACCATTTCAGCCAGTATATGGCTTTGGAAGGATTCATACCTTTCTTTGAGGCTTGGACCAGACTCGTGGGAAGCCAAAAATACAAACAGATGCGAGATGATTGCTACAGTCTGGATGGTTTTGCTCGCGACGCTCTCGAGACTTGGAACGACCGGGAGACGAAAGGTCATGAGAAAGACGTCCTGTCTATGCTGTTAACGATGAAATCGAAGCAGGAAGAATCAGAATCAATTGCACGAGAAAACATTCCAGCTTACATAATCGAAATGATGGCTGCTGGCTCTTCGACAACTTCGAACACCGCTGCTATCGCTTGCTGGGTACTCGCTCGCCATCAAGCCGTGCAAACGAAACTACAGCAAGAGCTTTTTACAGCATTTCCCGATCCTGGCCAAATTGATATGAGACAATGCTTGAACCTCAACTACCTCGATAGTGTCATCTTCGAAGTCATGCGGCTATGGCCTATAGTTCCGGGACCCCTTGAACGCCATGTCGGGCAGAGCTTGACCGTAAATGGCATGGCTATTCCAGCGGGAACACTTGCGTCCTGTGCTGCATACGATCAGGGTCGACGAGAGGATATCTTCTCTAACGCTAATACTTTCGACCCATCACGCTGGCTAAAGGCGGATGCCGCAATGAAGAAGAACTGGATTCCCTTCGGTTATGGCTCCCGCAGCTGTCCTGGTCAAAATCTTGGTATGACGGAGTTAAAATATTTTCTTGCAGCAATATTTCGTTATTTCAGCTCGGTGGTACCTCAAGGCAGAGCCGAAGATATACTGGAGTTACGAGATGTCTTCACCGCAAGCATCTGGATAACAAGCGGTATCACAGGGAAGCCTGAAAACAAGTGCTGGTTACAATTCTCGCCAATAGCAGAGAAAGTTATCTCTTGAGTTTAGAGTTATTTTCTAGGGTTCCTACTAACACTAGTCCCCCAAAAGGGGCTCACCAGATCCAATGAAATGAACTCGATTTCAATGGCCGCGCCCATACAACCGCGTGCCAAGCATGGGAAAATCAGGACACGATTTCGTTAGTGACAGACACACGATTTCAATAGGACGCGTGCCTCAACCAGGAGATAAGTGCACATACAATGTGAGATACACATGATTACGGTAACTCAGTGAGTTAATTACTGCTATCTATAATGTGTGGTAATCTGTATTACGTGCACAATCACAGGTTCAAGTTTTAGAGGTGGTACAGGCTATCTAGGCTGCATTATTATTACAGACTCACCAGTTTCATCCTAAAATAGAATAGTGTAGGTAGTATAGTCCCCCATAATACTCTTAATAGAAGTTGTAGACCACTAGTGTGTATTTACTACCTAAGCATATATGCTAAGATGACTAGACTATGAGATAACTAGACTGAAGAGTCAAATTCTTTAACACATCTCTTCCTCTTCCTTTAGCTCTCTCTCTCACTCTTCCTTTCTTCCTCTCTCACACACTCTCTATAGCTCCTCTATCTTATAGCCTGGCCTCTATTATAGTAATAGAACATAGAGATCTAAGAGTGACTTAACCCTCTATAAGATCAATCCTCTTTCATTCTCTATAAACACAGGCTAACTATTAACATAATAATTATATAGTCTTGATATATTCAATATGTTTACTTTTAGTTTAAAATCAGTATATAGATATCTATATCTCTCTAGTCTTATAGTCTAATAGTATAATATATCTATTCTATAATCTTATAAAGGTAATAAGTTAATCTCTATTCTGTATATATTTAAATTCTATAAACTACTTATAGAGTTAAAACACACTCAGATAGTAATATAAGCCCTAGCTTAGACTAGGATTAAGAGCAAGGTTCTAGATTCAAGTCCTTATAAGGCTAACTTCTTTTTACTTTTTAAGCAGACTGAAGCTTGAGTTCAAGTCACATAAGTACTTAGGAGAATCCCTTTTATCCTTCTTATATTTAATCTACTTACTTTTAATTTAAAATCAGCACATAGATGTTCACATCTTACAGGCCTTATAGTCTAATAATATAATATATCTATCTAATGATCTATATAGAGGTCTAGGCCACTATACAAGAGTTATGAATAAGCTAGTACCACAACTAAACTGATATAGTGGCTTGATTAGGACATGGATTATAGGTAAGATTCGAGATTCACTACTATGAAAAATAGCCAAGACTAAAATGTTTATTCTCGATATCATTCTCTATATTTTAAATAGCTCAGTTATTATAAGAGTGTCACGGTTCGAACCCGTGACTGGATCTGCAATTGATCCGAGCCCTGATCTATG